GCTATAATATTTTCAAATGCAATTTCTCCTCGCCATCTATCGAATCGAAAAGTTCTGGGTGAAATGTTTTCAAGTGGGGCGCGCAACCACACATTTTAAATTATTTAAGCTTGATGTAAGAACGAACCTTCGACGAAACGTCCACATTAAGGCAGATTTTAATCTGAAAAGCTACAACTTACTTTCGATCGCGAAAGCAATGACTGAAATCCCTATTTGATTTATTTTGTTGCTTCATATAATCAGTATTTCCTTCCCACGCGAAGTGTGTAAAGCCTTTTCAACTCACCTTCGAGACGTTGAATCTTTGCTTTGACGCTCATAATAGTTTCAAAAGGACTAACTCGTAGTTCAAAGGCAGTTCCAGTTAATGTTTCAATAAATAGGTCCATCTATGGACCTTTTAAATTCTGCTTTGCACGCAGTTCAGCAAAGGAAAACCAACACCATCAATCGCTTTTCGTCAAACCATGTTTTCATGTCCGCCGACGGTAAGCATCTTTTCGTAAACATCCTCGGTTCTTTCGCCATACCGTAGGAACGCAGACAAACTAGAAGCAACAAATCGATGATAAGACCAAAATTCAAAGTATTCTGAAGAAAATCGTCGAAATATTTTAGCCTCCAACATCTTTCGAACAAAACATTTCGGAACGTGTCGCCTCTTTTGATTCTTGTTTGTTCCCAGGGTACCCGGATGAATGATGGTTGTCATGGAAACCCCTGCAAAACTTCTTTTCAGCGTGTACACAGCAGAACAAATGCAGCGGTGAGCTCACCAATCACATTATCGAACTGGGCATATTTTCAATTCGGTTTTAATTGGTTTTAAGCTCATTTACGCACAACTTAAGACATGAATAGCTGGGAAAACAGTTGCCTTTCAAAAGGAACAATAATCCAGAGTAACTTGAATGAATGACTACGCCTTTAATGTAATTAATGTTGATCAAACAGCTGGAAGAAGAGCCCGGACGGGTTGAAGGCGGTGCATGATGGTCAGGTGTCTACTTGTGTGGTTGGGGGAGCGGGTGGGGGGAGGATGGATGGTCTAAAGAGACTCCTTTACAGTTTTTCTTAGCCTGGGTGCCGACGTCTCCCGGTATCTGGTCTCTTCGTTGCATGTTCAGATAGTCCGGTGTCCTTGCACGATGTAGTCAGAACTTTTCACGAGCCTTTTAGCCACTAGCCTCCCACGCAGGCGTTTTTAGGGGAGCTCGTTTTTCGCTATTTAGCCACGAGCAAAAATAAGGGTGCTACTCATGCGTATACCTCGTTCTTTGAGCCAGAAACCAAAAAAAGCGCGCTTCACATCGAATTTTACACTAAAACTGTGGAACGATCTGACCATAAAATGGAACGACCTGACTTGGAACAAACTGACCATGGAACGCAGTGACCGTAAAATCGTCTCCCTTTTCAGCGTGCAACAAAAGAGATAGGATATGTCTGCACAAAGTTCTCTCCACTGGAAAAAAAGATGACAAGTCCACATCGATTTGACTTAACCGAACTTAAAATTCAGCAACATTGATCGTTGATTGCTGAGGCAGAACTACAGGCAGCTATCCCTGCACCGTGTAAGCAGAGCCCGAGCAGAGCCTTTCTTTCGCTTGCTCGAATTTTTTTACCTCCTCGATCAAGAAGAAGGAAAAAGAAGGCACTGGTCACAGAAGTAACAGGAGCGGATGGTGAGATTTCAACTAGATAGATAGATGGATGGATGGATGGATGGATGGATGGATGGATGGATGGATGGATGGATAGATAGATAGTTTAATTGTAAAAAGCTTGCAGCTACTAAGCTGAATTGTGTATTTACAATATATAATATAATATAACAGAATCTTACAATAGAGTGAGTATAATAAAGTGATAATGATAAAGTCCTAAATAAATAATAACATCCTATAAATACAAAAAAGCTTAAAACTGTAAAGATATATACAACGTCATCGATCTCATTTTGAAAACTCACCGAGCGCTAAAATTCGTTATCAATACATGATCTTACTAAAAAAACTATTTTTGAAACGCTCGGTCTTACATTTGGGAATCGCAAAACGCCTTTTGCACCGAAGATTATAACACGAAAGCCCTGACGATTGAAGCACGTTATGTAAGCGATGGGCCGGGTCATTAGCAATCGAGAGGAAGGTCTTTAATTTTTACATAAGCTAGCGATGTAGTCATTGATAGACATAATATTTGAAAGCTCTAAGGCCTCTCTATAGGCCAGTCCCGGGCAAATGATTGACAGTGCCCGTTTCTCTACATTCTCTAGATCTTTCTTTAAATACAATGGCAGGGCGTCAGAAAAACGCAGGCGATGCGTAGGTCATGACTGACCCTATACAAGATGTATAAAAAAGAATTAATTCATGCCTTGCGACATTGGCTCTCTTCAATTGTATTAGGAAATACATACGTTTAGAAGCTTTCTTTATGATTTGATCAATGTGCATATTCCATGTAAGGTTGTTGGAGATCGTAACACCTAGTAATTTGGCGCTTTCAACACATTCTAGAGGGGCACCCAACGAGAATATAGTTCACGGCCACTTAAACATGCAGTGGCGGATCCGGGATTTTTTTTAGGAGGGGGTGCACTCGTCTCTTGCTCTACTTCAACACCAATAAACCACATAGTTTTTTTTTCTTTGCAGAATACCAGTTGGATTAGAAAACCGCAGGTCATCTCGGGGGGGGGGGGTGCGCACCCCCTGCACCCTCCCCCTAGATCCGCCCCTGACATAGCATTGTTAAACGTATTTTAGTATTTAAACGGTAGATATAGCCATATTTTTATCGCCTAAAAATTTTTCATCTGTTCGGATTTCCTAGCTGAAAGTCTCGAGATCCGAAAATCATATGGATCAAAACTTACCTTTTCGAAAATTTCAGCCAGAAGAAAGGCTTCCGAAAATTCTAGGTGAGCTTTTTAGGGTAAAAATCCGTTAAAAATGGGCAATTACACCAATTTTTAGATGTTCGAAAATCCTAGGAGAGGTAGGCAAGCAAGAAATTTTACAAAAAATGTTCCGAAAATTCTAGATCTCATATCGTCTTCCGAACAGATATTTTCCGAAAATTGACGTTGGGTGCCCCTGATTTTAGCTCTTGATTATTTACTGCTATAGGCGCGAGTTGTGGTTTGTTCTTTGCAAATGAAATCGTAAGCTCTTTACATTTTTCACTGTTTAGTTTTACTCTATTCTCAAAAGACCACTGCACGACAGTATCTGCAATCAATTGGGAATTGCTACTGGCTCCTTCAACTATCTCGGATGTAGTTGTATCATCAACATACTTCCAGATATTGCCTGTATTACAGTGTAATTGATTTCTAGATCGTTGATGAGCACCAAAAAACAACCACGGGCCTAATTTCTTCCCATGGGGTACCCCGGACGGGACTGATCTCCACTCGGAGTAACATCCCTCTGAAAGTTTGATTCTCTGGGAACGATCACTTAGGAAATCTATGATCCAAATGATTGTTTCAGTCAGCAGATCTAATTTGCATAACTTATTAACAAGAATCCTATGGTCTATGAGATCAAAAGCTTTCTTATAATCATAGAGCGTAACCCTAACAGTTGCTCCGTTGCCATCGCATCCCTTGGTCCAATGGTGAAGCATGTGTATAAGTGCTTGAGTTGTGGAGGACTTCGGCACAGCGCCATACTGGCTTGGGTCGAGAACATTAAGTACGGCGGATTTCACGTAGTCAACTACGACACACTCTACAGCAACTTTTGAAAGACAAGGAGTGAGAGAAATCGGCCTTCAACTGTCGCGATATTTTTTGTCGAATGCACCTTTCATACATTGCCTCTATTTTATTTACGCACGTAGAAATTACGCGACAGTGGAACAGGGTTTACCGGTACCAGGAGCCCAGATTTACTTATCCCCCAGAGTGAACTGGTACAGTCGTACCTCTACCTCAAAACAACGCATGGGTTACAGCTAGTGGCGCCTTCTACGCTGATGGAAGTATGACGACAGAGTTAAGCTTTTTGGGCGACGTAAAAACGTACAGCAGACACATTATTTTTTTTTTAATTCACCTTTCTTTTTGATGGATTCGTCTCCCTTGGCTCACACACCAAAGCAAAGACGGGTTGTTCTCAGAGATGTTGGATATGGAGTTGTCCACTTCAAAACTCGAGGGAAGAGAGAGCTCTGGGCGCAGTGATTTCTGGGATCATTTCGGTGGACAAGCGTTAGTTATGATTGGTGGATGGTATTCAAGGCACCCATTAACCAATCTACTTGCAAACCCAAACAATCCCACAAATCGTTACCCCGAACGCTTGTACGCATTCTCCGTATAGTTTCTGGAATGAAGAATTTTGGTTCAAGCGTCGCAGGGACCCCAATCCGATCGAAAATCTCCCCATCTCCGAAACTCCCAAGTAAACAGTTCATGTGTTTGCGGTTAAAGTCTCAACACCTCTCAAAGCTGACCAGTTTCGTATTAAAAACACATTAACTGCATAACTGAGAAGAACCCCCCCATTATAGGCTGTTTACAATTACTATTTTTTTCCGTAAGATCGCCACTATAACAAGACAGAAAGCCCTCTATGGCGACGATCTAACGGGAAAATAGGGAACTGTAAATAGTCTGCCTCGATAAAAAAAAAAAGTGATAGGAGCCTTCTAAAAGCTGTCTAAAAATCGGACACCTCTCTACTCAAAACAGACACTCCAATAAGGTACACACTCACCTATAGGAACATCTTTCTTACTGTATACTTTTTTTACTAAGATGACCACATTTTGAAGGCCGAGACACACTGCACTAGGCGACAAGTTGCTGCAACACGTTGTGGCGACAAGCTACAGCGACAAATCGCTTCGTGTGCGCTGGAGAACTTTTGCGAAAGTCTTTGTCTCTGCAGCGAGTCGCACAGAATCAAATCACATTGAATTCATCCAACTTTTTGCGGTAACAAAATTCTGTTTTGAAGACAAAGATTTTCACAAAAATTCTCCAGTACAGACTAGGCGTTTGTCGCTTCAACGTATCCTGGTTGGTTGCAGCAACTTATCGCCGGACCTGTACACACAGAGTGATTTGTCACCTCGAAGTGTTGCAGCGACTTGTCGCCTAGTATGTACAGAACTTTAAAAGCAGATTATTAGAAAAACTGTACATGGGATACTGGTTTAAGTGCTTTCTCCTCTTCTTTGCTCTTCTCCTGTGAAATAGGCGACTTTGTCTCTCTCCACGACTTAACAATCTTTTCAATAGCACCGGGAGTCCATGAGTGCGATAATGGTGACGCCTCTATTTTGTTCATTAATTTGTTCCGGGATAATTTCCTAACGCGCGGAGGTTTATTCACACTCAGTGTGTCCTCCGATTGTCCTTCTGTTTTAACCAGGTCTGGCTTTGAGTCTTTCCGTTTATTCTTTTCAGCGCTGTTTTCAAAAGACGTGATGCGTCTACTCCTCGAGTTTCCCGTATCGGAATCCGAAGCTCTTCCATCGGATTCGTCTTGACTTTTAAAAGTTCTAGGAGACTCGGGGCGACTTCTTATCGATTTTCCTGACTCCGAACCGGAGTCGTCGTTGTTTCTGTTCGCGCGCGAGGAAGCGATTCTCCTTCTGCTACACCGGGACGAATCGGACTCAGATTCTCTCCCATCTGAGTCCTCTTGATTTCTTTCAACGCTGGATTGAGAGTCGGATCTCTGGAACGGCTTGTCTGCAAAACAGATTAACATTAACTAAAATGACCGGCAATTCAAATACAGCAAATGGTCAGTGCAGAAAAAGAGAAATATGCTTCGATACGGGGATAGGTGAATCAAGTCCAAGGAGATAATTTTGTATAAGTGAGGTGATAGTGAGAATGTCATGTAAACACTGATGTACGAGGCATCTGACACCAACTAGACTTACTACTGAGAATCAAACATGAACCGCACTGTGGAGAAAAGTACGATTGTCTCGTCAATAACACCGTAAAGGAGCCCATAGCCTGGAGCGTGCAAATGCCAACACGGCGTTTTCGTAGACCAGTTTATTTTGAGACACATTTCCCCTTTACAAGTGTAAGTGGAAATGTTCAGCAGCAGAATATGTCAAACAAGACATGAAAACTGAACAAAATGCTATCAACACATCAAAAGATACTTCTTTCCCGACCTGTGTCCTTCGCCGACTCGTTCACGAGACTCCGACGATAGACTTGACTCACTACAAAATCGATCTTAAAATAAACAGCTCTATAAAAACGCCAAGTCTCGAATACATGCCAGTTAAACGCCCCAGATTATGGGCTACTATGTGGTGCAAGTGCCTTGACTGGGTACACTTCAGTATTGTATTATTCCCCTTTAAAGGCCCCCTAGATGTTGCTGTTAAGTACATAGAACGTTTTTGTCTAGGCACGTACTATTGTCCAGTCTGCGCTTCTCACGCACTAAGAAAACAATGCATGACAAATTTCAAGAAATAATTTCAAAACTAGAGCTACTTTGGAGAAAACTGACTGGTGAGTGTTGTGCAAAGAACAGTACTTGTGGGACAAACAGATGAGTGAGGAGTGAAGTGCAGTGAAGTGAAGACCACCTTTCGGTAGATGCTCTGTGCTGGCGTGAGGTGATGAATATAACGAGCTAAGACCTTTCTGTGCCATGCTGATGTTCTGCTCCGCTCTCTGGATGTATTTGCTCAGCTGAACGTTGCTCTGAAAATAGGATGTAACATGAATACAACTTGTTATATGATAAATGGAGGATGTAAGTGTTTGACGTGGCCGGCGTTTGTGACATAAGTGACGATGACCAAGAGCCAACAGTGATTTTCAAGTTCATACTACATCTTGTTGAATTAACAATTTGACTATGAAGAGGAACACACAACAAGGAGAGATTACAAGAATTTAGAGTCGAATTGGGAATAGATAACGAGAAAAAGCTTTTTTTTTACACCCTGCTGAAGTCTTCTTCGCACCTTATTTTCTTTCCCCCCGTTTGGTGGGAGATAAATTCTCCCGATACTAGACGATTTTTCTTTTTGACGTTGTTTGGCGGAAACTAATTTTTGCGCCTGGCAAAACCGTTATTTTATTTTCAGGGAATTAACATTGCGCTTGCTCAATTATCTCCAAGAAAAATCATAGAAAAAAATCATAGCGTAATCTATACTCTCAAAGAGCCTAGAGCAGGCTGCAAACTCTTGTTTGAATCATCGATCATTCCAAACACGCTCTGAGTGCTTTAACATTTCACTGATTATTTCATTTTACTCTAGCCTGTCCACACTGACGTGTCTTTTCCCTTCGACAATTCGACAGGAGCGCGAGAACCCCCGCGGGTTTTATCTCCACACGCGCGCTATAGACTCAAGACTGAAAATTTTGAAAAAACAGTTCACAAATGCCCGTTGTGTACAAACCTTTGACGACTCCCCTAAATGCTTTACAAAGGCATCCCTTAAACGATTTCTAAAAAGAAAAAGAAATGGAAAGAATTTGACAAATGAACACCAATTCATATTTATTCTCAAAAGTGAATTTACACACAAACCTGATATCGGCTTTAACTGCTTCCTTTTTGTGCTGAAAAGAGGTAGAAATCTGTCATCAATAAAATACTATGTTAGTGCAATTTGTCTATTTACTGTATGAGCTTTGTTTTCTTCAGGTGAATACAAGTGCAAATAAAAATTTCCTGAGTGCAAAGACATCGGTAAACAGAGAAGAAAAGTGTGACGTCACTAAATAATTCAAATTTGTGAAATTATGGGATAGGTTGAGTTATAACACATAATTTCAAAAATTTAGTTCTTCTGACGTCATCACTTCTCCCCAATATCAGGTCTTCCTCAGGGGTTAGGGGAAAGGAGATTTGAGATCCCCCCCCCCGACCCGCTAAAAAAAAAAACGCGTGATACTCAAGTCAACAAAAGTATTGCGAACTTTTACTTATAAAGCATACATTACAGAAGAGCAGACACCATACTCTGAACGCATTAACGCGATATAGCTACTACTTCCGGTTCGGGAAAATATTAGGGCAAACAGACTGCCCAACTGGAAGCACATCATATGATCGAAGCTCGTTCCTTAGGGAGGGGCCAGTGAATTGTTGAGTTTTCATTCTACAGGGGGTAAACTGTAGACTTCGAGCAGTCCCTCTTTTTCCTTAAATTACCACGCGAAACGCACAAGAATAAGAAACGGCCACGCGCTCAACTAGCCTGCTCTTTTCTGGGACGGTTTAAGTCGACAGTTGAAAAGTCATCTTAGAATATCTCCCTTACCGCTCCCATAGGAACTGCTCCAGGGCTGGTAGCTCGATATCTCAGTTCCGTAATCTTTTGTTGCTGCTGTTGTATTTGATTGGTCAGAGATTTCACTTGTCTTTTCAGGTACGCCATTTCATCTTGACTGTCTGTCTGGGACTCCTGAAAATGCAGCACAAATTCAGTAGCTGACTAACTGAGGTGGCGGTGAATATTTATTTAACAATCAAACTGAGTGTGCTATGAGAAATCATATCAAACATAAAAAAATCTCGAAAACCTTTTGTCTACTTAACTCCCAAAGGCATAACAAAATAGCCAAGGGTTTCGTGTTTTTTAGTATAATTTTCGCTTTTTTAAAATTCAAATTGCATGTTAAGTTTAGTTTAGACAACAACTCACTCACCAGTTGTTTCTGCAGCATTCTGATGGTGTGATTTTTGCTGTCAAGTTCATGTTCAAGTTCCTCGCGAGCTATCATCAGTGAGTTTCTCTCCTGCGATAAGAAAACACAAGAACTTTACTTTGGCAACGCTCATACAGCTTTTGGGAAGGAGCGTTGCGTGACGACACCAATAGCGGCTTGGAAGGAAACTAGAGTTTTCGAAACTGTTAGAAATATTCTGAAAAACAGAATTTGTCTGTTGCTGTCAACAACTTTTCGTCTGTTTTAGTAGGAATCAACTGGTAGGCGTCATAACCGCCTTTATCCTTTCCATGCCATGTGTTCGTACGATTATGACTATGATTTCTAACCTCATAACATGTTGATACTTCACGACCACCAATTAATAACGGAAAAAAATTATTCAATGCGCGAGAAGACCATAGTCATAATCTAAAATCTCACACGAATTTACCACGAAATAAAAATTTTACAAATGAATCTGCAAGGAAAATGCATCGAACGAAGTTTAACGTTCATGTTTAACATCCTGCTTTGCCTCTTGCGCTTCACTATTAAAGCTTAGCTGAGCAACAATTGTCAAAAGCTGATAGGGAACCAGGGACAGTGATTTTGTAACAAGTAGTGATGGTGAGTCCTGTGACTCATCCTGTGAAAAATCATGAGTCCAAGTCCAGAACGAATGAGTCCCAGTTCAAAAACAAAACGAGGAGTCCCAAATTGAGAATGCTTGGGCCTTCATGTAACCAAACAGTTAATCTGGAGACAGACACCTCGACTCCTTATTACAGTCTACTGAAATGAAAAAATAGTCCTTCTCTATATTTAAAGGACAAAAAAGACTAAAACAAATATGCATCTTTAAACAACAGCCACAGAAATCACATAAACAGGATATTCTACCAAAAAATCTTCAAATCGATCGATCATTCTTTTTGCCCTATGGGACGCATGCCATGAATTATTTTGCATCACTGGGGATTTTTATTCATCAGGGATGCAGGACGAAGAGGTAACAAAATCAATGCAGAGATAATTGCATTTTTTAGAAGTAACTAAAACAGGCGCCCATTTTACATTGCATTCCTTATCTTTTCCAGACGGGTGGTGTTGGAGGGTTGGTGGGGGACAAACAAAACACTCTTCTTTCGATACATACAACAACTCGCCTAAAACTCAACTCAGCTCAGTACCTCGGTTATTTCAGTGAGTTTTTCCTTGACTTCTTCTAGTTCTTGATGCAGGTTCTTTATTTCCTCCTCATTTCCTGCACTTGGCTTTGGAACCCTGGCTGATTCAGATGGGGTCTCTGTGATGTCACTCAGGCTCCCTGATCTCCCCCCTGAAGAAGAGGAGGAGGACGTTCTATGGAGTCTCTCCCTCATTGTTACAGAATCCATTGTCATCGTTCTTTGCAACATTCTCTGTTGGTAAAGGGGAAAAATCAGCCAACACAATACACTCAAAGCACAATAACCTTAAGAGGCCCAATTTCCGCGGGGTATGGTCGTTTCGCTACAAGTCGTTTTGCTGCATAATGAAGTCAATTCGCTGCAAAGTTGTAAAGTCGTTTTGCTAACTTAACTCGTTATTACCCGTTTTCAGTTCACTGATTCTAAATTGTTTTAAACTGTTTAATATGAAAAGTTGTTGCAGCAAATCGACTTTATGATAGTGAAATGAATTCATTATACAGCGAAACGACTTGTAGCGAAACGACCATACTCCGCAGAGAATTTTCCTCTCCAGCTGTGGGGGTAAGGGTGGGCACATTTCCTGAAAAGCGCATGTAAATTGAGCCTATGACATTGTCACCATAAGGATGCATTTGAAGAGTACCCCTCCCAACAGACTGTTTTAGTTTTAAATCTCAATACGTTTCCCTCCATTTAAATACTCTCCAACCAAATCCCTCAGGGAATGCAAAATTCTAAAAAAATTGGGTCCTAACCGAGTTGTGAGGACAAATTTCAATGTAAAGGACACAGACTAATCAGTATTTTTGTTGTTCCGAAGGGCCAAGAACTGGGTGGGGTTTTATGGAAAGCAGAGGAAATAGACCATGTTTTCCTATTTTACTCTATTTTACAGAACAGTTGGATTTGACATTATAGCATTGATTCTCTTTGATATTACAAACAAGATACGCTTACTAAAGAAACAAAGTTCTGGACAAAGTTCTTTGTAAGTGATAAGCAGAAATGCTGGTAACTTCCGAGCCAAAAGAAAAACTGGGTGGACAAATTGACCTTAACGTTCTCAATAACACGAAGGAAAGGAAGTGCCAACTTTTGTCTCTCTGAAAACTTAGTTAGGACTCTACTGAAATTTATGTGATTACGTACCTTTCTATGTAGTGGGATTTTATTGTTTGTGTCAGTATCTGAAGAAAATGATCCTCTTCTTGTGACACCAGAGTGAGAGTGCATCAACGGTGATACAACATCAGCCTAAAACAATATGATCAGTTGTACAATGTGACTTGCATATCACCCCATGTAAGGTAATCAGGAATCTGGAATCCCAGAAATATTTGCGGAATCGATATCCTGGGCTTTGGAATCTGGAATTCAGCTCAAGGAATCCAGATCCCACTAACAATTGGAATCCAGAATCCAAGTTCCACTTATAAGAAATCCAGAATCCAAACCGAGGAGTCCATGATCCAAGACTGTCTTTGGTTACCTTACATGAATCGATGTATACCGCTTTGTGACATTTTTTGGAAAAAAAAATGCGCACAATGATTCACTACTTATTAACTTTATCAATATGGTAAGCTATTTAAGGATTTTCATAATATTTCCAAACAGGCAGTGATTGCAAGTGTTAGATTATTATGTGGCTGCATGTTGTTTGTAGTTTAAATGTGATGAGGTGTGTTCAGACTGGCTGCATGAAATAAATAGACCCTCTTACAAACTTGAACCAACTTTCCTTTTCTGCAGTGGGGTACACAGGAGGAACTAAAGATTAAACAGATTCAGATAGTACATTAAAGTGCCATTTTCCAATACAATCGACGTGGGCTATATTTGTAGAAAATAAATGAATCGTGGACAGTCAAGAAAAGACAGTCACTTAGTGTCTTAACGACAAAAGTCTTTGTTTTATGTAAAATTAAATAAAAATGGAGGCAGTTCTGCCAGTTCAAGTGGCCTCTAAGTTGACATGCACCCTCTTTAACCTTTGGCTGATACCTAGTTAACAAAGAGCAGATTCACACTTTGGCATATGTTTAAAGAACTTATAGTTTAGTAGGTAACAAATTTTTCCAATCTTTGATTCTCCTATATTTTTTAGTAAATTAAGGACTCAAGACACCTCCCAAACTGGTATTCCAAGTGTGAGGGAGCATCAGTGTTTTCTGGAAGAACACATTTAACCTTTTTCTGAGAAGTTTGAGAATGTTGATCTGTATTATAATCTGGAAAACTGCTCATCCACCCCTCCTGTAATCTAGCATTTTGCTCTAAGTGTGAAGTTGGTATTAAAGTTGGGTTAGGGAAAGGGTGGGTGGTCAGCTTCTCAGAATCTTATACACCTGATAATTGTCCAAGAATGATTCAGCGAAAACAATGCAACATCAAAATGAGAAAGCCAAAGTGCCCAGAAAGAACTGAATGTGACTTCTGGTGCTCAATTTGCGACTCTGCCATTGGTTAATTCTGTTTTAAGAACAGCACGCACTGTTGTCACTGTTCACCCTTGTTGTCACAGTGTGATTGCTAAATCTGCCTGTGATTGAACAGGAGAACTCAAAATATTTTTGATGACCTTACCTCCTGGAGTTCTCGTTTCAACTTAAGTAACTGAGTCTTCAAAGATTTAAAATCTGTCAAAAGTTGTAGGAAGCCAGTTTCATCCATTTCTACAATGCCGCTTTCTCCCTCTTGTACAGTAACTTGCTTTGGGGGACGGAAAGACATTGCAGTTGTTCTCCTCCGTTGAAGCATAGGTCTTTTTCCTGTTTTCGTCCTACCTGGTAGGGCAGAGCCATCTAAAGGATCCTTTTGTAAATTAAATGACGATTTTTCTACTCCATTTTCCTGTTCATGAAATGTAGGAGTTGCATTTTCATTATGTGACAGTATAAAACTTGTTGAAGGTTCCTCTAAACCATTAGATAAGTTAGGTTCCTCACGATAAACAACTGTTTCTTCCCTCACTTGCTTGGTTAAGTCAAGATTGCCAATTTCTGATGACACTCCATTAATTAATGAATCCAGTTGTCCTTCAACATTGCCCGTATTTTGATGTTCCAATGAGCCTGAAGTAAATTCACTCATCACCAGATTACTTGCAGAACTTTTTCCACCACGATCATCTCCAACAAAAGTCAAGTCATCAGCGTCAATATCAGTACTAGTGCTAAGTTTCTTGGCAGCGTCAATTTCCTCACCTAGGCTAACTGATGTTGATATCGATGAACTATATCCAGAATCACTTTCACTATCCAACTTAAATGCTTCAAAATTACCAGCTGAGAAATTCAAAACATTATTCACATCATGAGAAATGTCACCACTGTTGTTCAATTCTTGATATGAGCCATGTCTGCCAGACCCGGACCTTCTCCTAGTAAAGCTTTTTTGTTTTGAAACATAACTCTTAGAATCTCTGCGTTGCCTTGAATATGGAGTTTTAAATCTCATTGATTGTTCACTGCTAGAAACAAATGTTTCAGATGGGTCTTCAACATTTTCACCGATAAAAACTTCCAAAGTCTCCTCATCTATTTCAATCACAGGATCATATTTAGTTGGTGATACTTTATCAGCAATCTCTGATAAATTAAGTGACAGTACATTAAGTTGGGATTCTGAAAGAACCAAGTAGTTTTCTTCCTTTGAACTATTAGTTGCTTCAGCAAGAGGTGGAGGAGGTGGTGGAGGTGTAGTCGGTGGTGGCGGCAGATTATTACACTCCAGTGACCTATGCACAGATTAGATTGTTACCAGTGAGTCAAAACAGTTATTATTGTATATTCATAATACATAGAGAATATTACATTACATGGCCGCGCAGAGATACGAAATTTCTCTTCGAGTGTTGAAAACTATTTCACTAGTTCGCTGCGCTCACTCGTGAAATATTTTTCAACACTCGAAGAGAAATTTCGTATCGCCAAGTGGCCATGTAATGTTCTATTTATTATATAAACACCAATGAAATACCAAACCATTTCACTTTAATAGTTTTTTGGTGTGAAAGGCGCGATTTATTATGTAGCCATAGCACGTGTGAAGATAACATGTTATTTTCACATGTGAAGATATCAAGTTTTCGCGTGAAAGCTCACCTGGTATTTCATTGGTGTTTATATAATAAAAAAGGGTCTTTGTTTAAAGCCAGAGATGCAAGATGTTACATTGTACATGATTGTCTCCCCCCGCCTTGATTAGTTTATAAGCTATTTGCGGGTGGGAAAGTAATGTAATTAGTTATTTTCCAATTTTTAATAAAATTTGTTGTAGTCTGGCACTTTGTTGTGAGTTTTGTGTTGCTCCATTTATTTTAATCTTAATCATGGAATCTGACAGTACCCAGAAAATTGCTTCTTTGGTACCAGAAGGTTGAAAACAGCACTTTAGAGCACTGAATTTCAAAATTTATCCCCAAGGTGCATGCCCCCTTATCCCACGAAAAGCTTGACAATGTATTTATTGTTAATGATATATGAAATAAATCATACATGAACTGCGGAAATGAAATGGAAATGAAGAAAAGATCGTCACAGTGAACGCAATTTATGCGTAAAGAAGCCTGCTCCCAACGTCATTGGCTTCATAGCTCAGTTGGTACAGCATCACACTGGTAATCGCAAGGTCACGGGTTCAAACCCCGTTGAAGTCCTGAATTTTTTTTAGGCTTCTTTACGCAATTGCATAAATTGCGTTCACTACGACGATCTTTTCTTCATTTTCAATGTATTTATTGCTTGCCACATGCATACTCCCCTCAGGGCAAGAACAGAAACAGCCACACCTGAAGCTTTTCAGCCAATATTCAATAGTTTACACTCTAAATGTAGCCTTTGAAACAACCCCCTGCACCTTAGGCCACTGGTTTAAGCAGATCAAGCTTACCATATACTGGAGGCATCATCATTGGAGATTTCAGTGCATGGATTGGAGTCGTCTGTGTGTTTAGAGGCTTCTGAAGTATAAATAAAACATCAGGTCACAGTTGTTCAAAAGGTGGATAATGCTATTCACCAGATAAATCGCTATCCATTGGATACCTTAATTAGTTTCCATATATAATACTTATCTGCTGGAAAGTGATTTATCTGGTGGATAGTGCTATCCAACTTTTGAATAACCAGGACAAGACAGTTAATGAATTGAGTTGAAGGAGGCAGTGTGGACCAAGTGGTCAGCGTGTCGGACTCTGGAGGTCCAGGGTCCGAGTCCCGCTCTGGCCTCTTGCTGGACTAATTCTTGGTTGTCCCGAGGTCAATCCCCAAACATGCTTTTAAATATCCCACTGGTTACCTCCTGCCAGTTGGATTTTTTTTAAAATCCTGTTAGGTTATATTTGAATTATTTGCTTAAGTGGGGTGTCTGTAAACTAGCTGGATATGTGAAGAACACTTAATTCCACTATAAACAAACCCCAGTGTCCTTAAAGTGGGTTTAACTATATATGAGAGTTTGTGATTCAGGACAAAGAAAAGTATCGGTGTTGTCCCTACTAACAGGTGTCTATATTTGACATTAAGCCGGTAAATTTTACAGAAGAAAAGCTTTTTGTCAGACAAACAAAACTGCATGTCCATCATATATGGGTAACTATATTAAGCAGGTGTCCATAGAATGGGGTTTCACTGATTTTGCTTAATAGATACTGAACATTGTCCTGACAGGGATATGGATACAAGTTTTTCGATATTCGAAACGTGGGAAAGAAAAATCAGTATCACAAAACTTCTTTGTTATCCTTCTCAGGACACTGTGTAGATTCTGTTTTAGCAAATCATTAAAAAAATTCTGTCATGTATACTCTTAAAGTACTACTACAGTAAAAGGTCAGTAACCTACCAGGTAGTGATGATGAACGCGTGCTTGCAAATCCAAATGTACGTAGGTATCCTGCTGGTAGTTTAGAGTTGGAAGGAGATGCTCCATGTCTTGAAGGAAAAATGACCGACTTGTATCTCCCCTTTGGGGTTGTATCATTTGATGTTGCTTGGTTAACCTTCTTCGCACCAGGTGATGGTACTGTATTTGTCCTTTTCATCTTTTGAATTATTCAGAGACCCTAGTTGAATCTAAAACAATATTTAATAACATTTTCATTTTAGCTTGGTTTTCAAACAATCACTACAATATTATTGCGGCTGTAAATGTACGGAAACATTATTCTTCGTGATTACAGCAATCAGTTAACAATAATGAACAATTAAATTGAGTTAAGGTTAAGGTTGCTCTATCCCCTTTCTGATGACCCCCGCCTCCAAAAAACCTGTCTGCATTCTTCTTTTTCTCATGGAATATATATGCTAAACCTGAGTTGTTGTTGTTGTTATAAATTAATAAGCTAAATGTGTATTTATCGTGAAGTTTGCCATTATGCTGTTGTTGTTGTTATTGTTGTTACTGTTGCTGCTGCTTGCTGTTATGCAGGGCAGAAAAATTAGTTGGGAATGTACATTGTCAACGCCTCTCGTCACTCTTTAAGTTCTCGTTTCTGCTATTATTGGCATGCAGTCTGAAGGCAGAGTATAAACTGATCACACGATCAAAAGAACAATACAAACAATATCAACGTGAAGAATTAAAAAATTCATCTGTCTTTTATTTCTGGGAGTATCTGATGGTGCCTAGTAGAAAAATGGCGATTACATTTGTGCATTATATCTACCGCCTACCTTGTAGCTCGAATTGCCTGCAACTCGATCGTAATCCGATTTCGGGTCAGGTCAACTGCATGTGGGGTTTCTCTGTATCTATATTTTTAAATGGCATGTTTTAACACATTGACCTTTATGTTACGGGGAAATAGATCAAATGCAATATAAGCTTAAATAATTTTAGAATGATTCATCCAAGCTGAACACACGTGAACAGCGATAAACAAACATTCTCTACAAAACAAGGCCTGTTACGAAACGGAACTTCGCAATGATTTTTCCGCCTTTAAGATCTCTGCTGCTCCAATAAGATTAAGTTTAAAGACTTTTGTCTAATAGAGAACAGCTGTGCTTAACTAATGTGCACAACTTTTAAAACGCTGTCCGTTTTGCAAAATTATTGCTATATAACTTGTTGATTGCATGACCCTTTCAACGTACGGCGGTCAAATGAACGCGATTATTTGATGCAATATTCCTTGAAACACGGCCAGCTGAAATATATAAACAAAGGAAAAACTTACCTTGGCTGGAAAACAGGTGATAATTTCTAGTCAAGTCTCGTCCATATACTTTTCCCATCAGAGTTAATGAGAATCAAACGCCATTCACAACGAATTTATTCACGTTATCGTCAAGTTCTTTGAATGCCAAGGTTGCTCTAAAAGTGTTGCCGAAGAACATTAGAGCCCAGATCCTCTCTACTTTTCAAGCAGGATCAATCCGGAAAAAAGTCTTCAAGATGAAGCAAGCGGAGATGGCTACGATTTCTACTTTCGAAAATCGGAAAAGGAAGTTGCCTGTATCTTCGTCAGAAAGTACATGATATAAGTTAATAAACTAGAGCGCGGAAAATCAATCATCTCGACAAAGGCCGTGATTTACATGACAAAAAAGTGAGGCTGATCTGCGTTGCAAACACCATCATGTCAAAGAAGCTCAAAGAAAATTTGGCATGACAATAGCAAATAATGGCGAGTAGATTAATTTAAGAGAATATAAATAAGGCTGACAAAGGTGACTTGACAAAGCTGGTAATTTTATGTTAAACAAGCGTATATATATTTTATTTTTGACGTTGCTGTACCCGCCTTCGAAACCAAAATCGATCTTTGCTACTTTGCAGGATTTTTTCGGCGCATTTCTTGCTCTTTTCAAAATCATATCGCAAAGATATATGTAAATTTTGAATCAAATGTCAATAGTTCTGTCTTAAGTAATTAACGTCGCGGTGAGAATATTTCTGTCATTTTCAAGACAGCTGCGCTCTCGTCAAAGTTCTGGACTAGTTCAAAATACACGGTGTTTTAGCGATCTAACTGACTCCAGTGACTCGCGAATCTGAATATAAAGAAAGTTCTCAACGCTTTTTAAGCCCCCAAACGTGATAAAGTTTCAAATCTCTGCTTCCCACAAAATGCCAAAAGAGGAAGTGAAGGACAGACGGACGCCTTAAAACAAATTAAGCACATTCATTTTTCCTCTCCTGTTGATTTTTTTCAATTTAAAATTTTAAAATTTAAATTTTATTTTCGTAAAGAAAATAGGATGATTTTTCCCTCTGCATCTTCAAACTAGCCGCTTGGGAGTTACTTCTTGGGCGTTAAACTTAACTAACAATTTCGGTCCTGAGGGCAGTTTGTTCAAATTCGTGCGCAGCATTCAGACTAGCTGCAGCTTTAGCTATTTTCCTACTCGAACTTTAACTTGAACTCGGTAGGCTCAGGGGACCCCTGAGTGCCGTAATCGCCCGCAAAGGAAGCCTCACTGCAGAGTACGTTTGAAGAAAACTTGAACTTGCGGTTTTGCGCAAGCACAACATATACTGTCAAGACTGAATTCCGTCGCGGATTACTGAGACAGATTTCCGTCAGCACACACTCAATTCTGCCAATAACGAGTTTTTTCAATAACGTTTTATTTTTAGCCTCTCTTTGTGAATATTTTTCTGAATTACGAATCGCACTATGCCGAAAAAACAAACAAACAGAAAAGTGACGGGATCGCTAACCTTGGAGGTTTTTTTCTTTTTTTCAGTCAGTTTCTGCGTTGGCCCAGTTTATTCTCTCCTTGTGAATCATTCGTTTTTAAATTAAAACAATTTAATTTTTTTTCAGACAAATGTTGCAACGGATGGCAAGGATTAACATGGATTGGTCTGAATTAAAACTCGAAAAAGTAGGGCCAATCTTTACGAGTTTTAATGATACTAAAAAGTTCCGAAAGTAACGAGGGTCTTTAGCACCCTTCTGCCATCGTTATAGTTTCGGAGGCTCGCTGCTTTTGGGGAGTCCATGTTACTTTCTGATGGCTAAAACGTGTACTCCACATGGGCACTTGAAAAATAAAATAGCAAAAAATGAGAAAGGAATACTTTTTTAAAAAAAGGTAATGTATATCCTGTACTTTAAGAGTTATGAATAGGAATGTTAAATAATCATTATTAAAATAAACTTCGGATTTAATTTGTTCAGTGTATCTATCGTATCCGGTTATTTTTTGGCAAAAAGGAAATTCGTTTTGAGTGTCTCTTTTTTCGCAGGGTCGTTATTTTATTTGCTAACACTTGTGACATTTTATCGCTACTTTCGCAGGTTGGCTACTTTCGAGGGGTCGTTTAGCTTTTGGAACTTTACGGTAATCCGGCAAAAATCACTAAAGCATTCATGGTTTAGTGTTTCCTGATGAAATTTGTTTCACATCGTCTTCATTACTCTCAGACAGGAGCATTTTGCGTGTAGGTAAAGTGATGACTTCAACACAGAATTGACCAGTTCCGATGGCGATATATTAAAATTCATACTTAGCTGCGAGGTTTTGGGGAATAAAACAAAAGACTGAGCCTCAAGATGATTACTTTTGTTTTATTCCCCCAAGCCTCGCAGCTAATTATGAATTTTAATCTATTGACCTTGGAAACAGTGATGTCCTCGTGAGGAACGCGCGGGTGGAGAGTCTGGGAGCTAGACGGGCAATCGACAAAGGGGGAGGGGTGGGGAAATCAATTTGAGCTGAGCAAATGGCGGTTGAACCTGAGGCGAAGAAGAGCCGTGTGGAGCTGAGGTATGGCGTTTTTACGTTTTGTTTGTAAAAATCTTGCTATTAGTTTTGTTGTGAAGAGAGCTGGTTAATATTTAAGCTTATATGTTAGGCAATTTACTCTGGCGGTCTTCCACCCTGATCAACACGTGCTGCCTGGTTGCTGCCTGCGAGCCGCCGGGGTTTCGGAAACTTTACAAGTTGCCTGAATGTCTCTTGCAAGCTTACAACAATAAAATACGAAACTATGCATTTACCCCGATTAGTTACAATATTCCTCTCCAGTTTGAAGTAGTTTTACTGATGACATAACCCCATGTGCCCAGTTATGCCCAGCCGGTGATTGGGTAATAACAATCGTACCAGTCCTTTCCACACATGCTGATAAGCGCTTGTGAAATACTGATCGCCCTCTTCATCTCGACCCGGCTCTTTGATTAACATCTCCTCCTCCGGCTCCTCTGCACAAGCGTGACCTTGAAAATGACTAAGTAAGTTTTTATACATTGTTGTAAGTTGGTAGCACATTTCTGTTTGTACAGTAGAATTTCAGTGAGTTGGCATGGAGGATCCACTTCGAAATATGCCCTGTTGGATGTTTGACTTCTATAGAAGCAAATTACCCTAAATTTGGGTTTTATATTTCTCTTTCTGTACTTAAGGTCGTAATTTCGTGTCTGCAAATAATTGGTTTACTTTTGAACCTGAAACAATACCCTGTCAAGACAGTAAAATTACTGACTTAATTACTGACTTTGCCCCCGGGCAAAACCCTATCCTTTGGACTGAACATAATTTGCCCTGTTAGTGGAGACCTCCCCTCTGTGAAGTAATAGGTTGAAACCCAAACTCAGAGATGCCAAGCTCTGGAAATCTAAGATCTGGAAACTCTTCCTTTTGCATTACAACCCCCCTCCCCCCCAGGAGATTTGGTGCTTTAAGATAACCGGGAGACTGGGAGATTTGATGAAAAACTTGGAGACTCCCAGGAAAATCGGGAGAGTTGGCAGGTATGTGTGGACCACTCAAACTTACTTCATAAGTTAACTAAAATTAGATATGTCGGACTTAATTGTTTCAAAATTATGTCAATCCCCCCCCCCCCCCCCCGCAAATTTGGGATGCTTTTTTTTTTTTAAGGCCCTTTATAACAAATTCAATAAGTGGATTGTTATATTTTTATTTTATACATGATTGTAATAAAAAAATCAAAAACAACAATAATATACATAAGTATTAATTTTTGAAAAACGTGGGGACTCCCAGGAAAATGGGGAGAGTTGGGAGGTTTGTGTGGACCCCTAAAACTTACTTTATAAATTAAATAAAAATGAATATGTTGAACTTAATTGTTTAAAAAATTAGTAAAACCCCCCCCCCCCCCACAGGCAACAGTGGTCGACTTTTTTATTGATCAGCGACTTAAAACAAAGTGAAATAGGAGTATTGTTCTATTCTAATTTACTGATTGTGTAGTAAAATAAATTAAAAATGCCGTAAACAGGTCACAAGCCTGACTCACACCCTTTCCACAAAACGTGTTTTGGTCTTCATAAAGTATAAAAAGGGGATTTGGTGTGCCTACAAGACATTGTTTTGTTGCTCAATAAAATTCCCTTTAGGCCAGAGGGTTTGTTTGCCATAGTTTTCTACAAAGCATGGGATCTGAATTGTTATTTTAACAGTCGGCGAGTATGAGAATTCCCGTCAGCTTTGACATACTGGACCCATCTCTTTGTGTTGCTTGGAGGATATTAACACTCCTATTAAAAGCAACACAACTCTTTTGGGAGAAAAGTTTTTTATAGCAACATTTTTTGTTGTTGAAAGTATATCATTTTCACCACACCATGTTAGCTTTAAATATATTTCCGGCCATTTCAACTAGTTAATCGCATCCTCGTTGGATCGCACCTCCCCATAAAAAAACCTGGCTATGGGCCTGCTTCTCATTCTCAATATTATTTTGCACATCATCCCCTTGGCTGTAAGTAAAGATCTCTTTTTTGGAACTTTAGAGCCCTTGCAACACCTTTCCATCCATAGTCTATCTGAGTACCTCCCGTAGGTCACGTCCCTTTTGCGCTGGTTGCGGGAGTTTGAATGGACAAGTTAACTGAACTGTACAGTCTTCTGTTGGGTACATGTACATACACCTTTTAAGTGGTGATCAGTGTTCTTGTATCTGTAACTTTCCAGCCTTCCAGTCATTGTGAATTGGTATTTTTCATCAACAGGGAAGGAATTGTCCTTGGAATGGGAAATCCTCTATTGGATATCTCTGCCACAGTGGATAAAGATTTCCTTGACAAGTATGTTAGCATAAAGTCTGAATAGACAATAATTATTAATCTTTCAAATTCTCAATTTTGTATTTCTTCTGTATCTATTTAACCCAAACTTTTAACAAGCCCCTCCCCCTAAAAGTAATCAAAGCATTAGAAAGTAAATTTGTCTAACTTGATAAGAAATCAGTCCTTTTTAGAACATATTGTCTACTGGTAAACATGTATTTTAGAACACACAGTACATGTGATAAACTGTTCCTTTCATAGACTGCAAGCTCAAGTTACTTAATTTTCATCTTTGGCAATTTAACAGTGTCAACAGTGCTTGCTTAGAGGCTCTTCCCTACTCATTCTCCATATCCTATTTGAATTCTTTCTTGGCTTTGACCTTTTCTTTGGCTCACTCTCTCATTTGTACTTTCATAAACGTACAATAAACAAATGACTAAAAGTAAGTAGCTAAATCTATATGCTTATTTTAAAGATATTTTTGGAGGTTTAGATCTTAGAGAAGGTTGCTTTGTGATAGTAAGTTCTTAAACAGATACAGTTGACTCCTGATAACTCAAACCCTTCTAGGGAAATCAAAAAAGGTTCGAGTTATCGGAAGTTCGAAGCAAATGAGGAAACAAGCAAATGGATGGCCGAGAGGGAATGCAAGTATCATGTACACTTCACTTCAAGGACAACAAAAAATGAAGATTGATATGTTGAAAAAGGAATATTATGTAACACAGCTTGATTAATATTCAGTGATGGAAAATGAATTTGAACTCGAGTGACAAAAAAAGTAAAGACAAAGAAATGACATGATTGTTTTCAGATAAATTCAATATTTTGGAGTTCAGTACATCATTTTTTTTTCCAACTTCCCATGCACTAAAAACACAGTTTGAGTTATAAAGGGTGAAATTATATAGAAATGATCTCAAGAGAAACAAAAATTAATTTAAGTTATTGGGAGATTCGAGTTATTGAGTGTTTGAGTTACCAAGGGTAAAATTACAGTAAATGTATTGAGGAGATCCAGGGGAAATCGACTTTTGGTTTGTGTTAGTGCGAGGTTCAAGTTATCAAGGGTTCGAGTTATTAAGAGTCAAATGTATTTAAATTTGCCTTTACAGGTATGGACTAGATGCTAACAATGCAATATTAGCAGATGAAAAGCACCAGCCCCTGTGAGTTCAGAACATAGTTATATTGTTTATAAGCTAGACAGTACTGCCATAGCTACATGTACCTGTACAGAGAGTCAGTGTTAAAATATGTTTCAGTTGCATGATTTCAATTGAATACCATTTTCATCCATCCCTGAAGTGTGAAATGAATTTAGTGCATCTATAGATTTACTTTTGAAACATTAACACTTTGGTCTGCTCTGTGTCACTTCTGTGCAATGAAATGTTGGAGAATAGAAAGTGAAGTCAACAAGGTTTATTCTCAAATTGTCATTTTTGGAAGTCCCTTTAAATACAATTTTTAGCCTCCATCCTGAAGGTATTGATGATGCCCCCATCACATGCACATGGTGAACCTAGGAGTATTGCCACGACCCCCCCCCCCCCCCCCCCAGGGGGGGTACTGCAAAAAAAATTTTTAACAAACTCTGTCGCCACCCTTAAGAGGGGACGAAGTTTTTTTTTTAACAAAAAAATAGAGAGAAAAAAAAAAAAAAAAAAAATACAGGGGAGGAGACAAATACTTTGTTCTTTTTTTAAAAGAAAAGTGAAGTAAACAAAGTTTATTTTCAAATTTTTATTTGTGGAGGTCCTTTTAAAAAAATTTTTAACCTCCCTTCCTGAGGGTTTTGTGGAGCCCCCCCCAAATGGCCACGGTGAAACCTAGGGTTTTTGCCCCACCCCCCCCCCCCCCAGTGGGATGCTAGTCAGTAACAGTTTTACATAACCCTTTGGCACTCATCTAAAGGGGAGCGAAGTTTCTTGTCTAAGGAAATGACATGAAGAATGAATGAAACAACAGAATTGAAGGGCGAGGGGCAAACTTCTTGGCCATTGTTTAGTCAGCCAGTTTAGTCACTTACTTAAAAAATTTAATAATCTAATTTTGGAATAAGTGCTAAATGAATTGTGGTTTTCAGTTATAAAGAAATGGTTGATAAATTTAATGTGGAATACATCCCTGGGGGTGCTACACAAAACAGTATGCGAGTTGCTCAGGTGAGTAAATGTAATATAATTTCTTTACTTTGCCAAGAGAGACAAACAAAAAATGAAAAAAAAAGAAAGAATGAATTAAGGGAATGGGGCAATGCAACTATAACAGGTCAAGCCGGCTGTGCTCTAGGGAAAATATGAAGAGCGCCTAGTGCTTTGAACCTGTAAAATCTAGGGTGCTCAGCATATGACTTGTATGAAAAAAACTAAGATTTTCTAGTTGCCGAAGGGCAAAGGTTAGGTGCCAGGGGCCACCGGGCTCTGCTAGAGCACAGCCCTGCAGGTACAATTAGCTATCAGCAAAGGTAAGGTTATAGTTTGCAGCATTTAGGCATTTTAACTTTGATATAGTGCATTGTATTTTAATCACTTTTGATTAGTTGCTGCTGTAGCTTTGGCAGTATAATATGTTTCTTTCATTTTTGTCCTTATCACTTGTATTACTAATGCTACAACTGTAGTTACAAAAAGTATTCCAACAAGAAGGGGGAGTGAGGGAGGAAGTGATTTCATTGCATGGCCCTTTATATAATTTAATTTGGTGAGGCACAAAACAGATACCAGTTCCTGGCTCAGGGAGAAAGCCGTAGAAAGAAAATGTGTAGAGACAGCTAAAGTGGTCTTGAACAACAGAGGAAATTGCAATTAGAGATGCCATTAAATCTGTATGTGAACTTTGGACACAATTAATTACTTTTTGAAATCTCTTCCAATTTCTTTTTTCCTGTGAGATGGAAAGTACATTTTGGATTATTTTGTACTTTTTTACTTTGGGCATACAAAAACTGATACTTGCACCTAAAACAATTCCTAATATGTTATTTATTATTAATTTTGCATGGTATTCATTTTGTACCTTATTATAGTGGCTCTTAGGGAAAGATGCAAAAACAACATCATTTATGGGTTGCATTGGTAAGTTGTGTGAAGTTTATTTAAAGGCCAACTGAAAATGCCTGGTGCATCAAAGACAGGTTTTTGCCTGAAATTCAAATTCTCTCACTGCCGTTAGCCATTCTCACTGCAAAACACCCCCTCCCCCACCCTTGATAAGTATTAGGACAGGGAAAGATATAAAAGATGAAAAAAAATTAGTAAGTTAGGTTATTTTATGTGACCTAATTTTTTACAGTTCTGTGGAAAATCTGCATAAATTTTAGAAAATTAGATCTTATGGAAATTTCATGCATGGAGGCAGTATAGCTACTTAAAAATTATAATCTGCTGCTAATCAATGCCATGATCTTCCATGCACCTTCTGTATATGTATTGTTTCTTTGTAGGAAAGGATGAATTTGGTAAAATTCTGTCTAAAAAGGCCACAGAAGCCGGTGTAAATGTAAACTATTTAATACATGAAAAAGAACCCACTGGAACGTGTGCTGTCTGCATAACAGGAAAACACAGGTACAGTTTGCATTGCCTGCTGCTCATACATACACTCTCCAAGGTTTCATTTGACTCTTCCCTTTCCCCTCCCAAAAGTATATCAAAATAGATGGGAAGATTTGCAATGTACGGTACATCTGATTTGGAAATACATTTATTATCTAGTCCCTGATTAACCCATATTTTCTCTGAAGTGCAATATAGTCTCAATTTTTTCATTTCATTTGCATTCCTTGCACGAAACATTGTCTAGAATGTGTTTCTCCAGTTTTCATTTTATTTTGACCCACTCTGGTCACTAGTCTATCATCCAAAACCCTCATTGGGTCTCTTCTAAACATTTGTATAACTGTATTTGATAGACAGCCATACTGTGCAACTTTTGTTGGGTTAATAGCCCTATGGTTTAACAATTAAAATGAAATCTCTTTGACAGTACTATAAGGAGGTTTCATTATATTGAGGTTCTTTACCATCTACTGGTATTTGTCTATATTGCTGGGCTAGGAATATTGTTGGTTATGCTGAGTTCTTTGTTATTTGAGGTTTGTTAAATCGAGGTTCCACTGAACAATGAGTTTTTCTGAAATAGATATTTGGTAAATTTGTTTAAAACATTAAATCTTTGCAGGTCTCTTGTTGCAAATCTTGCTGCAGCAAATTGTTACAAGAAGGAAAGCCACTTGGACAAACCAGAAAACTGGGCATTTGTTGAGAAAGCTCAATATGTTTATATAAGTGTGAGTATGTTAACCACAAAAAACACTTCAGAACTTATTGTTAATTTTGCAATGAAAAGTTGGTCAGAGGCAATAGTGTGGTTAAGCACCTTGTTGACTGAAATCTGTTGCCCTTGGACCCCTTACTCAAGCTGCTTTCTTCTGCAGACCTGATAAAGAATTTATAACTCCTGGGGTTTGTAAGCAGGATTTATGGTACAACAGGCACCTTCTGCATTAAATCTTTTGTCAGGAGGTTGCTTGGACAGAACAGCAGATTTTGGCTGTTACATTTAATGCTAATGTAGACCAACTTTGGAGGGTTAAGTGTTTTTAAGTGTTTTTCATTTTCTTTACTTCTAGGGTTTTTTCTTAACAGTATCTCCAGACTCGATTGTGAAAATAGGCAAGCATGCTGCAGAGAAAGACAAGGCAAGTAATTTGAATTGATCTACTGTGCTAATATTTTATAGGTTTACTTGAACTTAAATATTTATTATTATTATTGTTATTATTATTATTTTGGTTTCAGCTTTTTATGATGAATCTCTCTGCACCATTTTTGTGTCAAGCTTTTAAGAAGCCAATGATGGAGGCTTTGCCTTATGTGGACATTCTGTTTGGAAATGAAAGTGTAAGTAAAACAATAATATTTGAAAATGAAAGGGTGTTAATCAATTTTAAGCATATCTCATTTGAGTTCCTGGAGGGATCTGTACCTGTTAACTCTCATACAGTTGAAGCTCCCATAAGTAGACATCAATGGGGTACAGAAAATTGTCTTAAACTAGAGCTGGGGCCCGTTTCTCGAAAGTCCCGATAATTAACGGGCCCGGTAAGCTGTCTCCGTTTACATTAAAGATCCAGGTTCCAATAGTTTTGCATCTAAAGTGATAAAACTATCAGTTAATGAAACAAAATGGAGTAGTTTGCTTGCCAGGACCCCCGCTCTTATTCTTTATATTTCGATTTGAATATTTGATTTTGGGCGCGAAAAGTTACCGGCACTTTCGAGGAAACAGGCCCCTGGCCATTTATGGGAGTTACCTACATAAGTGGCCTCAAGCACTCTCAAGTTATCTCCCTTCAGTGCTAATCATCATCATTGTCATCATCACCAATGCGGCCACCATGACCATTCTAATCATTATCATCATCATGGCTACATCCACGGTCCTCATCATCATCATCATCATCACCACCACCACCACCACCACCAGCCTCATCTTCCTCCTTCTCCACCCCCTCCTCCTCATCATTATCATCATGGTCATCGTCACCATGATCATCATAAGTGGCCTCTAGCACTCTCCAGTCATCTCCCTTCAGTCCTTATCATCATCATGGCAACCTCCACGGTCCTCATCATCATCACCACCACCACCACCACTAGCCTCATGTTCCTTCTCCACCTCCTCATCCTCATCATTATCATCATGGTCATCGTCACGATGATCATCATCATCATCAACATCTTCGTCATCATTGCCATTTTCGTCATCAACATCCACCACCACCACCACCACCATCATGTTCATCATCATCAGTAGCATCATCATTACCATCACCATTATCATCACCACAAGGTGCATAAAACCGTCATTTTGTATGTCCAACCTGCCCTGTCTGTGCCACTGTTTCGGCCATACTCAAGTTCATCCAGCCTGCCTTGTCACCCCTTCAGTCCTGTTAACCTTCAACTGGACTGATCGACTGACTAACTGAAAAGGGACTGCTTACAGCGTAATTATAAGATGTGGTGCTCTTAACACTCCTGCTTCATTTTGAGACTTACATACTGTTGATGTGTTCATCAAGTACTGATAATTCAAGAAGAAGATGGCTGTGAGCAGTGTAGAGGAGCAAAGAGAGTTGTAGTAATTTGTTCAAGCTCAGGGTCATTGAATTTTGATATCTTTTACCAAGAAAGCTCCTGGCCTTTTTTTAATACAAATTTGCCTTAAAACATGGTGCAAATTAATTTAAGTGTGAAGTAAAACCTTTCCATTTAATTCCTGTACAGGAGGCAGCCGTTTTTGCTAAAGAACAGGACTTTGGAGTAAGTACATTGATGTTGCTTCCAGAACAAGTATTGTTTGGATATTGCTACACCAGGTTCATTCTCTCCATTATAAAATTTTTGACCACCTTGCACATACTAAACATAAAAGCAGTGTTCCATATAGCTGCATTTCAGTGGCGGATCCAGCACTCCCCCCTTTTATTTTTAGACCAAACTGAGGCCCAAAGGGCCGCAAAAAACCTTTTTTTTTTGAGGCCCCCCCCCCCCCCCCCCCCCAGGGCCCCCCCCCCCCCCACCTTCTTATCTGAAGGTCTGGATCTGCCATTGCATTTGGCCCCGTCCACCCGACCCCGGACATTTTTGAAACCGCATCCTTTCTTACCCGGGCTCGTGTGGATGTGGCCTAACGGTTTAAACCAATTTAGAGAGCGGTTTCAAAAAGATGAGGTTTTGGAGAGATACATAAATAGATACATATTTTATTTTGTTTCCCAAAGGGGCTTTACACAGACAATATAAGAATGATACTGATTTAAAAGCTTAAACTTCCAAGATTGAAAACCCAGACTGCATTCGATGGTTACCAGCTTGAGCTAACTAGTACTTTTTACTTGTTATAAATTCACCAGACAGAAGACGTAAAAGAAATTGCAAAGAAAATGGCCGAGTTAACAAAAGTCAACGGGAGTCGTCAACGTATAGTGGTGATAACGCAAGGCAAAGAACCAACCATTGTTATTAAAGGTACTCAGGACACATATTTGTGATTATAACATAGGAGGAACTTTTGTCAGGGTCAAATTAGTCTGCTACACAGCCGTTTTTAGTGGCGACACTAAAAACGACTGTGTAGCAGGTCAAATGAACTTTTTAGCTTAGAGCTTATCAGATGAGCGTTACACCCATGCCCATGGGGGTGGTACAAATGTGACTCACGGGATCCCACGGGATGGAGGCCCTTCTCAGCAAACCCAGAGTCCATGACTAGAAGACACCAGGGGTGGTCACCGCCAGATTTTTGTTTCGGTCTCAGGGTTAGTCAAATCAATCAGTTAAAGCGCTGTGAGGTGGGGCCTTTGGTTTTTCCTCCTTGATGGGAACTGGAGAGCAGGCTTTTAACCAGACATTGAAAACTGGCCGTCCAGAAGGCATGTTTTGTCATAAAATTATAAGAGATTAAGTGAATTTTCCTTTTATGTACTCCAAAGATGGGCGTCCATAGGACGGCTGGACACCCTTCTGGCTAAAACCTTGCTGGAGAGTCAAAAACCATTTGGAGCACGTGCACAATCCCATCAGTTATTTTAAGACAGTGAGTTTTGGTCCTATCGGGATTTTACCCCGAACTCCCAGTCTGGTGCTCTGTTTTTGAATGATGGCAGTAAATTCTTTCCCAATCTTTTTGCAGATGGTAAAGTCACAGAGTACCCAATCATTCCAATCAAAGAAGAAGATATAGTGGACACAAATGGAGCTGGGGATGCATTTGTAGGAGGTAAGATATCGAAGTTGTATAGCTTTTTCTTTCTCGTTCTCCCCGTTGGAGCTTCTTCATACAGCGTCACTTTGCTCGTTGGTTTCAGAGGAATTCCGAAGGTCTTCTCTTTTTTTATCATTTGCGAGCACAAAAGTTGAAGATTCTAACGTCTGTTATCCGCTGTTAATCTATGGAAAGTTGCAGAAGCTAAGCAAGTGAATTGAAATCAAAGTTGTCATTTTCACTTTTCAGTGTTTATAAATGTACTACCAATATGGTTAACTGAAGTTGACATACGTTTTCCAAAATGTGTAAACAAAAGAAGCTTTGAAAACTGAAACCTTGCCTTCAACGTGTCTTTGCGGATACATTTGCTCTTGTTTTAACCTCTTTACAGCGACAACCTACCTGCCACGGCCACTCTCCTCTGTCCTCAAGGCGCTCGGCTTGGAGTGATTCTATTGCTTACTTTCATCTGCTATCGCATTTTGGGCCAGAAGCCAGAACACTACATATACCTGACCTTGAAATTTCCATCAGTCTTGCGTATGTCTGTGCCATTTCTCTCCTTACTGTGTATTTTGTTGCGTTTTTAAAACTCTTTTATCTGCTTGCAGGATTCATCAGTCAGCTTGCTCAAGGAAAACCCATCGATGAGTGCGTTCGCTGTGGCCATTATGCCGCCAACTACATGATCCAACAGTCTGGTGTCACAATGACACAACTGCCAAACTTTTCATAACGTCTCATGACGGAGGAATTGTTTTGGTGTTTCAAAGTGGCAAAATAAATAGTTTTTTGAATTCACCAGTGTCTTGTTTGATAGCCCTAAATCTTTGACAAAACAAACGGATAACTACGACCCCACCCCCCAAAAACGGATGGGAAAATGGTGCGTTTTGGCCTTCACGCGGCTTCATCCTTGATTGTCGGGGAAGGGGGAATTCCGTTTCCAACTTATTCTGTCCAAGATTTTAACTTGTTCCGGGCTCTTAGGTGGACGGGGAAGTTCAAAAATGACGTGGTAAACGTATTCGTTAATGTCTTTCATCTCATTCGTTTTCTTGGCCTCTTTCCGACTATCCGAGAGTTCATTGAAGGAGGGTCAAAAAACGTTACAATACTCACACTAGTCAGAGCTTGCTCAAGGCTCATTTCAATCCAGGACTAAGTGAATTTAGGTAGATCCCTTAGGGTCGTGTATGATGGCAATTAAATCGACGTTAAATTCACAGGTGACGGTTTTCTGCAGTTGACGATACCCACCTTGTCTCTCTCTCTCTTCGAAAGCAATATAATACGGAGCTTAAGCAACGACGACGGCGACGTCAGCGAGACCGGCATATAAGCAGTAGGTTTAGATTGGCAAAACAACAACTTTGCACGTGCATCACGTTTTTTTGTATTTGTTTCCCGTCACTGCACGACTACGACGTGAAAATACCTAATTTCACGTTTTGTGGAGGACGTGAACACAAGACAACGACTTTCTCCTTCTTTTTCTGAACTTCGATACAGTCTTTGTTCACACTGTACTCGACGAATTTTCCACCGGTTGAAAAATTTGACCGGACACTTTGTTCACACGGAACCGTTCAATGCTCAGTTTTGTTCACACGGAACTGTTGAACCGTAATATTTCCAAGAAAAGCGAGTAATAAGACGACTCGTAAATCCATGTTTATTTGTGACATAAACTGTAGTAGGGATAAAATTATCTCTTTTTTGAGCATGAATCTCATTAACTCGCGTCGAAATCCATTATCGACATTGACGTCATAGCCTTTTGCCTTAATCTCATGAATAAAATGCGGAGAAATCTCATAAGTTATGGTCATATGCTCTTTGTAGGTTGTTTTACCGGTTTGACAGGTTTTCTAGTTATTTCAAGGTCGATGAATTTCTTGGTGTTCGATTAGCTGGCTAGAAACTAAGAAAAGTCACTGGTTAGTTCATGGAGTTCAAACTTGTCTGTTATTTAGAATTACTGAGACGTAAACGTATTACTGTAGACAACAAATACTAAATTGCTCCAGGCTATAGCGTCATCGGGTTAATGTGTTCCTCTGCAAGATAATGAGAATCCCCCGCATTTTATTCATGAGCTGATAAAGACAAAAGGATAGGATGTAATTGGCGCCGTTTATGTATTCCTGTGCAAGTTAATGAGATTCCTAGGCAAAAAACGGATGATTTCATCCCTATTATACTACTTCAGTTGTGACCATTCCTTTTCCAAGGGTGATATTGCCTTGCTCTATCGAGCAGTCTAGCCGGCCGTTTCTCTTGCATGGGTAAGAAGCAGGTCTGTAGGTATTTACGGCTACGGTTTTGAACACGGTACATTCCCGTACACCAAGATGGGTGTATCGTAAGGTCTCTGTTTAGCCAAACATGAAATGGGAAAGGTGCTCGTGTAAAAAACAGGTTCTCTGTTCCCTCGCTGCGCTCAACACCCGTCTCCTCTCCCTCGCTCGCGTCTGAAAATACCTCTTAAAAGAGAAAGAAGTAAAATTATCATGACCAGCAAGTCGCCTTTGGACTCCGGTTAATTTGTGTAGGAACTGTTTCTTTATAACTTACTGAAGTTCTATCTCGTGCGCACACAATAAAGACGTGCGCGAGATCATGGAATATACGTCATAGAGATGAAAATGATGTCATAAAGGAAAACAAATGCTGTCTTTTCAAGTTGCAGGAAAACTTCTTCCGACTGAAACTCGAGTTTTTGAATTTGTCCGCGCAGAAGTTCGGTCTGCATGCAAAAGAGAGAAATAATTTTACATTAAGGGCATTTCTCTGGCAGGTAGGGAACCTTTGCAGATTTCATTTTTTTAGTTCTATATTTTCCCTTTAATGCTTCCAAAAACTTACCATTGATGTACTATTTTGTTTTACACCAGGGAAATCACAATGAAGAGTGGAATCATTTTGATGTTCATTTTGTTAGCAACAGCAAGTCCTACTGGTCAGTCAGTTTCCCAGTCCAGTCATGCTCTAGATGGTAATACGTGGCCTTTGAATCGTCTACCCTTGCGCAGTGGTGAGTTGGCTACTCGTGAAGTGCTTTTTGTTTTTGGGTGTCAGAGGGATTATTTTTAAGAAAACTGCCCTGCCCCGTTGGTCACTGTCTGGCTCTAAAGAACCAAAACGCCGTTACACAGCAGTCTCGAATTTTACCTTTCGTTTTCTCTTCTCCCCTCTTTTTCGCTTTTCTGAACACGTTTTTTTTTTTTCGTTTGCTGGGAGTACAAGACTTTATTTCGGTAAGATTAGTTCCTGTCCAGAAGGCTTTTAGAATCTTAAGGTTAGATGAAAGGAAGTGCACGCAGGGTAGTGGAACAAGATGTTCATTGTAATTTTCTGGTCAGCTTTACGTGTCTTTTTTCGCCTTTTTTCTTCGGTCTCGACCTTAACTGAATCATGCTCATTCTGGTATGGTTTGAAAGATACTTCTTACCCCTGCTCGAGTTAGATGACAAAGTTTTCCTTACATTGACTATCAAACCTGATGGTGCAACAAGCAATACAAGGAACGTAGATTCACACGAGCAATTATAGGGAAGGCTCGGTGGGTTAAGGGACGGACCATTAGAAAAGTTATTGGGGGGTGGGGAATTTTCGAGCCGCAGGAATTTTTTTTCCTTTTAAAAGTCCTTGTATGAATTTTTTTTAGGCCATAGCATGAATATTTTTTAGGGTTAGTTGGCGAGCATGAATTTTTTTCATTTAATTTTCCCTTGCGCGAATATTTTTTTTGTACTTCGCCCCCCCCCCATAAGTTTTCTAATGGTCCGTCCCTAAAATAACTTAAATAGAAAATACATAAAACAAATTCTATTGAATCATGGTCTCAGTCTGATTCTTATTGTTTCTTTCAGACTTCCTTTTGCCATCATTTTTCACTGTATTTGGCAGTCTGTTAACGCTGTCACTGATTGCTATGAGCACTAAGAGTTCTGTGTGGCCTAAGGTTCATTCTCAGAAGAAGACTGCAACCAAAACAGAGCAAAACTATTTCGTCACACCATCTTTCGTCGCACCTCTTTACGTCAACCGCATCACCCAAGCAAGGCTACGATTAGCGCAACACAGGGTCGCGCAAGTTAGTTTTACCGTTGGGCTCCCGGAAGACAGCAACTCAGAAATCGCCACTCACGTTGATTTTGAAATATGGAAAAAGAAGCGTCAAAACATTCGTGAGAGGCGAAAAGAAAGGCTTGCGAAAGGACCCAGGATTGACCCAGAAAAGTTAAAGAAAATCAATCAAGAATGGCTTTTGTTTTACGGATTTAAGAGTTGCGATATTTTCCACATGGAAAATGAACTTGACAATATTGTTTCTAAAGTGCCTCGCGTTCTCTCAAAGAAAAAGAAAGTTATTCAGTTTGACAACTGTGTGAATGTTATTTACATCGAGAAAAACAACACTGGTCGTCGAATGAGCCGATGGGAAGCACCCAAGCCCGATAGCGTTTCTTTCTCTGAACTTACATCTCATTGTAAAGACAATGTTGTGTAAAAGCCATTTCTCCCGAATATATCAGCAGCAAATAAAAAGTTTGATAACTAATTTGTGTCACCTTTCTAGCCAGAGCGTATGTAAATGGATAGTGGGGGGGAGAGGGGGTTAAACCCATTGCGTTTAAGCTCATAAACAGAATCTGTTTCGAATGAAATGCCCTTAAAACTCAAGAGAGGTCTTGTAACTTTCGAAAATACTATAATTGCGAATACGAGAACTATAAATTGTTTCCCGATTCTTTTCCCCAAGCAGTTTCTCCAAATAACTGTCACCTTATACACTACATGAAGATTGATTCAAGGATTGGTTCATCGATACAGTAGCCTCTCACGCAGACGAGGGTTTTGTCACGCGTTCCTTCCCCAAGATGGGGAGGATTGCGTGAAGAGCCAAAAAACGTCTGCTTGGGAGGCTAGTCCATCAGCCGATTGGTCACGTCCTGCCCAAGATACAAAAGTTCTCTATAACAAAACAAAAAAAATGTACATCCGATTATAAGCCACCTCCCCTCTCCCCCGAAGACCTCACCTATTATGACGTTTTGAAGGTTAATTTAAGACCAGTGAATGCAGAATGGAGTTTGATGAGCAATACTGCATGCTGTAGCTTTCTTCGAAGCGCGTTTAATAGTTTTTTTTTTTGCATTAGTTGATCACCTGATCCAGTTTCAGTAAAAACGAAAAGAGTTCGCTTTTGAAAAACTTTGTTAGCACGAGCTGAAAGAGCATATTAACAACATGATTAAAACTGGCTAATTTTCAGCCGCATATCTCAAAAGTACCGATTACAACGGCCGCCGAAAACTAGAGAAAGATTTAACGACAGTTTCAGAATTCCAGGATTTACAAGGCCTACAAGGACTTGTATGGAAAACCACTAAACTCACTCGTGACTGGGTGGCAACTTCAACTTCAACAGTTGTGTAATAAAAATATTGATTACAATAGACTGGCCCGCAAAATAGCAATTGCTAATCTAGGCGGACCAGTTAAAAGAAAAAAAAAGTTAAAAGAAAGGAAAGGAAGGAAACTATTCTGAGTTATAATCATGAATAATATGGCAAGAGTGGTGGTGGTGGCGAGAGTTGTTTTTCTGATACAAATCCTTCTAATTTTCGGCGGCCGTTGCAATCGCGATCGCTACTTTTGAGATATACGGCTGAAAATTTTCAGGATACCTAATTTTAATATGTTTTTTCAGCTCGTGATAACCAAGTTTTCAAAAGCGCACTGTTTTCATGTTTACCGAAAGTTGATCTCGTGATCAACTAATGTGAAAATTAAAGGCCTATTTCTATTCCACCGGTTTTAAGTCCCCTTGCCCCCGCTTAATAAGTCCTAATAAAACCCTACGACGATGTAGGGCTTATAATTGGCAGTTTACGGTGTTGCCTACATATTCTAAATATGGCAAGTGCCGGCTGGTTATATGAAGAATTTGCTGCTCACTGCTGTTGTGCTAGCCTGAGGCCTGGTTAGTTGGGGAACAAGGTCTCAGGAGACTCAGGACGCTCGTCTCGCTTCGCCCGCCGATGTGTTTTTTGGTTTTATACCGTTTTTGGCCGTTTTCATTCTCTGGGAAGCCTTGTCCCAGGATACTGTATGTTGTGCACTCTAAGATAACTCACCGTCTTCTCACCGTCCCACCCGCCGACAAAACCCGCCGACTACCGACAGCCTCTTTGCCAATTCTTTGCCTACCCTTACTCAAGCACCGAAGAGACTGGGTACCAACATGTTTTAAATATGGCGGCGAAAAGTGCTATCGAACGTGGAATTAACACGATCTGGCAAAAAATTCTAACTGTTGTGAACAATGCTATAGTCTATCTTGACAGCAGAACAGCTGAATGGATACACTGGTGTGGTAGTCTTCAAGATTTTATAGACGCAGGTGCACTTAATGTCTGTGACATTTCATCAGCAAGAGTGAGTACCGCGGCGCAATAGTTTTTTCAATATATTAGCCTAAGCAAAGCTTAAACACTGGATACATTAACGAATCCTTATAACAGCCTGACTGTTTAATGATTATGAATTCTCCATTTAATTTAATTGGCCTCAGTGTACATATTCTCACCGAAGTTGTGGAAGGATAAATTTATAGAAAGATTCAGCAAAAATTTACACGACGTATTCGTCATTGCCTAGATGTCATAATTTTGAACTATTATGCTTGAAATTTGAGCGTACAAAACTCTCTTTCAACTTTGCCAAAATATGTTCCAGCCATTGACTGAAAAGGAACAAGGTAAAGGGTGAAAGACAGTTTGCAACATCGACATGCTGAAGTATGTTTCCTTTCACTCCTAGAAATTGAAATTAAACCTAATCGTTTCATTTCAGAGTGGAAATGAGTCCGAAACAAAGGCTGTCTTTATTGTTGGTACACTCCTTCAAAGTGAAACACTGGATTTGGTCCATTCTATTGTCGAATCCAGTGATTTTCAGCACTGTACAATTCTTTGTACTGTACCAGAAAATGTACATAGCTTTGCCAGACATGCAGATGTTGCTGATGTGTCACCATTTGGGGAATTGTCACAAAAGCTGAGGGAATGGATGGGCAATATGGCAAGTAAAACTATTATTATTTTGTTGTAACAGCCACAGAAATCACACGAAGAGGATGTTCTACCAATGAAAAAATCTTCAATCAATCGATTAATCGCTCTTTTGCATGCCATGAATTATTTTGCGTCTTTGGGGATTTTTATGCATTATGAATGCTGAACGCAGAGGTATAAACAATATCACTGTTTGACCCTAACCTTCTTTCACTTTATTTCTATCACTACCACATAACTGAAGAACAATCAAGCACACAATTCTTATTCTTGGGGTGGTAGTGTGTTTGGTGGGGGGGGGGGGGGGGGGGGGGGGGGGGGGGGGGGGGGGGGGTGGGGGGGGGTTTAGGTTTTTTTTGGGGGGGGCGAAGGGGGGAGAAAACACCGTTTTTTAAAAAGAGGCTTAACTTTTTTTTTTCTTTTTTTTTTGTTGGAGTTTTCCCTTTGGGTTTTTTTTTTTGTTCTGTATATATGCAAAATAAGAGAAAAAAAAATATCTTTGTTTTTTACCCACTCCTTTTTTTGTTTTTTTTTCTCCCCCCACAACATAAGAAAAAAAAAAAAGGCTACTTTTTTTTTTGGTGGGGGGGGGGGTGGGTGGGGGGGGGGGGGGGGGGGGGGGTGGCATAGGGGAATGAGGTAGTATGGTGAGAGCTTTAGACTTTTTATCTGGAGGTCCAAGCAGGAGCAAAACTCAGTTTTTAGAAAGCTGAGCTTACCTTTTTTGTTTTTTCTTATTGACTGCAGTATGCCACTGTGGATGTTCATTATGTGCCGTTGTTTGCTGCTGTGGTTTGTCCTGGACTATTCATCAGTCCTGTGTTTTCATCCTTCTTTCCACTTTTACCGTCAGATGTTCCAAGGCTACAAAAATTTCTCAGGAGTACGGTAATCAAACTTTTATTTAAGTTTAACCTTCTTATCATAGATGTGCTATTTTTCAAAATATGAGTTCAAGTATCCTTCACTGTTTTAAGGTTCTTGGTTTGTTTTTGGGGTATTTTTGGAACCAAACTAAAGGTGGTGAATACTTCTAAAATGTGAGATTACTGAGATACTGAGACCCTGGTTTAAAAATCTAAGAATTTGAAGTAAATTTCAAGACTCAGCGTGCAAAGAAAGTGCTGTCCGATAGCCCGGGGCTAGTGGATTTGCTATCAGGCTAGTGAATTCTGTTTTTAACTTGCCCGACGGGCAAGTGATGTTTTATGAGGAATTTGAATAACAGAAGAACAAAAAGGTTTTGGGGCTAGTTGAAATGACATCTGGGCTAGTAAATGCTAGCTTCAGCTTGCCCGAATGGCAAGCTGTAAAAATGATATTCTTTGCACCCTGAGACTCCAAGATGGAAATAAAGAAACAAGAAATGATACTCATGCTTGTTGTAGCCTACAACTGCCACACAGTTTGAGCCACTTCTAACTTCTTTGGATATGTAGCTATCTATACGGACTTGAACTTCATCCAAAGAAGAAGCTAAAAATGTCCTCAAAGCATGAAGTTCTTTGATCATTAAGGGTAGCTATTAAGTTTGTCATTGACAGCAAGGTTGTAGCTATTAATAGAGACATGTGGTCAAATTGAGCCCTTTAACTTTTTTCTGTAGCGGTGGAAGTAACTGTTTTAAATGTTAATGGTTTTTAGGGAGACAAGAGGACATTCAATGGCCTAAATGATTTTGAGATGTCTTCTCTTCCTCATAATTTGCAACTTAAAATCAAGGTGGGTGCTCATTGGGTTGAAAGCATGATTTGAATAAAGGAACTGGAAACTTTTTTCACAAAGATCACTTTCTTATCCTTTAGTGGAGAATCCCCAGCCATGGATCTCAAAACGTGTTTGTAATGTAGTTAACTTCACAGTTGAATGACATTTTGTGTAATTTCCCCTCCTAAGGATAGCCTTATGAGTAATTTTGCTACAACCTTGGACAAAACTTTTTGAGACACATCACAGTAACTGTTGCTTAATGAATGAACATCCCACCCCAACCTCATTCCCTCTACCAAAAAGTTGCTTTTGGTAACACCAGAAAAATGGATTTTAGAGCAAAACAACACTAAGTGGGGGTGGGGCAGGTGGTGACTTCTGTTTGGAGGAGATGGCAGTATGGCACAAAATAAGAAAATAGATTTAACTGTCTCTAGCTTTTTGTCCGAGGTTGTAGCTTGTGCAGCATTCAGTAGAAGTAAGAAAATAAGGTCAGTATGTAGTCTAGTATGCAGTGTTTCTCTTAAATTCCTGTTGCAGATGTTTGCATTTGGTTTGAACAGTTTGTTTGAACTGTTAGATGTGAATGAGGACTGTTATGGTGTAGGTTACCTCAGTAAAGTCATTGCTACAGAACTCGCTAACTTACCAGCAGCAAGGATGAGAAGAAAGGTGCAGTTTGTGTTTGTTAGATTTTAGTGAAAAATGGCCTTATGGCCCCCTTTCCTGGTCACAGCTGTCTACTCACCCTGTGGATAAAGTTATTCAAACCCCTGAAAACCATTACTTGGCTCATTTTTTTGTAAGATTGAGGGGTCATAGTGAATCATATTCCAGAATGAAAAAGTGAATATGATGTATTGTTGTAAATAGAATCTCATTACATTTGTCCAACCAATTTGTGTCCCAAGAGTTCAGTCAAGTGATAAGATTTCTTGACTTAAAACTCAAGAATCTTCTTTAACCCATTGCTTCTGGGAATTTTGCCGAAGAATGTGTTTAAAAGCTACTGTCTAGCCGTTTTCTGGTCTCTGACTGGCTATAAAGAAATTAAACCTACCAAAAGATGTACAGGTCGTAGTTTTTGTGGTCATTTGTTCCAGATGCAAAATATCAGCTTCGAACGCTCAGGCATGTACAGTCAGCAAAATTTGGAGGAGTTTGGATTTAAAAGTGACACAGCAGTCTTGACTTTTGCTTCTTGCCTTTTTTCCTTCCCTCTTTTCCTGTGCTTTTATCACCTCATTCTCTTTCCTTTGGTAGACTTTAACTATTCTTCAATTCAGTGGGAAAAGGTTTTGGAAAAGCTTTTAGGATTCAGGATTAGATGGTAGGCATGACTTTCATGGGAAAGATGGATAGATAACACCTGACTTACAGAGTATGAGTGTGTGATTTTCTTTTTCAAACTTTTGTAGAGTTCCAGCAGTAGAGGATCCCTAATTTTGATTGACAGAACACTTGATCTGGTGGGTCCATCAGGTCACTCATTTGACACACTAGCGGACAGAATCATACAGTTGTTACCAAGGTTACCACAGCACACAAGTGATGTGGCTGTCGACATGTCTCCTCTTTGTTCTTGTGGCAGGTGAGGTAACCAGGTTACTGGTTTCAGCTTAATCCTTTAAGTCACAAGAGTGACTGAAATCAATTTTCTCCTCTCTAATAACACTGCATAATCAAGGGAAGAGGTGATGAGAATGAAGAAAGTGACTAACATAGAGAAAATGCTCTGATTTCCTATCAAATTCTCTCAACTGATTCTTTAAGGAAAAGCAAGGGAATCAGTATGGATAATTTGTATCTGAATATTTAACAATTATTGAATGAGGCTGAGTACCATCTGAAGAATCATGGATCCAACTTTGTTGCACTTTTACGCGCATTGGTTTAATATGGCAAAATTCTTCCAAATTTGGTTGACAGTAGCTGGTTATGATGAATATATTTTTTTTATTATGTGTGTGATTTTGGCCAATCAGAAACTGAGAAATATTTTGAATGAATAATAATGGAAGTTAAAGAGTTGAATCAATTTGTTTAGTGTAGTTTTGCTGGTTTACATGCAGTGGAAAATGGAACATAATTTCAAGTTAATTTCAAAGAAATTTCTGGTTTCTAGTTCCACTCCTCAGACTGTAGCGCCTGGCTGCTTAGCACACCCAAGAGACCCTCCTACCCAGGCTCTACTCTGCTCTATAATCACCAAGAGACAAAAGGTATCTGTTTCGAAAGAGGATGTAACCAGATTATAACTTTGTGTAGCTGTGTGTAACACCGTAAAGCTGTTTGTATTTCTGTATAGCACTGTACAACTGTATTATGGAGATGCATAATTTCTGATAATTCTGTCTACTTGGGTAAAACTCTGTACAGTGGTATATATATTGATTGTTACAGTGGAACCTTCAGTTACGGAACCTCTCCACAATGGCCACCTCTCTACAAAGGCCATCCACTTTTTTTGGAAGAAACCTGGATTTCAGTTCAGAAAAGCTTTGTTCATAACTCATAAAGCACAGTCTACAATGTAAAAAAAGGCGGGCAATAATCATGTGGTATTATTTGCTAAGCTTTTCCAGTGTAAGAACTTTTTTGAACGTATTATATTTTTGGGTCCCCTATTCTTCTGTAAGATCGCTGAAATCATGCACTACAGACAGCCATCTTCACAGAGTCTAGCTTGAAGATAACTGTCTCATCTACTAAGGGGGCAGGGGACAGCACCACTGTACCCCATCACCCACCCCCTCAGTACATTTCCAATTACAAAATGGCTGCCAGTAACAGTGAGTTCTCAATCGTGACGATCTCACGGAATAACAGGGGACTGTGAATAGCCTTATTCTTGGGAGTGTAATGTACATGTAAGTTTTTCCTTTAAACGAAGGAAAGTCTGGTGGATATTTCAAGGCAGCTCCAAGAAGCTTTGTCCAGAGAATCATTGATGCAGAAAAGTAAAGTTGGAGTACAAAACAAAGTCACAGTAGAACAACTTAAAACAATGACAGAACACTTTAGGTATGTAACAGAGCTCATTTAGCTTTTTGTCAGAACTATTGCCATAACCTGCCGCTTATAAGCTCCCTTAGTTAAAGGGCAAGGCCCATCTAGCTGTAAACAAGAAAAATACATCTGAATATAATCTCTCCAAATATAAGCCCCCTCTTGCTCCATTTATGGGCCTCCCTCTGAATTCGACTACCAGTAAGTATGAAGTTTTGAAGCTTGACCAAAACCCAGTAATTGCAAAACGAATTTCATGTTTTTTTAGCACTGCTATAGCTTGCTTTGAAGCGCTTTTTTGTTCCAGTTATAGGCCCCTTGGATGTAAACCCCTTCATCTATAAGGCCTCTTAAAACCCCTTCTGAAGATGTATAAGCCCAGGGCTTTTTATAAGCGGCAGTTTATTCTTTTAGTTATTAGCCTGGAGGCCTTACCCCCACCCATTGAGCTAACAGCTTGCTTATAAACAACAGTTATATAAAGTACATGTAAGTACTAGTTTGAGATTGCTTAAGTGATTGTACTTGTTACATTTCTTTGTTAATTCTAATAATTTATAGAGGTCAACCAAAGTGTTTACAAAAGCATGGTGCTCTGTTGCAGTTGGTGAGAGCAACAATAATGGCTTTAAAGAGTGAAAGCGCTTCACAGATGGACCACTTACAAGCGTTAGAAAAGGTATCGCCTAAACTAGCATCTCGTGAAGGTAGATACAGAAGTGTTTCCAGTTTTGTTTGCACTTCGCTTATATGTCTTAAAATCTCCCTCACTATTTGAGACAAAAAAATTATTCTGATGAAGTAATTTAATGACCAGGCCCCAGTTGTTAAAAAAGTGGATAGGACTATCCACCGAATAAATCTGTATTAACTGAGTAGCACAATTGGTTTCTCTAATGCTTACTTGCTGGATAGTGATTTATCTGTTGGATAGCGCTATCCAATGTTTGAACAACCGGGGCTAGCGGGCCGTTTCTTGAAAGTTCTGGTAACATTTCGGATCCGGAAAGCTATTTTATGCTTGCCGAGTTTGCATTCAAGATATAAGAGTCAATTATTGTGAAATCGATTATAATGAAACTATCAGTTAACGAAGCAAAATTGACTGGTTTGTGAGTGAGGAACTGTGCTACAATTGAACAGGTTTTGATTCCCTAAATTTGCCTTCACCCGAAAAGTTATCGCACCTTTCGAGAAATGAGCCCAAGACCCCAGTTGTAAAAAGAGTGGATAACACTATCCACTGGATAGTGATTTATCCGGTGGATAGCGCTATCCAATGTTTGAGCAACCCGGGCTAGCTCCCAGTTAGCTTGTTAGCTCCATGGGTTAGAGGGCTGCTCCAGTATTGCAGAGGTCCGGGTTATTTCGAATCCTGGCAAGCATAAAATTTTTAAGCCTCTCTTTTTGCGTCTGCATTTGTTGCGTCTTTAACTACGAAGACGTTTTCTTCATTTAATATTTATACTGTTTAAAGTACAGTTCCAACATTAAAACGACCCCTTATTATTATTTTCGCGTCTGTTGATTTTAGGGTTTGATTCTTCACATTGGAGAACATGGTCCACAAAGTTCTTTATCAGAGTTGATAACTGCATTACAGAACGATCATCAGCAAAGGTATAAAATTATTCATGAAAAGCAGTGTCAGAAGCAGAAGTGTTTTCCATACACCAAGTAAGGGGCTGTTTACTTGAAGGGAGGAAGATGCTAGTACCAGGATGATCGTAGAAGACGGAAAAACTTTACGTTGGGTTTATGCACAAATTTCGGTCCGTGCGGTGCCCAAGTAGACAAGGTTCGAGAAGGAAGTAAAAATGGCGGGCGACAAAAACAAAAGTGCAATTTGGGCCCTTCTTCATGTAAACGGCCCCTAAACGTTCCGAGAGTAGTTAAGTTGTGCTTACCTACTCTTTCCCTCTGTATTTCTGTCACGGTATATTAATGTATACAGGTATACTTGTAGAAGCGGTAAAGAAGCGGTAAAGAAGCGGTCACCCTCAATTTCAACTCACTGCGTGCAGTGCGTCTTTTTACGCGGAAAATTTCATAGTCACTTCACTGATTGTTTTTTTTCGTAGAGCTTAGAAAGCGGAGATAAACGGTTGACAAACGGTTGTTTACCATTTACATGGTCAAACCGGGTTCACGCTTTGGGCAAATGGTAAGCAAAATTCGGGACTGCTAAATTTCGTTCCGAAATCGCGTTCACCATTTGCACAAATCAGTTTCATTTACCCAGACACGGCCCCTAAGCCTAAAACTTGTATGAAAAACAGTTTTCAAGAAATGGAACACGAATTTACATTTGGAATATTCATGTACCGACCAGGTAAACAGGAGTGCTTACTATTTGTACGGAAATTTGGGTGAAAATTTTCCGTCAAAGAGTACAGGAATGGGATTGTGTTGTGCCATTTACAATTTTCGGAGGAAGCGTGGCACTGATAATCCAAACAGATGGTTCAGGAAATTTCGGTCGTTTCGATAAAAGCGGGAAAATAGGGGATACCTCGAAGGTATTACCTTTTCCCCCGTAAACATTTAAACTGTCCCTGGAATTACCGGATTTACCGTACAAATTGTAAGCGCTCCAGGACTACCTTAACAGGCAGACGTTCCGTGGCTCCCGGAAAATTTTCCACTGAAACGACTCAAAAAGTCGTGTCCCGTTTACTTCTTCCAACCGTATTTTCCGGACACTTTTTGTTAATGATAAACAACCAACATCTCCACGATTTCCATGGTGGCCTTCTTTGAACTTCTCGACGTTTTCATGGTTTTTTCCCACAGTAGTTTATTCCACGAAGAAGTGGTCATACAGGCACATTTAGTTTTCTCGTGGTAAAAGGCCTTATCTTGCGTGCAAAAGGCTCAATGTGACCGCATTTTATGGCTATTTAGATTACTATTTGCCCTCAATTTGCCTTCAGATTTGTGAATGTAGAGGACATTTTTCTTCTCCTGGTGTTTCTGTACTCGTTAACTGGTCAGGAATGCTTCAACTCTCCCTTGGAAGAGGAACAAATGAAAGTAAGACTCTCTATGAAAAAAATCAACGTTTTTTGCCCTCTGTTAGGGTCAGGGTTCACAAATAGGGAGCTTAACCCTTTAAACCCTAACATCAAAATTCAAATTCTCACTTGTTATCCTTATACGTCTTCAACAGAAGTAGTGGGGAGAATCTGTTGAAGTATCAGTTAGGTTCATCTTGTGTGATCATGTCCTTAATTCTCATGACCACTCTGTTTTATTAAGTTGTGTTATAGAAGGAGAAATTTGACGCCCATCACTTTTAGGGCTTATAAAGGGTTAATAAGCAACGGCGACGGCGACGGCAACGGCAACTAGAACGGCAAAAAAGCAATAGGTTTATAGTAGCAAAACATCAACTTTGCACGTGCATCACGCTTTTTTGTTCAACGTGAACTGACTGCCTAATTTCACGTTTTGTCAAGGACGGGAACACAAGACAACAACTTTCTTTTTCTTTTCTTGAACTTTGATACAGTCCTTTAGAATTCAACTCCAAAAAAAATCGCCAACACTTGACGAATCAAACGAGATAAATTAAGCGCGATAAAGTTTGAGGGAGCGCGAATTCACTTTTTAAGTGAGGTTTTCGCAGCCGTCGTCCTCGTTGTAGACTACGAGTAGTCTCCCATTTTTCCTCAGGGATAGTAGAGCGGGCGAAACGCGAGCGCGCGTGAAAATCACCCCACGCGAGTAAAGGCGACACGCGGCGGGGAGAGAGAGAGCTCCTGGAACGTGAAATCTGTGTGGACGGAGAATTTGAGATTTCACGCAACTCCCTGCGAAAGCTCATTAAGGAGAACGCAAACTAGAGCAAGTTTCATTGTACTTTTATTTCGTATTTCCCGCAAATTTGTAGCCTGCGAACAGCAGACGCATTTCCGGTCGTCGCTTCTAGACGCATTTCCGGTCGTCGCTTCTCTCCCTCGGAGGGAGAGAAGCGACGACCGGAAATGCGTCTGCTGTTCGCAGGCTAGCAAATTTGAGGATCATAACTTCACCCCATACAAATACTGTCATTTTACAAAATTCCTTTTGTGGTATTGGGCCACCTGTGATCTCAAGTGAATGTTTTGTAGCCGATTATTTTTAAATTCGCAAAGTTTTTTAGTGTAAACAATTCTTCCAACTAATTCAGGTACTTTTCCACCTTCGTTTGGACGAGCGTTCGGCAAAACCAAAATAGAACAGTCACGTTGATGAATATAGAGCGTTTAAGAAACGACGACGGCGAGGGCAGCGAAAACGTCACTATTAAAATGTATTCGCGTTTTTTCAGACGTTTTCAAGTTTATTCCAACTCTTCGAAATTCCCTGGAGTTGAATGCTTGGGGACTGCATCCAAGTTTGGAAAGAGAGAGCAAAATTCCTCGTGGTTAGTTTACTTCCTCCAAACAACACCCCATATTAAGGAAATTTCCCGTGGTGTTCGTGCAGGGAGGGCAAAGAAATGTACCGAAGAGGGTGCTGCACGTGCAAATTATTAGCCATGATACCGCATAGCTATTGCGCCAGCACGAAAACCATACGGGATAGGGCTTCTGCGCCGATGTCTTAAGTGGATAGGTGTTGGCACTAAAGCTATCCAGAATAGTGTGAACATAACCTAAAGCTTCTGATTTATCGATGTGTTTAAACGGTTGGGAATCCGAATACGATTTTAGTACAAACGCTTGCGAATTCCGTCCAAACACCCTAAATGTAATAAATCCGGAAAAATCTCCTCTAGCGTAAGCATATCCGCATTGTCAAACGATTTGGTGGCGACTGGAAACGAGGATGTAATAGACTGGGCTGATCTTGGTGGAACATGACGGACGATCTCAAGTGGTACAGTACATTCTTCTTTCTACTAGGAGCTATTTTAGGCTTTGCCGATCCGGTCACTGACGCCTTAACACTGGCTGAATTCTACAAAGAAAAACACCGGCGATGGTTTCAGTGGGGAGTGATTTTTATGGTTGTTCCTTGTTTGGTCTTCCTGCTGGTTTACATGTTGACAGTAACTTTTGACAGTGTGCGTAGAGTAACAGATTTCCTTCGGAGAGTTTTTTTTAGTTTCAATCCGTTCTCTCCGGCTTGGGCATCTTTTAAAGCATTTGTTTTGTGCCTGAAGAACTTCAAAAAGCTGTGGCACGGCGAGGAAATCGACTGCGGAGACCGCGACGTCGACGACGTTAATCGCTTTCTTGCGTATGTAAACTTTGCCCCATTTACGGAAGCAATCGCGGAGTCAATTCCTCAATTTATCATTCAGCTTTACGCCGCTAGTGTGCAAGAGGAACCAGTCAAGATCATTCAAATAATATCACTGATTGTGTCTTGTGTTAGTATAGCCTGGGCATTTTCATGTGGTGATGAATTTCTACACGACGGAGAGATCAAGATGAAGTTAGTGCACAAAGTGCTATTCTGTGTAGAAAATTTTTTTCTCTTGACTAGTCGACTGTTTGCCATATGTTACTTTATAATGGGTTTTCGGGGCTGGATCTTCGTTGTTTTGATTTCTCATTCTCTCATCGTGGCATTAGTCGATTGTAGCCGTCGTTGCCAGACAGACAACCCGGACTTGCGGTGTAGGCTTCTGTTTATCTTTTTTCTTCTGTTTCATTGGATTAGAGATGACTTGACTGCACCGCTCGACGCAGAAGATATAAGACACCGGAAGAGACAACTGGCGAAAATACAATGGTTATCTCATGCCATGTTTGTGATCGAAAATTACGCCATGATCTTACTGTTCTTTTTCCTCAGCAAATACTCCACAACCTGGTTCGCCTTTCCAGTGACAGTATATGTTTGTACTATGAGTATTCTTGGAACAATACTCAGGCTTGTTCACTTTGGGATTTTGTTAAAAGGTCGGGTAGTGCCGGAAACAAGCGTCACAAACGAGGAGGTAGAAGCTGTAGGCCTTGCAATTCAACAGGAGCTGATGAATGCATATGCTACGGTACAATCGCTGCGGACAGCCTATGAACGTTGAAAAACAAAAGGGCCTGATCACTAGCCTCCAAAAACTATCAAAGAAAGAGGTTCTGTGGAGCGTTGCGTGACCACTAATACGTAGTCTCCAACGCAGCCCGTTTCTTAGCCTGCGTGGCAGGCGTTAAAAGGGGAAGGGGAAGGGGGAATTTGGGCGCGCGAGAGCCCTTCCCCTTCCCTTTCCAACGCCTGCCACGCAGGCTACTCGTTTCTTTGTGTCATCGCGCAACACTTCTCCCCACAAACGTGGAGCGGCGTTGTGTGACGTTCAAATTTTTTTCTAAATGAAACTAACACTTGTTTAAAGAGAAAAACACTTAATATCTCTTAAATGAAGCCAACTGGGAAGCCGTTTGGCTTGTTAGCTTAATTGGTAGAACACTGCACCGGTATCGCAGAGGTCAAGAGTTCGAATCCCGTACAAGCCTGAATTTTATTTTGTAATTTCTCCCAACTTTCCCTATCTTAGCCCCTGGTTACTGTGTTGTTTGCTTATGGTTGTTTCGTGGTTAGGGATTTGTGTAGAATTGACTGTAGATAGAATTTCCCGAATTCTTGTTATTTTCTTTTAACAGCAACAAGCCTCTCACTCCTTCCCCCTTTGGTCTGTCTCTGTCCCTACCCAGAGTTCTCTGTCTAACGCAAGTGACAGTTTATATTTGAAATCAGTGCGCGCCTAAAGGTGGTTTCGTTGCCGCTTAGCAGTTTATATTTCGTTATTGGTCCAGGGTTGTAGGGCTCGCACAGTCTTGAAAAGTCCTTGAATTTTAGTGGAAGTCCTTGAAAGTCCTTGAATTCCATTTTTCCTTGAAAGGTCCTTAAATTTCTGTGCAAGTCCTTGAAAAGTCCTTGAATTTTCTTCAACTTTGAACGTGGTGGCCTGGAAAGTGTTTCTCATGCTTTTCGGGTTGTCGAAAATCATAGCTCTGACAGAGAAGTTAATGATGATTCGCAGAAAGCGTTTTTGTTTTATGCAATAGTTAACTATCAATTTAAGACAAGAGAACCGAAAAATGAGAGACGTTGGTGGAGCAAACAGTTCAAGCCTTTAAGTCCTATTAGAATGGACTGGAAATGTGCATTTTTGTACAATCTGTGAAATTAAGTTCCTGGTAGGTGGTCCTTGAAAATCGAATGTGGTCCTTGAAAAGTCCTTAAAAAATGGTTGCAATTTTTTGTATGAACCCTGTCAGGTCACCTTGAGAAAAGTTTCCCGGAGACTCATGTGAAGCTCTGAGTGGATCTCGATTCCGGAGTCCAATCGTTAAAGGGATTCCGGATTCCTTGTGCTGAATTCCGGTTTCCAAAGCCCAGGATTTCCGATTCCAGAAGCAAAAACTCTCCAGATTCCAGAATCCGGATAACCTTACTTGAGGCGAGTTGCACTTCAGACTACTCAAACCCTCCTCGAGCTCGTTACGCGAAAGACTTGGTAACTTCTTCGCCATGACCTGATAAAATCGAAAACATGTCTGCTCCCTCAAATCTCCATCCATCCATCCATTCAGCCAAACAATAAAAGGGTCAATTATTGAATTTTCGCAAATTCGCTATTTGCCTTTGCACATCTCTCATAGTAGACCCTCTTGTTTTTCCATAAGCTTTGTCTTTTATTTCTCTTGGAACCACTGTAATACCCAGGAGAGTTCACAAACATGGGTAATGCAAAGTTTTTGGGGGCCAAAAAAAATGTATTATGGGAGATGGGAGATCTGCAGATGGCGAAGAACAAGAATAATTTAGAAAAAAAGACTAAATAGAAAAGAGGGAAGGTCGGATAACGTTTAGTCAAAACCACTTCTAAAACGAGACAAATACTGACATTTAACTAAGTTTAGGTTGTAGCGAACTGACTAGTAGGGAAACGACCTGTTTGTTTATCTGTACACCTGAACCTTTTGCAGAAAATAAGAATTTTAATCCTGTTCATATTTAAGCTTACCTTTCGTCGGCACGTCGAGGAATCAAGGTGATAAACTAACATTGCTATGTTTATCTCTCTTAGAACATGTTGATTAACGGTATCCTCAGCGGAGAACTCAAATGCAGTTGTGAGTCGTTCTTAGGTCAGTGAATCTAAGGGCCTGTTTACATGGAGGTGGGGTACCCCAGGTTGATGAGGTAACCCACTTAGGTGGGGTAACCCGCCTGTCCATATAATCTCTTATTTTAGGGCCTGTTTGCATGTAGGTGGGGGACCCCAGGTAAGTGAGGTAAGACGCTTAGGTGAGGTAACCCGCCTGTTCATATAATCTCATGTGGTCACCCCACTTATCATGTAAATGTCATCAAATGAAAACAAGAGATAATATGGACAGGCAGGTTACCCCACTTAAGCAGGTTACCTCACCTACCTGGGGTCCCCCACCTCCATGTAATGATAGGTGGAGTGACCCGCAGCATGTTACCTCACCTATCTGTGGTCCCCCACCTCCATGTAAACAGGCGGGCGGTAAGGCTAAGTTCACACGACACTGGACGACTTTTCGACCGGCAGAAAAATTTGACCGGACACTTCGTTCACACGGCACCGTTCAATATTTTTACTCTGTTCACAGGGAACTTTGAACGGCTGGGCATCTTATTTTTAGCACGGTTTAGGTGGTTCCGTCAGAACGGCACACCTTAATGCACGAATTTTCAACCGGCCGTAAATTTCACCAGTGTCGTTTGAACGTGCCCTATGCTTTTGACTTAGGGCAGATGTAGAAATAAAAATGTGACGGCAACAGCGACGGCGCGCGCCGATCTCAAAACGAGCTTGGCTAATGGCAGAGCGGGAAATTAAGCATCGGAAGTTGCATTAGGACCTTTGCGTTCGCTCTCGCGTTCTCATTTCTAAATCTGCTGTTTAAGAATGGTTTTCACTAGTGACGGAGTCGAAATCGGAGAGGTGAGAGCGCTTATGACCTAATGAAAATCAACATCCGGTGTTGTAAGCGGAGTCATAAGTACCCTGGCTGCCCAAGACTTTTCATGCGCGGTAAAACGTGTCGACTGAAGCATCTCGCCACACTCACCGCACGCGTGGCACGTTTCGCACGCTAGAAAAAATCTCTGGTACCAGGGTAAGTCAGAAGCTCGACGGAATAGGAGTCGGAATAATCATAACTTTTACCGTCCGTCACTTACGATCTAGTGAAAATCAGATTGGAGCCGACGAAAGCAGAGGCGGGAAGATAAACCGTGACAATTCGGTTTAGTTCGTCGATTCTGCTTTTGAATCCGACAACCTAGTTTTCATCAGATACCAAGCTAGAAGCGGGAACGAAAAGCTGCTTGCACTAAATCGTAATGATCTACGAGTGCGACTCCGACTCTCGACTCCGACTCCGCCTCCGAATCAACCTCGTCCCTAGGGTCCGCTGGGAATGAGGTTGCCCCTAAATGCTCCGCTAGTTCAACTATTTTCAATCTCAAACAGCAAGATGAGGTAGGCGCGGCAAAATGCCTCCGACACGGTTTTTCTTTGCTTACTTTTCATTGGGAATGACGCGAAATATATTAGCCTATCAGAAGTCACAGTAATGCAAAACCAACCGTCATTTACCAGCCTATGTCGCTCCGATTATTCTACAGACGAGTGTGACAAGGCTACGACAGAATGGCCATTAAATAACATCTATGACTTGCATTTTATAGGGTCTGAGATTTCTGAGAAGACTGTGAGAAGTAGGATTTCCGATGCGTTCGAGAAAATACGTGCCGTGAACTTCGCGAGGGAGGAGCTCCAAATGTTCAGGTACAATCGGTTTGATACAGCAGAAGTGTTTGCAACAGCATTTTCACTTTGTTGCAACAATGTATGTGACAGTATTGAAATAGTGTTTTGCTTACAGGCAGCATTTTGAGTAAGTTTGTTTCCACGGATTTAGGACTGTGCTGTTGTCACTGTACTTTGCCAACATTGTGAAACGTTGTTTGAGTGTTGCAACAGTATTGTTTGGAATAAAGTTCAACAGAAAATTCACCAGTGGTTTTCGTTTTTGTCAACAGAGATGTGTTTCAACGGGGAACGGCCCTTAAACCAGCCCAGTATCAGCCACTTGTCAGACAGGTTTGTCCTGATTGTACGTATTGTCCCTCAGTCGGTTTGTGCCCCCAGAAAAGTCGGACAGGGTTATCTTGTTGTATGTTCCACTTAAATTTTAATATTTGTCTTCTTTCGACACTTTTTTCTGCCCAACGTGATCATTTAGACAGTTTCACGGCAGGCTCAGAAAATGTTCGTAACGCTAACCACACAACTCAAAGTGAACGTGAGTACAGAACCCGTAAGAGCACCCTACGACAGAGACCGGATTATAGTCTTAGCTGTAATTTTCCGCGTGATTTTCCGCATGATTCTTAAAGCGGAATGATTAAGTTAAATCTTCAGGAATATTTTAGCTGATTATTTCAGTGGTGGGAAGTCTTAGTCTAAGTGTCTTAACTCCGTCTCTTCCAAAAGTGCCAGTCAGCAAAACTGAAGAACAATCACGAAATTAATTTTCTACAATATTTACTGAGAAGAAACCACGTAAAGGCACTCAGTGCCAAACAGGTTTCTTTGGAATACTACCAGTCCATCTTGGGAATTTTTTTTTCTAAACTTATTAATTGGGATGGGACCCCGAACGGATAACCCAGATCTTAACTGACGGCCTATTTTGCACCTAAAAAGGCACGTTTCATGCAAATGAAAGCCGAAGTCGTTACTTTTCGGTCCATTGTTATGAACAGCAATTTACCCCCTTAATCGGAAATATTGGTATCTGTATTCTCTTCACTGTTTTTAGTATAGTAAGTAGGAGAAATTGTTTGTAAATCAAAAATTGCCTGATCTGCAGGAAGAACATGGGGATATTTTAATGTATGTCTTCCAAGAACTATGTCAAACTGTTATCCTTGCGACAGTGTGTTTGTCGTTATTTTCTTCAAAATGATGTACAATAAAACAGTTATAATTAGATTCGGTTTTTGTGATATCCGGAATAACAAAGGTCTCGAAAAGTGTTATCAGCCACGGCTGATAACACTTACCTCGACCATGACTATTCCGGATGCCACAAAAACCCTAATCTATAATAATTGTTTATTTTAGTATATGTTAAAATCACTCACTAAAAAGCTAATACAAAACCAAGACCCAGCGGGGGAGGAAACGCCCTGTTTGTGCCATCTCAATACCCGCTTCCCCTCCGGTCCTTCCCCCCCCCCACAACACACAAAACCCAAAAAAAAAAAAAACAACAAATAAAAACGAAAGAAAAAAAAAAAAAAGACTTATTGATATTAGAACAACAAAAAACTCAACACAATCCCCACACAACACACCCGACTCACCCCTCCAACAAAATCAAAAAACAAACCCCCCCCCCCCCCCCCAAAAAAAAAAAAAAAAAAAAAAAAAAATTCCCTCTGTTTGCTTCGTTGAAAGGGAAGCCTGGGTTATTGTTGTTTTCGTCTTCAGATCATTGATGGTGTGTTTAGTCCTGAATGTCCTGAGCTCCCTGATATCGAGTTTAAGTCGCAAGGGTTAAAGGATTTCATCAAAACTGGATTTAGGTATGAAGACTTTAAAGGGACAGGTTTACGGTTCAGCGCATGCTCATCAATTAAATTACTTTTTTCCAACTTGGTATTAATTCTATTGGCTAATAATCCCACTCACATGTATCTCAGCGATCTCAGACTGTATTTCAAAGTAGAAATGTATTTCAGAGTAACCTGAAGTAGGATGGAGGAATACTAACATCGCAGAACAAATTAGTGGAATATGCCAACACTACCAACGTTGAATTTATTGTTGACCCGAAGGTTTTATTCCATGGTTGATGAATTTACAGCTATTTGCACATAATTTGATCAAATGGGAGGGAAAAGCGCCCAAGGGACGAGGTTGAGGGATGTGTGCAGATTGATTCTTTGACAACATTATGACATGATCATATTGCTTGCATAGATGATACCGCATGTCCCGGCAGAAAAACAGCATTTTGATTAATGAGCGTGCGCTGACCCGTAAAACCGTCCCTCAAAATTTAAAGCGCTCTGTCAGGAAATTCATCAAAATTCAAACAGCGAGGGTGTAAAACATCAAAAGAATGGCTTAAAATATTAAACGAAGGTATAACTGCAACTGAGATAAATAACACAGCAAGTTGGTACAAAAGAGGGCACGGATGGACTAACTTGAAGATTAAAACAGATTGCAATCGCAGTTTTTGAAAACTTGTCAGTCTAGCAGGTTTTCAAAGCTCATATTTGTTGTTTGTAATGTTTGATATATGCTGTGGCAGAGAGATTTGTTTGATACGAAGCTGTCATTTTTGTCATTTACAGGTCAGTAAATTCGAATTCCTCGGCGCTAACGTTAACTTTCTTTGCCAAAAATAAATGAAAAAAAAAAAATGAATTCGACAGCAGTGCCCTTTAAGTAAAGTTCACTCACTTGGTACCGCTGCGTGTACAGTTAAAATTTTGGTGAATTTTCTGTGTCGTTCTTTGTAATCTATCAACCTTAAATAACTTTGATTTTATCGAAGTTTTGCGTTGAAAGTCTCTACTACTTGATCTCTTGTTCTTTATTGAAAAAAAAGTTGACTCGACGAAATAAGTAGCCTGAAATTCATCCGATTGCTTCGAGTCGTTTTCTCCTCTCAACAACGTCGTTACTGAGGGAGTAATAACGACTCGAAGTAATCGGATGAAATTCAGGCTACGAAATAAGCTCATTCATTTAACTTGAACTGTCTAGGTTACTGATAATTGCAAAGTAAATTAAATTTTAAACGCATCTTTTCTTTTAATATTGCTTAACTTGGACTGTTTACGAGACTATTTCCTGGTTTAGCTGATCTTAATATGTTTGGTGGTTGTTTCAGTTTATTCATGAATGTGAGCAAGCCTCGACCTAATGACCATCCACTGCTGGTACTGTTTGTTGTCGGAGGAGTCACGTGTTCTGAAGTGCACCAAATAAGGGAAGCTCTTGCAGCTTACCACCCCAACACACAGGTTAGCTTTTCTAAATCGTGTTTTCTCACGCTTGTCGTTGCCTGGTCAAGAGCCATGATGGACATTATGGGATTATGGCTCTTGACTGGTTTATCTGCAGGTTCTTCTGTGTTATTGTCTTTTTTTTTCGGTTTTCGGTGGCAGGCGGTCGAAGGGAAGGGGGAAATCGGGTGCACAAGACTGCGATGGGTGTGATGAACGCTCGCTTTCGAGTTCACCTCGCTCGCGAACGTCTAAGCAGTCTAGCAGTCTTTCATGGTAGAGACGAGCTAATTTAGTCGAACCCCCGTCAACACATTGCCTGTAGAATTTTTCTGTGGACGCTTTTTTTTTGTCTCTGTAGGTAGTTCGCCTACGTTAGGTAAGACTGTATCACTGAAGCGCTACTTCCGAATCCAACCATTTACACACCTAGAGCAAATAAAATAAGTCAGTAGTAACCATTAGGAATTGATAATAAATCTACAAACTCTTTTGACTCTTTGTGTGCCTCCTTTCTTTTTGCAGCTATTAATCGGCAGCACAAGACTTCTGAAAGCTGATGATTTGTTCAACGAAATATTTCTTCAAGACAACCTGTTTCCAGCTCTTCATTGATATTTTCGTAACAGAGTTACTGGAATAAATCCCATTTGCTGAGGGAACCTGACAGGAAACATGCGCCTTGGTCACAAAATGTTTGCAGCAATGGAACTGTGCCACGCCACGTTTGTGGAAGAACCAAGCAAGTGGTGACATAACAAGATTTTGTAGACTTAAAGGTCAAGTTTAAATCGAGCGGATATCTTTGGGACCTTTGGGCAACCTGGAAGTGATAGGGAAGGGAAACGGTCAATTTTAGACTTCGTAGACAATCCGTTTAAAAGACGAACGCCTCCGCATGGAAATGGGTCCGAAAACTAAGTGTCAAAAGTGCCTGGAGCCAACCTCATTCCAAGTAAAAGCCTTTGAATGCAGAGGTCCACTCAACGCTTATAAGTGAAACCGACTGGTTCTTTCTTGCCGGATCTCTAATGTAAAGATGCTAATGCCAGACGTTACTTGAAGTGGAAATAAAAACAGAACTGAATACAAGGCTGGCAATACAGCAAAGGGCTGATTTATTGGAGGCCAATATATCGGAGCCGTTATAGTATTCCCTTTCAGTGTAGCTCTGGCCCCGAGGAAGGCTAATTTTTTAAAGCCGAAATATTGGCCTCAAACAAATCAGCTCTTTGGCGTATTGCCTGGGGAACCTTGGAACCAGAAAACTATTTGAATGGTAACGATTTTCAGATTCTTCATCAAATCCCCTGAAGAAGGAAATATCGGGAAACTCCATGTCGCTTTTATCTTTGCTGTTTTGTTATTTTTATGTTTATGGTGATCAAAGGCCCAACCTTCAACCCAAGTAACTAGCTACTCAGTCTTCTTTTGCATAATCGGAAGGGGGAATATCAAACTGTCTAAGTTGACGACATTGATAATGATCACTCACTTAAGAAAATATACGACCACAGACACTCATCTGGCATCTGTACATATTGACCCGACCTCTTCACGACAAAAACTGCAAGTTGCCGCGCCGCGGATGATAATTAATTTAGTCGTCTTCAGACTTTTATTGCACTGAGGGAGTTCTTCTATTACCATCTATAACACTCCCATTGGTCGGATTTTCTCCATTTTGAGCATAAATTTTATTATAAGACAATTCTATCTGATAAGATAGAACTAGGATTTAAAAGCTTGTGTTCAGTGTGAAACGTGTCAAGAGAGGATAATCTTATAGGCACATTAAAATTTGTTACTCAGTGACTTGCCTTTATCCAGGGTAAGTGGGAGCCTGAGGGTACTCCTGCCTATATGGGTTCTCAGTCCTATATGCTTATATTTGGTATCCTTTTTTGTGTTGTGGTCGTGCCTACGCCGCTGTTAAAAGCGAACCGAAATTGACTGGAGTTTTCGACGAGTAGGCAGACGCAAAGAGTAGTCAGGTGGTGAACATCCAAAATCCCTCTGTTTTAGTTTTTCTTTCTAATCCTTCCCTTTCGACGCTTGCCGGCCACACAATGAGCCAGATATTAAAGTACCCTGTGTCATAAAACTCTAGTTCTTTCTAAAAGGATGCGGTTTTCTGCACGACAAGGAGGAAATAATCGTAGGATGTTCAGTCTTTCCTTTTGATGCTTTCACACCAAGAGCCATGGCTCTTTTTTTGACACCCAATCAAATACTGTAGGAAGTACAATCAACAAGACTGATATTACTGATTAGTTTGGAATCTTTGAATGCACATATGGTTGTTATCAAGGTTTCTCTCTGGGTATTAGTGCTTCGATAGTCACGGCAACACCTGATAGTTTTGGTACATGATTTTCAGAGAAACAGGAAATTGGAATTTTCAGAGGAAATTGCTTTATTAGTGAAAGAAAAACAGTTTATTTTTCTGTTAATGTATATGTTTTAAAAAACGCCTTCCCTTTTTAAAATCCAGGTGCCACTCAGTCTTTCTCTTCGAACAAAATATCCGGGTTTATTGATCAATTTAAAATAAAGACGCCCCTTATCGCCAAACAATACATCAATGGGGAAATTTAAACGAAATTTGCACACAAAGGAAGGCGCGAAACAACAGCTTCGCAAAGAGGCTTGTGACGTCACGCAACCGCAGCTTCCGTTTGTTTGAGTGATTGGTATTTGAATCGTGTGTTGAGTAGCTTTCGGGAAGAATTTTATCTGACGATAATATTCCTCCACTAAATACGATTGTGCGGAGGAGATTAAGTACTCTGTGAGGTCAGCGATAAAGCACGCCAACTTTGAGAGAAGCGGCTTCGATGTCATGAATTTCGCATGCGGTAAGTTGACAAATTATCAGCAAGAGTTCTGATTTACCGAGCTACGTTTTCGGCCAACTTCAGCGTGGGTTTGACCGCCAAATTAGTGAAAGTGTCGTTATTCTACAAACATTTCACTTCCCCTTTTTCCGAACACGTGGCTCGGTTGCTAATATTAGAGTAGTCACTAGTGTATATTGCTTTTATCCTCGTCGTGTTACTCAATCAACTATATCACTGGAGCATAACCTAATACAAACTTAGATCGTTAAGCTTGTCTTCTATTTCCATGAAATTTCTTTCTTAGTTTCATAATTTGTTCTTGAATGGTCCAGTTTAGCTTATCCAATGCTGTGTAGAAAGCGTCAATTTAGTTATTTTCTTTGGGTTTTCTCAGCTGAGGAGGTAAAACGAACGCAGCGCCATCTGCAAGTGATAAAAGCACAGACGCTGTCGAATTTCGGCACCTTTGGTGAATTTCGAACCGGTCTCCTAGCGTTCAGTTAGAGCTGTAATTTGTGTTTTATGGTATGAAGGTTTCCTCCTGCTATTCTTATCAAGCATTATCAAATTATTGATTTGAAAGCATAAAGAAACAGACCGAATAATATTTGCGGTGATAAAGATCATTTTTCACTAAAGGAGGTGTCATTGTTTAATTTTCCGACAGGTCGTATCGGTTAAATTTAGAAATTTACTTCGGCTGCAGAATATTTTACTCTGTAAAATCACGCAATACACATTCGCTCGAGGTTCCTGTTACATTTTGAATTTTTCTTTTAAACTAACTTCCAGTCGGTTGTTGTTAAACGTTTCTTATTTGCCAACGAGAGACAATGGATAAAGTTTAAAAACGTAATTACTTTTTACTGCTTCTAGATCATTAACACACGTAATCACGCTTTTTGACGGGTAATGATTCGTTAGAAACCTAATTCACAACTGCCTATTCAAGTCTTTGTTCAAGAAATATCGATTTTCATGTCCGGCAGTATTGGATTACCAAATTTCACTCTCGTCACGTCGTTAAAAAACGGTCCCGTTTACGAAAAATAATAAACAATTTGTAGATTTCACGGTGGCCCGCGTGTTGCATCAAGGAAAGATCGCAGGTTTTTTGTATTGTCTTTCGCTTGACACAAAGCAAACCTTGGTTTTTTCGCCTTAAAACTGTGCCAGAGTGTGGCTTTTTCTTATTTTAAAAGGTATGTGGTTTCATGGGTCGGCAGGTTTGTTGTGTTTTTTCCTTTACACTCTCTGTATGCAAATTTTATAGCTTGAAATCATTCCACGTTCGTCAACTTTCATGGGGGTGCATTTTGGATCTTTGTGTTGTAAAACAGTGCCATGCCGTGCAGCATGGTTTGAAGCAAATGTGGAATAGATGGCAGCAAAGCCACCTTTGGCGAGGAACACATTAATTTTTCCACAGTGCCTTTGTGAAGAAAATGTTTGCCTTGTTTGTTTTCTGTCCAAACTTGTGTAGTTGCTTGCACTTGAAAACGTCATGTTAATGTTTTCTTCTTATGTCTGAGCTCGTGATAATTTAAAATCTGATGAAGTCGTCGCTTTTTGCTATTTACTTTTTTTTTCTTTCTAATTCAAGCTCATGTTGAGTTTGAAAAAAACAGCAAACTACCACTGAGATACTGCTTAATGAAAGAATGTGTTGGTCTTTAATCCACCAGATTGTTAAAAGAGCAAACAGTAAATTTTAATGGTTTTCATTTTGTCAGAAAATTATTCTTAATTTGCATCCTTTGGTTCCAGTTTAAAAAGAACATTGTTTTCATAACTTTTCATTTTTTGTCAAAATGTTTGAGACAGTGACTAACTTGCCCTTGAATGCGATTTTGTAAAACTGCAGGTCTTCCTAAAATGCATCAAAATGTTCTTGCAATAACTGATTTATTAAATTGCAAATTATGATTCTGGTGAATGCATGTGGTAAAGCAAACAATTAGCAAATTTGATTTAAATTGCAAGACTACTGACAGCAAGTCCCAATATTATGGTAATACTCCATTTATAGGTAAAAAGAATGCTTTTCTCTATCTCTCCACAAAAACAACTGTGGGTTTTAGCAGTCAGTATTTGAGCACCATGTTGAGCTTTTTTATTCTCTCTAGAATGTTCTTGAGCTATGGTTGCAAATAGTCACACATTATATTCTAAAGAAAACTTGAAGAACTTAACCTTAACACAAAATGAAGCATTCCAAGATAACTTTAGTTATCCAGATTCTGTTTAAATTTACTCAAACATTCAGTTTGAAAACAAAAATTGATACTTAACATAATTCTAATCCTGTTACACCTCTCTGTGTGTGGTCTGTGGCTAAAGTAGCATAAATAATGTGCTTTTTCCAGCAGCAAAACTGCAAGCATTAGTCAGTCTAAGATGCTTTTCTTTCATTAATTGGGTTTTATTTCCTTGAAATTTTCTTTCACAAACTATGGCAGTTATGCAAACTTAGCATTTCTTTGCACCGAACTAAGTAAGTTCTTCAAAGTAATTCATAGTTTTGCCTTTTTGTTGTACAGACTTTTTACATGTAGTTATTAAAAAGGGTGAGTTGTCAAGCAATGCTTGGTCTTAAGAAAATTTTTTTTTTCGTTACAAATGGTTTTTGTGAAGACCAAGCATCACTTGACAACTTACCTACGGTTGTATTAACTTTTTGTCTCAAAGTGAATTTTGATTCTCTTCATTGACACTGAATTATTTTTACACAGTCATCTTCAAATATTCAATAGAACTAGTTGTGACTAGAATGGATACCCCAATGTCAGATTGTCATCTTCACTCAAAATACATGACAGGGGTCTTATAACTTAAAGTAGTGAATAAGAGAAGAAAGAAAGTGGAAGAAAACAGTAGGTAGTGTGGAGGACTTGAACCAGCGTCATTATAATCCACATCTTTATCCACAACACCATCAAGGGCTAACTGCCGAGACCAGTTAATTTTATCATGCTTTACATGGCACTAATCATTACATTATTGAAAGCTAACTGTTTTTAAAACAGTGCTAAACCCTAATCACTGTACTTTGGTGCTAAACCCTGTACAGTGTATTCAACTCTTTTCCTTACACAACTGTCTGAGCTCTCTTTCTCTTATTTCCCCACTTTTCTCCAAAATGTGCCCAATAAATTTGCATAAATATAGTGTAGCCATGGTATAGAGTATAATGTTGTGTAATAAACATCAGGGCCCAGTTGTTCGAATGCCGGTTAGCACTAACCCAGGGTTAAATTTTAACCCGGCTTTCTTTTTCTTATTATCAAAAGCACTCTCTAGGATAATTTTCTCTATTCTTTTTAGAGTATCCAGTCATCAAATTGTAGGCAAAAAGAATTAAACTGAATTTGAATTTTAACCTCTAATGTTTGAGTTCAAAGTTCGCACTAACCCTGAGTTATCTCAACCCAGTTTCGAACAACCCAGCCCTTGTGTCCAGCGTGATTTTAAGGTACCGTATCCATTCTAGTTGCAACAAAAGGCATTCGAGCATTCCTACACCCTACATGCCAATTTGGCTATGAATATTCAGGATTCTGTAACCAGTGTAGAAAATCTAGACATATAAACACCTGTCTTAATAAACAACAGTTGACTGAGGTACTGCTGGCAATTGACTGATGCCACTGACAGCTTATTGTAACATTACACTTAGTAGAACCGTCTCTTTTTTGACCAAGTATCTGTTTTTTAACCAAGTATCGACTGCATGAGTATTTGCCAACATAGCAACTAATAAGGAGCCAAAATGTTGTCAAACACATTGATTTACGTGTGGGCTATGTATTCACCAAGTGCCAGTCCATAAGGTAGTTGACATGTTGACTGTCTTTCGACTGTATTTTAATTGAGTATTGGCCATTATGTGGGCTGACAAGTTGACCATGTGTTTTCTGGTAGTGTTGGCTGATACTTGGTTGAGGGGTGCTTAAAGTACACAAGATCCCACAATATTTAAATGAGCTGTGATTTATTGTGTGCGAAAGGATTCCCGTTTTTCCACAAGTTTGCTCACTTATGGGTGAGGAAAGAAGGTGTCAAAATGCTGTAGACTATCTAGCATAAAAAAATATAGGTGTTTGAATTCAGGGTAATAATATAAATTTTGTACATGTCAATTTTTTATAATTTTACCTTTGAGGTAGCAAGAATTGCTCGCCTTCAGAGCAGATGGTTAGATGCCCAGGGTTGTCACTGAGGGCCCAGGTTAACGGAAATTCTTTTGGCTACTTTGAGCATGACCCATGGGTACTTTCATTGGAAACAAAAGGAAAATTAGACCAAAAGATCTTTGTTGCTGTTCAATCCCCTGTTCTGTTCAATCCTTCAATTATTGAAGGGTTTCCTGAAAAAAGGGCGTAAATTGCTTAGCATTGATGGTCATATTTGGTGTTGGTGGTTAAGTGCTGTGTCTGAGGGACAACTTTACATCCATGACAGGGCAACTCATTTAAATTTTTATTGGTATCTGATGACAGATTTGAAAGTTGTTACCGTCTATTCATCAAGCCTTGAAAGTAGACACCAGTCACCCCATAACATGAATTTTTTTTAGCTTTTAAAATAGAGATCATGTTGTATACCCCAACCAATAGAAGAGTCTTCTTGCATTATTTTTTAAGGTGTGCATAAGTGATAATTTAGACTTCTTAATTATGATGTGAATGTCCACAGATGTATAGCTAGACAAGGATTCTGAATGGAAATTTAATTAATTGGCTTATAAATGAACATATATTAGGTATTTTATTTCCTGTAATAGGATAGATAGCAAGAGACCTTATATGACAGAGTAAGAGTTTTTATAATAATATGAAAACTCACTAAATCTCTTCTTGGAAAGATTTTTGTGATTTTTAATGCTTTCATTTATTCAAAAATTATGTCTTCATAAACAAACTTTCAAGTCAGTACATGATTGTATTAAAATTTTAAGCTGACACCCTGTGGTGAATGGACTTAAGCTTCAGTAGCCTTATTTTCTTTCATACAAACCTCTATTAGGAAGAGTTCTCTATCAAGTGGATGCTTATTACAGGGGTTCCATGGAGCTGATTTCATTGAATATGTACGATAGTTGAATGCAGTTTGTGTGTTACTATTAGTTAGTTGAGTGTTCTTAGTGAGCAGTGTACCAGTGTGATCCATTTTTTTTTAGAACTGAGTGGGGTGGGGTAGCAGTTTGTTTTAGTCTAATAATTGACTTCCTTATCTGTTTTAAAATCTTGAGATCATTTCCTGATTGGCAGCAGAGCATGTATTTTGCATAGCAGAGATAAGTTATCATCAGTCAGCACTCACATACAGCCACATATATTGGCCTTGTTTTGGCTAGTTTAGACTTCATGCATGAAGAAGAATTGGATACAACATTGAATTATTTATTGACTGTGTTTTATTATAGACACAATGTATTGTGGACACGCATTTTAAAAGCATTTACATTTAATTGACATGTTTAGCATACTTCTAGCTGATTCTATCTGTTGTTAGATGTCTTAGCTTTAATTGTGGTATTAAGTTTCTGATGATGTCTGAGAAACTCTGCTTCAAAGGTTAACATTGAAAAGAGGGAATGTCTACATTGCAGCCACTCCTTCATACCTCAAAAGCTTTTAAAAAAGACTGTACATTGAAAAAGTTGCTGAATTCATTGTTCACAGTAAGACAAAGAATGGAAGTTCTGATCTAGAAGTTACGGTTATTCTACTAGTGGTAAGAGCCTTTTTTGATCCTTTGTTTTATGCTTGGTCAAAATGATTGATCACAAGTGACCTAACTTGCATATGTATGTTTAATAGAGTAGTAACGTTATCAGGGGTTCGAAACATTTTGCCATACTGTTCATAATTACACTGTACTGAGTCACAAGTAGATTGAAACTTTCCAATACATTGGTTTTGAAGAGACACTCATATATAACAACATGAACAGTGGTCTGGGAGATTAAAACCTTCAGTGAACAAGAGCTTCTTTGAATGATGACCATTTCATTTATAAATCTGCTTAAGGCTGCTTCTTTCAATATTCTTGTGGATTAAAAACTGTTTATTGAAGTCTAATTGAGGTTTAGGATAAGAGTCTCAGAGACTTTTTTTCAAATAATAATATTTAGTTAAATTACATTTGTAATACCTAAAATTCTTGTAGAACGATGAAATCCAGCTCGTGTGAACTTTGCCTACTTACAGTGCATGTAGTTTAACTACAAGAAAACCTTGCTTTCAGTCATAATATTTTTGTAAGTTTGTGCCTCTCTAAATAAGCTTAATGACTGAAAGTACTTAAAATTTGACCAGATGGTTATTTCAAATGGGTGACTGTTCATCTCTCAGAATTTTTGAGAGACTTTGCAAAAAAAAAATTTTAAGTAACATGTAAAGTAACACTCATTGTCAAATCCAGCTTACACAAGCATATGTTTCCTTCATGTCACATACACAAACCACAATCAACCCTTTTTTTCCTGTTAATTCTCATAATCTTGTGTAGAGTTACTGCATACAGATCTAGATAACTGATATTTTATGACTAAGACATCATAGAAATAGAAATATCCTTGTGATGTCCTGTCTGGCCTTGTTGTTTTGATCTTGATAAAGGACTGTAAAAGGTCTCTCTTGGACTAATAAATTCATTATCTATCTTGTTCTTAAAATAGATCCTGCAACTTGGGTAAAATGCATTATCTTGGGATCTTTTGATCTGTTTTAGCTACTCATCCTCTAAAAAATCCTTTTTACTGTTGTTATCAACATCTCCTAAAACTGAACTTGTTGATTTTTTATTTTCCTTTTGATTACATCTACAGTGGCATCTTGTTTCTTTTTAACCTCCTGAGGAAAGGAAATTTGTTAAAACTATTGGGAATTTTTGAAAAGTAGAGTTAAATTACCATGTTTGACTAAAAGGGAAGCCTTAAATTTTGGCTTAAGTTATTAGGAGGTCAAAGAAACTAAGGTTGAGAGAAATCATGATTCTACTGTACATGTATCCAACTGCTGAAAGGCTAGGTGTATTGGCTGGCTACCAGACTTACTAGTCAAGACTAACATGGAGGGTGTTGAAACAGCTGAGGAGTAGGGGGAAAAATTACAGAATTAGGTTTGACTTGAAAGAGAATTAGTCTAATAATTTTGGTGCCACCAGGGCTATTAGAGTTTTTTCCCTGGCTGCTGGGTAAATTACTGCAACAATTAGGCCAGGAATCAAACAGCTAGCAATTTATTTGGATTCTATTTTTATTAAGCTGTTTTCCTATGTAAACATCTGGGGATCACATTCACAGTATGCTGGAGAAATCCTTTGCCCCCTACCCTTATCTATCCTTAGTCTTTTGTTACTGTATTATGTATGTTTTGTGATTTTACCCTTTTTTTCAATTTCAGTTTCCTTCGTTTTTGGTTACGGTATATGTGGGTTTAGTTTTGTTGTTGGTTCTCTCCTTTGCCCCCTTTGGTTTCTCCAAGTGTCAGTCTTGTGTTCCTCACAAACAAGTACATATTACCTTAGGTAGTTAGCGTTGATCCTGTGTGACAACCAGTTGTTCCAAAATTAACATGTGTTCTTTGTATGTGAATTTGTAGTGATCAACTTCCAGCATTTGAGGCCATGCAGATCAGGAACTTCATGGCAGGTTGAATTATTGATATGAGTGGTAAAGAAAAACCGGGAGTGACTCGACGACTCAATCGAGGAAGAAGTGCGCCGGACACCAAATGTAAAACTGATTCAGGGTGCTTTGTGGATGAGGAACTTGAACGAAATGGTAGTGCTAGCAGTGACAGCTCCCAGGGATCAATAAATTCATCGCCTGTAACAGAATTAGATTCTCAGAGGACCAAAGTGATAAATAAGAAAGGAAAAGATAATATCACGGCATCTGTAGCTTCATCTTCTGAGCCAGCAGTGGAAAATGAGGCAAATAGAACTTCTGTTTTTATGCAAAATGTCATGAGTAAGGAAGCAGCAGTTAATGATCAAACTGAATGTGCACACACACATGATGAAGACAGAGGTCACAATGTTGTGGAGAAAACAAGGCGCGCTAGCGACTTTTATTGTTTATATTATAGTGCATCACCAGAGAGTACCTTGACAAGATGCGGTGTTAATAAGGTCAGGAGTAAACCTCCAGTGCCACCCAAACCCAAGCTTAGGAGAGGCAGTGCTCCTCCATCAAGTTTCGAGAAAATTGAGAGAATTCAACAACAAAATAAAGACATCACTAAACGGTTCTCTTATAATGAATGTCAAAATGCCAGTGTAAGACCTGAATGTACTGAAGTTGATAATTTTCCTGACTGTGACAAATGGAAGTCTGTTGAAGAACATGTTCTGTTCTTTGAAGCCTGTGGCAAAGATGGCTTGACTGAAAGAAATGATTTGTTGAAAAATGTACAAGCAAAGAGCCTCAAGAATTCATCTGAAGAGTCTTGTGTTGGAAACACAGAGGTCAATGTAGAAATTCTTAATGGTTTTCACTGTTTTGATGATGATCAGAGTAGCACAGAAGATGTTGCTCCTATTGTAGACACTGAGAGGTTTTCATTTGAAAAAAATAATGTCTGCGAGTCTGTTATTTTTAATCGTGATGCGCAAGAACAGATTCCTCCACTGGTTGAAGAGGAGGAATTTACTGTTGATGGAAGTATCCTTTCACAATCCTCAATAAACTCTGAACCTTTAAATAGCAATTGTCACCACAGTAAGATAGAAAGAGACTGTCTGGACTCTGTGAGTGAAATTGATGAAGTTGATTATGCTAATCATGTTGTTGTGGATGACAATCAAGAGGGAGTGAGCAGTTCCTTTGATGAAACTAGGAGACAATACTCTGATCCACTGGGGCCGTCTGAAACTGGTGTTTATACAAATGGTACTGTTAGTAATATTCACAATGGATTTGAATTTGTTGATGCATCTGAAGCAAGAGGCAGTCACTTACCAGATCACTCAAAAACACATTGTAGGGACATGCATCAACTTAGTTGTAGGAGTAGGACAGTGCCTTCTCTTGAAACCACCAGTGGAATAGATTTTAACGAAATTCTTGTGAATCCGAGGCTGAGTGAAATCAAACAATTATCTTTGCCTGGTTTTAGACAGCAGGATAGAAATATTAGGCAAAGACGCCCAGGGTCAATTGCTGGTATTCCAAACTTGGAAAGAGATTTGAGTTCTGAGATGAAAAGAAGATCTTGGTCGTTTAGTGAGACACACCCTTTAGCAGTAAACTCTTCTTTGGAGTACAATGTTCACCAGGCTCACACACCCAGATTAAGAACAACCTGGCAATCGGAGAATGGTCTCTCATCCCCTTCTGGCAGCTTGTTTCACCAAAAAAGACCTATGCAAAGCTCTATAAACACCATAAATGTCTCTCAAGAAAAGATGGGTTGGAGTTCCCCCAAAAGAACTGGGCAGTCACACTTTGATCAATCTGGTTACACATCTGATGACAGCAGTGTACATTCAGAACCACTTTTCCAGCCACTGCGACGAAGACCTCAAAGTCTGGCTCATGGTCTTATTTTTAAAAGTATGTCTTGTGATTCAAGCATTTCTGATATGGACAAAAGAAGGTCCTCTTTTCCTGAGAGCCAACAAAAGAGATTTCGTCATTCACTAGGCAGCAGGGACCCTGTATTTGCTCTAAGGAGACAATCATTTGAATTTTCAGAGGATCCACCCCCATTTCAACAAATCCGGGCACCACGCCTTCAAAACCTTAGGCGTACCTCATCAAATGCTAGCTCCTCAAGTGACTCTGAAGTGGAAAGGATCTTTAATGAACCTTCAGCTCTTAGGCATTGTCGCTCTACCAAAACTAGCGTCCGCAATGGTTTTGCAAGTTCCAAACCTATCCGCAAAGTAAGTGCAGTGGAGGCCCTCTTTGGCCCTCGGTCCACTAGTCCACTAGTTAAGAATGTCACACCGAGCTCTGATTTGGAGGAAATGGGACCAAAAACTATTGTTGATAAGTATTCTGTAAATTCATCACTCCCCTTGGCAGAGAATTTTCTCCCTGAAGAACTTGAAGAAGAAATAGCAGCAATCACTGATCCAAAAGAGATTGAAGAACCAAGGCTGGAGTTTGATGATACTGATTACAGTGAGTTCTACACCAGGTGTGAAGACAAAGATAGCATAATTTCAGCTGAAGCACTGAGTATTAAAAAACTTCTGGAATCCCCGCAGACAGTTCTTCCAGACCCTGATATTGAGTCTGTGGTGTTATCTGTAACAGAAAAAAAGACGTTTTCACCATCCTCAGATGATAAACACAACCGTGGGTGTCAAGAGGAATTGAACGACAGTGACATGGATGATGATGAGCAGGCGATCTCTGAAGATAAAAACTCTTCTAGACAGTTTTACAGATGGCACAGAGGGACTCAAACGCCACCGGCTGATGTTTTCAGAGCTTTATCACCATCACCTTCAGTGGGAACTCAAACTCCACCTCTCTCTGTTTCCCAAGAACTGCTTCCACCATCACTCTTGAAAGAGTTACAGAAAGATTTGCAATCCTCAGTACCCTCAAAAGGTAGTAAAACAGTTTCTCCCACATCGTCTCAAGAAGTTGTTGATCAGTTGTCATTGCTGGGGAATGTTCAAGCAGCTCCTTATACTGCTGTGGCTTTTGCTGATACAGACAGGACATCTTGTCATGAGAATGACAAAGCTGTCTCAGTTGAAGAGCTTTTACAGATCCTTGCCACCATGAAAGTTGGTTCAACTGAAGAAGTGCCAAAACGAAGACCAGTATCTGTACAGAGATATAACCATTCTCCCACACCCCCACTTAATGCAAAAGGCAGACCCAACACCAATAGTCTACCAAGTAGTTGGCATCATCTTAACAGCCCAGTGCAAAGACAGAATGGAAGTCAAGATTTGAAGCGACCTAGAGCTGTCCCACCAAGATCTTCTAAGAGTTTTGATTGCTTGAGGCAAGGAGTCCATAGCAAAGACAAGACAAATGGTGTGACACAAGCAGAAGCTGTTAGAGGAAGTACAAGTAATGAAGACATACGTAAAAAGCTCAAGGAGTGGACCTCTACTCGCAAGTCGCAGCTCTTTGAAGAAGAAGTTGAGTGCTTGGAAGAAAAGCATAAACCAACAAAAGCTAACGAGGAGAAAACTCTGAAAGTTTCATATGATGGAAGTGAAGCAACAGATAACATTGAAACACTTAGCAGGCTAACAAAAACTCACAGCCTGAAAAGACCTCGCAGAGACAGAGCCTTTTCTCAGAGAGAAAAGAATGGGCTTGAAGTCAACAGCCTTGATGAAAAACGGCGTTTCTCACTCCCTACACCCAAAGCAAAGCCTTGTGATGAAGAAAGCAAAGGTGATGTCAAAACTGAGGAGCCCATCACTAGTTCTACAACAGAAGATAGCAAGTTTAAAGACGTGTTATTTGACTCTCTAGATGCAGAGGAAATTGTAACTGAGGGACAGCTGCAAGAGATAGCTAGCCCTGAAGGTGTTGATGTATTTATTGACTATAGAAAAAAGAATGGGTTGCACATTACCAGTACTCCAAAACCCCCACCCTACCCTGGCGATAGTTTAGTTTGTAGGGAGGATGGGGTGGGTAAAAACAATATAAATAATACAGACATGCCTCGCAATGAGAAGCCAGCCAGTGTTAAAGGTACAGAAGATATTCCTACTGATGTAGAGTCCCAAGGAGATGCATCATCATCATCATACTCTTCTGATGACGATCACTTTGGAGAATTTGGCGGTAGCACAGACACAGTTGTTTTTGTTGACACAGAAGCCAGCACTGGTATTTCACTGGTTTCTGATCTCGATACAATGGACCTGAAACTTGTAGGAAATGACAATTTGTTATCAGTTGATAATAATGATAATGATGATGAACAGGATGAGGCTAGTCTTGATGCGTTATTGGGAGAAGTACGCAGATCACTTAATTTGGAAGTTGTGGACTCTGACATCTTGGATAAAGCAATTGAAAGGTTCAAGCAGAGGGTGTCTCCAAGCTCTCAAGATAAGGTAAATAAAATCATTTTTATTTCTTGAAGGTATGCCTGGAAAAAGCTGCAAGTGACTTCTGACCAGCTGTCAGGCTGTTTTTGTTTTTGAAGCAAAGAAGGAATTAAACGTTAAATCAAGAGTCATTTGTAGGGTCTTTTCTGTGTGTTCCTTCATTTGAAAATGGCCCAGTGCAGCTCTTCTCTTTTATCCATTCCATACAGTCTAAGTTCCACTGTACACTTGTGCGTGTATTTGTTGTATGTAAAATCTGTTTGCAGGTTAACAAGGTTACAGTCTATTCTCAGGTTTAAAGCAGAATTTCCATGATTATTAGGGCTAGGAAACAAAGGCAAATCTAAATCAAACTACGTTGAAATACTGGCTTAACATGAGAGCAGATCTTACATACAATATATTCACTAGATTCTCAACTGTGCAAAATTTTACACTTAAACCACCCTTGAACTCTTTGGCCAAAACATGAACAGGGCAATATTGTAACATGATCTGTTGAAAGCATGATTTTCCTCAATTCATATTAATTACTTGTCAATCAGCCATGAGTCTGTGTCAATATGGGAAGAACCATTTGGGGAATGCTGGAGGAAGGATTAGTTCAAGGCCTTTTCTACTATCATTTTTGACAATATCTGGTCCGAAAATCACTAGCTTCTTTTTAGCACAGTGTTGATTTCTCTCTACCTATATATTCAGGTATGGTAATGAAATAATTTTGTGATAACTTTCATAGGATAATTGAGGTAACATTCAGAAAATTCCGGTTGTCTTTTTGGAGATCAGAATTAACACATGTACGTGGATGTGAAATGGACTAAAAACATCCTTGTACAATCTTTTGGAGTTATGCTCCTTTTGCCTCTCAAACATCATTCTCGGTAAACAGAATGTACTGAGTTGAACCTTTTTTAAATTAATGTTTGATCAAAAACATAAAGTGGTAACATTTTGAAATGGAGCCTTAATTATTTGAGTCTACGGGTGAATTTATCTTGAATTGTGATCCTTCAAATGCATGTATGTACCATCATGTTAAGCAGAACTAACCTTGTCAAGAAGGAAAATTCTGTGTACCTTTGGTATTAGAATTAACTATTGGTTATGTTGTGAAATTAATACTTTTGCTTTACGTAAATGTGTGGTACCAAGTCAAGCTAATTTTTGCTTCTAATGAAGTAGTTGAACTTTTAAGCAATTGACAGTAAGTCTAAGGAATCTCCTTATTGATTCAGTATATAATAACACATTGAATATTTATCCATAATGTATTAAAATAGTGATATTTTTTTAGCACAATAATTGAATAGGTGGTAAAATATTGTAAAATCCAAGAATCTTTGGTTAAAACTCTGAGACTGCAGCGAGCAGACTCCAAGAGGTAAAGGAACACAGCAAAAAGAGGCTTTAAGACTCATCTTGAACAATATTTAGAGATTAAGGTTAAGCTTTTGTCACTCCTAAATAAATGGAAATGATTTAAGCTGGCCTCTTATTTAATCAAAGAGCAAATTTCCCCTCCTTGTGTTTGTGTGTTTCGTACCAAGGAAATGTAGAAGGAAAAGTTCTTGAAAATAGTAAAGGGAATTCTGGTGAAGTTATCATAAGTCTTTTGTGCAAGCAATTTTCTTGAATTCCAGGGTGAACGACAATGTCTGAAATTGTTTGATGTGACCATTCAAATGTTGTTTTTTTCAAATGGAATTACTTTTTTCTGTGACATGATATAATTTGGATTTTCTGTCTAATTTTGAGTTTGGCCTCTTCTGGGTGTGAAAGAATAAATTCATGTGCGTTTATGATCTAGGAGACCCTTTCAGGAGGCTTACTCCTAATGTGTATACATGTACATGTGCATTTAAAATTTAAGCCTGTATACTATTGATGTGCCTTGTCATCATCTGGAAGCTAGCAAAACTTTTGGCTGAAAGATGGCATCTTCTTTAGTGCTGTTTATTATTATGAAGGCTATTATTGTGTATGAATGCTATTTTATTTTAAATATAGTGGTATTATTAGTGGGTTTTAGGCATGGGTAAAAAGATTAGTTCCATGAAGCATATGTATAAATAACACTTTTTAATCCCTTTTTTCATTTGTTACATTTTGTGAAATTTTTTCAAGACTGGTATACTTTACTCACTGACAAGGGTTTGATTTTCACCTGTAGAATTTTGGTGTAATTACACACATTGCAACATGATCATAATATTATTTTGCCTGGTTTGTTTTTGTTTGTTCTCCGTGATAACAAAAGAGCTTCTAGAAAGCATTAAATTTTAATCATCCCTGCTGAAATTTTATCAGTTGTTGTCCTGATGTTTTCTTAGTAATTTAATTTGGTAGATAATTACAGGCCATGGCATGTTTTTGTTCCTTCTTGTAGGCTCTTTCTGGGGGACTAAGTATGGAAGCCTGTGTAGCTTTGCATCAAGCTGATGAACTGCAGGGAATAATCAGTGAAATTAAGGTTAGTGGGTTTTATTTACATGTATCTTACGGCTGTAAATAAACCCTGTTTTGGGTGCAAGAGGTCTTAAATATAAACTATTCTGTATATAGATGCCGCTAACAAAAACTGTGTAAAGCTTTTCTTAAGCTGAACATTTTTTACAACTGCTCAAATTCTACTTGGAAATAAATACAATCAAATCTCATTTCACATGTAATTCTGACAGTAAAAGTCTTATCAATATGTTGTTTTTAAGGAGGGAGGTAATAAAGTTAAGTCATAAACTCAACATCTTGTCATATCCTTGACAGTCTTGTTTTCTTGTCCCATCTTCTTGTACCTTTTTAAATACTTAAAGCTAGGATGTGTCCTCCATGGCTACCCAAGACTTTACAATAAATCATCACCAAGTTTGTCTGAATTTGATGAAGTTTCCATGTTGTGATAACTTTTGAAGCAGAGGGAAGGTATTGTTCCCATATTGCATGCAGTGGCTGCATGATAATATTGTATCAAAATTTTTCTCTTAATCTTTAAGGAGATTAACATTAATCCAGATGATTGAAAAAGCCACAGGTCTCCCATCACAGAAAGTAACCGAGATTAGGTTATTTACCTAATAGCATTGTTACATCAATTTTGTGGAGCAGATATTAAAATTATCAAACTATGGCACTCTATAATTACAGACTGTAGGCTAAGATGTTTAGTTTTCCTTTTGTTCGCAAGGTTTGAACCGTTTAATTAAACAACAGAGTCTAAACACTGTTGATTAGTTTTACAAAATTGTATAGGCCTCTATAAACTGACATCTGAGCCTAAGATCCACTGCCTGTAAGACTATCACTCTTATTAAAACAGTATTACAAATACTAGAATTTCACATTTTCTCAAGTTTTTTTTGCAAATGGACCAGTAACATTCATGAATTTGAGGACTGTTTCCTGAGAGGTCATGTAGGTTCAAACCGTTTTAAAGTTTTCAATGGTTGCATTGTTGAACCTTAAATTTTATTGGTCCGTTTCCAAAAACAACATGAGAATCTTTTGTTTCCAAAAAATGTTGTGATTCGATAATCTTCTCCCAAGTGCCCTGGTTCGAGTAGTCGCACTGTAAGTAGACTTGCATAAAAGGTAGAGGGAACACTGATACAAAGATGAATTTTGGTAACCAAAATTTCAAATTAAGCCGCAACATAGGCAAATTCATTACCTTTATCCTTCTGCTATTTTGCCAAGTAATGGCTTGTCAAGTGGAAAGTCTTACATACACCCACTGCGCCAATCCTGAAGTAGCCTGCAAATACAGCTTTCTCTCCTCGTTTCTTGCTGAAGGAGGTGCAGACATCTCTCATGCAAAACTTTCCTAGCGGTGAGGAGCGAGGGGAGACGTGGCTATATTTGCAGTCTTGCTTCCAAGGGCATACCCCTGCATTTGATGATGATGTCAAGTTAGAAGGAGATTTGATAGGTCTCCTTTGACTTCCATGTAGGAGTGGTGAATTAATGAAAAGAGTTGATGTGTCTTTCTAGGGAGAGCTTAAACTACTCCATGAGGAGAATGACATGCTACGTGAACAAGTTTGTACTTTGGCCAATCATCAAACAAACGGAGAAGTGTCAGAGAACAGTAGCACTGAATCTTCAGAGAGACTTGAAAGTCTTTACAAACTCTATAGGCCCAAACATGGTGAGTCTTGGAAAAAAAAATTTTTTTACAGGACATTGCATGTTACTTGGTAGATAATGCAAATAAATTGCAAATACAGGTGTTTATTGGTTTTAGAAAAAAAGTTTATTTTTTGTTCTGCATTAGTTGGAAGTATTTACCATGATAACACTGTAAGCTCTGATAAGAATCTTGAGACACTTTTCAACATTTATCCCCATCGATTCCCACTTACCTTTAGGATGTCGTTTGAGCCATATGTATGTAAGTGTGAAATAAGAAATAAAAGTTGAACTGGGGAGCAGGGTGTGATTGTAAATTGGTGATTGTACATCTATCTACAAGGCTGTCAGTAAGATTTCAAGTCGCTGGGTATATATAATTAGTAGGCAGAGAATTGAACAGAGCTAGAAAGTTCTTTTGGTTTTATTTTCCTTTTGTTTTGTATGAAAGTAGGCAGGGATTATACTTGTTGTAGCCATGGTGAATTCTCCAGTCCCTGGCCCTCTGCCCTTAGTGACAGCCCTGATCTACTGTATTTTTGTCTATTTTTCACAAACATACATTGCACTTAAACACTATTTTTGAAAAATGCAGAAGATGTTCCATTTTCAACCGCCTGTCAATCTGCTAGTTAATTTGATGAGGGTTTTTTAGTTTCAGTTAATTCAGATGATGATGAGGGGGATGCAGTTCAGGTTGATGTTTGTCTACGAGGATTTTCCAGTGTAATGCTTGGTCGTCTTCCATCAAAAGTAAATTTTTGCAGCTGTTTTAGCCTTTAAGCATTCCATATGGTGCTTATACTGAAATAGACTCTTGACTAAATATGATAACTTGTGCCATAAATGACAAAAATAGGTTTTTCACCATTTTTCTTATGAAGGCCATTACAAGGCATCTCCAAAAGTACATTAACTTCAATATCTGTCTTGCATTGTCGTAAGTGGCAATATGCCACTTGCACGGCTCCCATAATGCATCTTATTTGCCCCCCAAAATTTTGCATAACCTTTGTTTTTCATTTCTCCTGGGTATTACAGCCGCTTGTGCAAAATTTTGGGGGGCAAATAAGGTGCATTACGGGAGGTGTGCAAGTGGTGTATTTTAAAACTCATAAAGCATAGCATCCTATTGATCCTTTGTCCTAAGAGTGACCAAAATCAGTTTTCTCCCAACAGCATTGGTACAACATCAAGAGAAAAGGTTATGAGAGTAACCAAACAGAAAAAAAAGTGCTCTTATCTTTTATTTAATCCTCTCAACTAAGTTTGTAGGGAAATGTATGGCAAATAATGTGGAGAATTGTATGTGGATATTGAGGCTTAAGGTGTTTACTGGTCACCGTTTTTTACAGTGGGTGGTTACCTGAGTCCCAGTCGATAAAATTCTCAGAAACTCACTAAGCCTGTACCAGGTGTTCAGATTGTGGGGACAGCATAAAAAGATGTGGACAGGAAAAAAAACAGTGAGGGGTTTTTCCTGCATGCCAAATTCGTGTCACTTTTCTCCTTCTGAATGCAGCCAGAAACTGAGTGAACACCTCTATCGAGCAGCCAACCTTCTTGAAGTGACCACTTGTCACTACAAGGGTAAAAACGTATGAGAGATATAGAGGATATTACATGGCCGCTTAGAGATACGAAATTTCTCTTCGAGTGTTGAAAAATATTTGAAGAGTGAGCGCAGCAAATGAGTGAAATATTTTTCAACACTTGAAGAGAAATTTTGTATCTTCAAGTGGCCATGTAATGTTTTATTTATTATATAAACACCAATGAAATACCAAACCATTTCACTACAGTGATCTTTTCAGATAACGTGTTATTGTCACATGTGAAGATATCATGTTTTCTTGCGAAAGCTCACCTGGTATTGCATTTGTGTTTATATAATAACTAACCGTATTCAATCTAACATTGTTTTTGCAGAAAGAAGACATCCACTTGGGAACAGTTACTGTAAAGGGAGCAGACTGGAATGGAGTCATGGAAGCTGCAAGAAGAATTTTTGTGGTAAGGAAAAGAACCTCAACCAGAATACAGTGGAACATGGCTTATGACTACAATGTTTCCATGACAACATAGTTATTACCATTAAATGTCTGTGACCACTTCATTGAAGGGGGTGTGTCGTGGCTGTCCAGTTCAATTTGTTAATATTTCAAATAACGCATCCTTGTTTATGATTCCCAGCATTATTAGACCGCATGACGGTCGGTTCTTTTCTAAAAACTGGTTTAATGAGCTTAAGTCTCCAGTCTCGCTTGCTCTCTTCATTTCAGTCTCGCTCAAGACCTTTTGTTTGACTGCTCGCACGTACTTGAATACGCAAAAATATGGATTGTTTTGCAGTCTACAGGATTAAAATCAAACGTTACAAACAACAAAAATGACTTTTAGGCTAGGTTTTCAAAAACCCACAATTGTAGTCTGTTTTAATCTTCTTCATGTTTGTTCATCCGTGCCTTTTTGCAAGAAAGCAAACTGATTTTGCTTTTATAAACTCTTTCCTTCAGGATCATGTCAATAAAATTGACCCAGATGGCTACCTCTGTCTTGGAGCTCACAGCATTCAAGGGGTTCAAACAGGAGTGATGTTGTGGAGTCCAGGTCTGAATATTTGAATATTTGGCATACCCCATGCTGTCCTTTTCTATTGGGTATTTTTGAAATAAAAGGAATTAAAACACAAACCAAAATATTATTCAACCACTTAAATGCATATGTCAGGCTACAACAAACCTGCACAACGTTTCATGTCCTGAAAGTTTTTCAATTATGCACATTTTTTTTTTATCTCACGTCAACTTAAATTAACACCTTTCTTGTTGGGACAGTACACATGACACTTTCTGGCTAAAAGGGAAAAGAAATTGAAAACCTAGACGGAATAAGTGTTAGAAATCCATTCCTTCAATTATTCTGGTCCCTAGGTTTACAATACTATGTAGAAGAAGTGGTATGGCTACAACAAAATCTGCTTTGAAATGTGAACTTTTTCAATAAAAAGAAATTTACTGTTATTATTTTTTTTTGCCAGATTCCTTAAGAGAAAGTTCTCCTCGAGTAGAACTTTCGAAAAAGAGTAATCCGTGTATTATTCAACTCAAGGGTAAGTATAATAGCATTGTTTTATCAGCTTCGCCAGATATGGCGGGGATATCACAAGAGCTTGTGCCAATCACTCTGGACCCCAAACAGTCCCTTTCTTAAACACCCCATCAGAAGATAGACTGCACCATGGGTATCCCCAACTTTTTCAGATATGGCAGGAACATGACATCAGCTTGGGGACATCACAATAGCTTGTGCCAATCACTCTGGTCCCCAAACAGTCCTTTCCTTTATAAACACCCTATGAGAAGATAGACCACACCCTGGGGATATATGTCCTTCAACAGTTGTGTGGGTTCTTTGACTTTTATTTCCTCTTCCAACTGAAGAGGAGGGACTCAAGACAATTGGGCTAGTTGACATAGATAGAAGTGGGACGGTAATATTAAGTATTACCAATTTGGATTAAGGTTTCCAATTATTTTTTATCCTTTCAAAATATAAATCCACCTTAAAAAATAAAAGTGAAGAAACCGTTTCCTTAGCTGCATTTAGGAAATGGTTTTGATATTAAAATTAAGTTTTTAATTTGCTGCTTTAAGTATTGTGCAACCCCAACGTACACTAATATTTTTTGTGGCATGCAAAAGAAAGTATTTTAGTTTTTCTCTATTACTACTTGTTTTCAATCTTTTTGCAATGACACAATTCTATTTTTTAACTGTTTTTGTAGATGGAAGCCATTTCTCTTGTGATTCTCTCGTTTATGATACTTTGCTACCGAAGGAAACTATGGAGGTAACAGTTTTCTGCATTTTAAGGAATTGTATGTCTCCACGCCGCTGTGTATTGAATATGTTTGTTATATAAACTCTTTCAAAGTCATATTCAAAAAGTATGTCCAAATTTGGTGTTAAAAAAAACTAAAATATGTATCATGTTTAAGTACTTTTCTAGATGTTTTTGTTTTAATCGTCACACGAGAGGATTTCTTTTACAGATGCAAAGGTTGGAATCACAAACTATAGAAAATAAATAGTACCATGTGAAAGCAATGCTGAAGAGGTTTTGCGTCAGTCAAACTATGTAATTTTGTGTCTAGGAACTTAAATCTTGCATTTTAAGGATTTTTGCCCTATACGTGGTTGTTCCGAGAGAACACTTCTAATTGATTGAAATACCGTGCCATTTCTCCACTCCTAACAGAAATATGTTGAGGATTTGTTGGAACACAGGCATATTGTACTGTGTGGACAGCAAAGCTTAGGCAAGTCTTACTTGGCAGCTAAGTTAGCGGAACACATTGTCCAACGGTAAGAAATGTTTTTTAATAAACATCCTGTAACAGCGCTTGTAAAATACTTGAATCCCAGTGTTTCCTTTGGTGCGAGCCGTTCTCACATTTTGCTGTTGCCCCGGGTCATTGCTTGCTTGTTTTAGTAAATGATTTAGTTAGAAGTGGGCTTAAAAGGTTTGGTTGTCCAGTAGTAAAACCTAATTGTCGCGACGAGACGACATCATCGTTCTGTAGTGCCCTGCATAAATTCTAGCCTGCGTAGCAGGTGCTAGGAAATATATGGGCGCAAGAAAACACGCGCGCCCTCGCGCGCCTGTCTTTCTTACGCACGTTAACCTCCTAGCGCCTGTCTCCCTCGCGCACGCCCGTTCTTTCTTGCGCCCGTTAACTTCCTAGCGCCTGTCTCCCTCGCGCACGCCCGTTCTTTCTTGCGCCCGTTAACTTCCTAGCGCCTGTCTCCCTCGCGCACGCCCGTTCTTTCTTGCGCCCGTTAACTTCCTAGCGCCTGTCTCCCTCGCGCGCGCCCGTTCTTTCTTGCACCCATTTACGTCTTAGCGCCTGCTACGCAGGCTACTAAAATTCTGATCAGTTTAACATTTTAAAATGGTTGTTGAGTTTGTTAGCAACTGAAGTTATGTCATAACAAAACGGACGACGCTGTTTTGAGTTTAATAGTTGGTTGCTGATTTATTTAAGGAAGTAATAAGAGTTAACAAAACATTTTTGCTGTCTTTTCTCTTCCTTTCTGTCCTCTGTTAGATTTTTATAAGTTCATTTGAAAATCTATCAAATATTAATATTCACCCTTATTTTTTTACCTCAGTGTTGGATGGAAGTGCTCTCCAGCAGTGGTCACTTTCAATGTCTCTCAATCAACTCGAAAGGTAAGCAAGCCATATGGAGTAACAAGTACCTGTTAACCTGTTGTAAGCCTGGTACTGGTACAAGTCGAAATTCTTTGCGGACTTCTGGACGTTTCACAAGAATATTTCTTTATCCAGTCTGAGGTGTAAGCATCTCCGTTCATTCTCGTGTTTCTATTTTTAAAGGAGCTGAAACAAAGTCTTGCATCTTTCATGCAGAGCGACATCTCAAGGTATTTTCTATTTGATTTACTTGCTGAAGTCCAATGGTACAGCTCAAATTATAAATAGGATACTGCATTACTAGAACTACTTATTATAATTTCGCCCTGAAAACTAATGACATGGCGTAAGAAATGCATTGTCGTTCACAAAGAGTGTACACGAACAGCAACATTGGGGCTATTCCCAGAATGTATCGTTTCCCTAGAAGCTTGACGTCGTGTTCGTATGGCTGGTGTTTTCGTCATGATGTGACGCCCATAACTTATTTTTGTCCAATTACTCAATCTTTGACGTCTTATTCCTTTCTATAATTCTAGCAAGTAGTGTGGTTATTGTCCACAGTTTATGCCAGGTATGTGATATTACTTGTAGTTTTTAATTTTGGTGCCCTGTTTATACTTTTCTTCCTTAGTCCTCAAGAAGGCAGCCCTGCTGTGATTGTTCTCGAACAGCTTAATTGTTTAGCTACACTGGCGAGCATCTTTAACCTCTCCATTCTCGACAACAAAAACTGGTAGGTGATCTAGACTTCTTGTAATAATTCATAACCCTTCGATTAACCACAGACGGAAGGGCTACAATTTGAGCAAGCGGTCGCGAGAGTGGTATAAGTGTTTTTAGCCGGCCTGCAAATAACAGTCGGTCATCGGACTGTGGCATTAATGCTTTCAAGTTTGTTCTGTTTGATTTCAGTCCATACATTATTGGAGTTCGGGACAAGAGCAGAAGAGGGCCTTTCTCTTCAAAAGAACTAAACTTATGCCATTACTTCAGGTAAGTCTGTTTCAGCCAGTTACCCACCCAGCTGTTCATTTTATTGGTAAGTCAGTCTGTAACTTACTCAGCCATTTAATTGACCAGCCAGTCAGCCAGTCGTGATCTCTCAGTCAATTAGCGAGCCAATTACATTATCAGTCAGTTAGTCAATTAGTCTTTCTTTAAAATGACTAGACAACGACATGTATGCGTACCAGTAATTGTGTTTTTGCCATTGTAGGTGGTTACGTGTGTCTGTTAATGACAGACAGTACTCTGGACTTCTGGGCCGATTCTTGAGGCGCAAGTTAAGCTGGGCTCAAATCCAAACTGAGTAAGTAGTCACGTAGCAGTACTGGTTTCCTTCCTCTAAGCTCCCTAGCGAACAATAGTGAATTAAAACCAAAGAAATAAATAGCACTAACAAAAAGGTTCTGCCAAAGAGGTTTCATTTGAATGGTAACACGATAGAACTTCATCCACAGAATTACTTGGTGTAGGTATGAAACGGTAAAAATGTTTAAAGTGAACCTCATCCCATCCTCCCCCTCCCTCTCCTCCTCCCCTCCCCTCCCTCCTACTTCCCCTCTCTCCTCCCTCCCCTCTCTTTCTCCCTCCCCCCAAGAAACGTGTCTGAGTAGCGAAACTTCTTAGGAGTAGCTTCGTCTTAGCTTCGAGTCAGAGTGTCTCTTCCTCTGTAGATTATTCTGACACTATGTGTTTATCAGCGTTGAAGGTAGTGGTAAAGATCTGCTGGACCTGTTTGATTGGCTTTCAAAAGTGTGGTATCATCTTAATGAAATCCTGGAAGAATATTGCGAACCGGATTCCACTATTGGTGAGTAATTTACACCAAAACGCGTCTTTAGTGGTAAACGTCTATTTAGAAGGATTTAGTTACAATGAAGCTCACATTCAGGCTATAGGAATATCACTGGGAAAAAAGTCAATACTCCTTTGGGCGCGAAAGGGAAAAAAAATTCTGAATTGTTCGTACGATGGTGGTAGAAATTCTTTGAAGGCTGGTATCTTCGGCCCAGGTCATACTGTATGTCGATATTTTAGTGATGAGCGCCTCGAGCAAGAGCTTTTTCACATAATTTTCTCCTTAATATTGTTTGCAAAAGTTTTCAGCCAAGTCTTCGATTATCGAAAGTTTTACGTAAATTAAAGAACATTGAGAGCACTCGTTCCTCTCTGCGTAGTAAAAGATAGCTTTTGTTTCCACAGATCGTTAGAAGGTCTTGGTCTGTTGAAAAGAAGAAAAAAGAGAAAAGGAGAAAATGAAATGAGAAAAAACCCAAATTTATCACTGGTCGTTAGGTCAAGGTGATGTTTTTTATCAATTGGTTGTTTTTACTTCGTAGGTCCTTCGTTGTTCTTCTCATGTCCAATGGATTATAAAGCCGCTGAGGGCTGGTTCGTGAATGTTTGGAACTATAATGTGATTCCATATCTACATCAGGCTCTAAGAAGTGGCAGAAAGGTACTGAAGAAAATGCTCCTTTGTCTGCCATCAGGCATAGATTAGATATGTTAAAGCTAAGATGAGGGCCTGGTGGGTTTTACCCTTTGTCACCCTTCGCTTTTCGAGTTCGTACTGAACTGACGCAAAAAACAGGAGAAGTTTACCTCAGTTGTCTTCACTGTATTAGGGATGAACTGTTAAGATAGGTTTTTCTAAACACCTGTCCGCGTAAGAGCTTGAAGTCGCGCGGTCGCGTGTTATTAGTAGTGTCCTTAATAAAGATCAGAGAACGGTGACAGTGACGAAAAAGTGAATTCGCCCTCTTTCAATCTTCATCGCGATTATTCCAAATCACTCACTTTTTCAAATGTTGGCGCACTCTCCTGAAGTTGAATTATCCTAAGAATCATATCCAAGTTCAGAACAACCAAAAAGAAAGTTTCGCCGTCGCTTGTTTTACGTCCTCCATAAAACGTGACATTAGGCACTTTCACTTCGTAGTGAAGGCAAAGGAAAAATGTACAAAATAGCGTGATGTACATATTGACCAAAGCAGAAAATGCCATAATATTTTTTTGGGTGGTGCTTCATGTAACCTGACTTTTGGATTGTGTTTTGTTCTTTGCATGACCTGCTTGTGCAGTTCTGATGAGTTGCATCTGCAAATCGTACAAAGACGAAAGATAGTGCAGAAATCGGTTTAACATGAAGCACCGCCTAAACAGGAATTTTACACTTTTACCTTCAACAGTATTTAAATTGAAAACTGACGCGTGTTCGCTATGATTATTATCATTTCCCCAGTAAGTTCTGGGCAATGATTTACTGTTGCAAAGTTTACCATGAAATTATTTTTCAACAGATCTTTGATCGAAGTATCACTTGGGAGGACCCTACAAAATGGGTGATCCTAAGATATCCATGGAATAAGGACCACAGCAGGTTCCTTCACACGCTTCGCAAACTGCGCCAAGTCGATGTGGTCCTTAATAGGAACCACCTGGGCTCAGATAATGGTGAGATGATCCTGTTGTTTTTGTTTAAGGGCTTCGAGCATTTTCAACTTAAGGAATTCATGGGTGATTCTTACTCTGTGGGTATTGACAAAATTAATTAGACGGTAAGACAAAGTAATTTTACGCGTGATTCAATTACCCTGTTTCTAAACATTGGTGGATAATGAGAACAGGAATTTGGAACTGAACTGAAAACCCAGAACTGGTGTGCATTCTTTGTACGCGACAGCTGAAAGTTTTGGAGAAAAGCTTTAGTGGATATATCGAACTAAAAACTGTTTTTATTTTTTAATCAAAGAGGCGTTCAAGCGGGAAATTTTTGTGATTACTAATCAACGATTAGTATGGAAGTCTGGCTGAATTCACATATTTCTGGGAAAAAGGCAACGAATGCAATTTTATGCGAGCTTCCCTCTTGTTATAGGCGAAAATTCCTATTATCACGACAAACCGAGGTCGTGAACTGGTTTGAGCACCTTTTAAATTTAAACCCTCTTTACAGATTTTCAGTAATTGGTTTTCTGTTAATTCTTCTCAGTTTGTTTAGCTGAGTGCATCGAAGAGAATGAGAAAATTCTTCGTTCCCATTCCACAGTGTCAAAAAGAGTTCGCACTGTTGTCCAGCAGAAAGTTCCAAAGGTAAAAGAAGAACAACGCTCGCAGCTTTCACGGCCATCTTAGTCTTGCATTGCATTACAATCACTGCTAAAAACTTCTATACGCCACGGCACCTATTAGCACTTAAAGCTGCTGTAAAATTAAATGCAGAAATATGAGCTTGAATGGCTGGTCTTTCACCACAATTGCGCTTTGCCGTAACTGCAGTAAAATAAGGAAATTATTATGAAATTTGTTGTAAATTATCGTCGTTTCTTGTAGGGAGAGCTGACTACAAGGCGAAATGCCGCTGAGCAGAAAAGACTGCTTGGAAACGAAGAAGACAAAGATTCCTGTTACTCAGAAACAGACAGCTACCTGGAAACCAGCATTTAACAGTTCGAAGGCGAAAGACAGTGAAAACTCTGTGACTTTCGAGGTTATTTAAGAGCTGAGGCAAAAGCGCGGAAAAGTTTATATTGCCTCGTTTGTAATGTGCATGCCATGTCAAAAGCGCGCGAAAGCAATTATATGGCTCAGTCTCCTGTGCATTTGACTCTGGTGCGAAAACAACTTAGCAGAGAAGCCATTTATGCACTGATTAGAGCGTGCGATAAGTTTAAATTGCCTCATTTGTAAAGTGCACGCTTTTTAAAAAGCGCGCGAAGCCACTTACATGGTTGGGTCTGGTCGGCGCATTTGACTATGGGGCGAAAACAACTTAACAGTAGTGCCATTTATGCACTGAGAAGAGCTCGCGCCTAGTTCAAAAAGTTTGAATTGCCTCATTTGTAAAGTGCGCGCCATTCAAGAAACGCGCTAAAGCGCTTACATGGTTGGGTATGTTGTGCATTAACATAAAAATATATATTAACATAGAAATATCCAAATACAGTTTACACATTTTTTGACGTTTAGGCTTTGTTCACACTATACAGAGCAGCTCTTCGTGCCCACACGTCAAGTTTGTCCTATCCGATATGGTTTTCGTGCTGGCGTAAAAGCCATCCTTTCTCGTGTGAACATAGCCTTGATAGCGTTTCGTGTTGGCGCGAAAAGCTACCCAGTATAGTGTGACCACAGCCTTAGGGCCTGTTTACTTGGAGGTGGGGGACCCCAGTTAGGTGAGGTAACCCGCCTGTCCATACAATCTCATTTTAACGTGATCACGTTTACATGTTAGGTGGGGTAACCCGCCACATGTTACCTCACCTACCTGGGGTCCCCCACCTACATGTTAACAGGCCCTTAGTTTCGATGGGGCTACGTGCGCGGGCGTTGTAACTGAAATAGCAGTGTTTTAGCAGTGCACTCGCGAATGATATATTTTAAAATATCTTTCACATAACCGTGAGTAGAAAACAAGGTTATTTAAATATATTAAGAAACACCATTGTATAGTTCAAATATTTACGAGTTTTATGCCTCAAAAAAGTGATTCGATTAATAATATTTTTGATATTGTATTGCATTATTTTTTGACTTTTGAAATATAACAGCTTTTTAAATGTAATCGTTTCTGGAAGAAAAAAGGTTATGCATCGTACAATGTAAATTTCACTTTTTTAAAACGGAATCAAGTGTACAGATGTAGTTGCAAAGTTGTACCCCTTGGTGTGGGTTGGTATTATACAGTAATAAAAAAAATAGTGATCGTCTATATTGTATTCATTCAAGGGGAAAATTGGTAGGATTTGGTGATATAACAAGTTTCTAACACGCCGTTTATGTGGAGAAAACCTGTCACGATTAGGAGGGTCACCCTCACAGCCGAGTTCACTTTAGCGAGCGTTTACTTTACGAGAAAAAAGTTGATCCTATTGCCCGAGCCTAAGGGAAAAGCGGATGCTCCGGTTGGTCGGGCAAGCGGGGTCGGGTCATCCCTTGAGTTTCGTCTGCGGTTGAGTGGCTGTTTGTCGCGCTGACTTGTCCGCAGTTGTCTCTTGGTCTCCTATTCAAAAGAAGCGCGATCAAGGGAAGAAGAGCTAGGAATGGAAGAGAGGGAAGAGGGGGTTTTCCTCCTTCCCAACACCCCTCGCGCTCCCTTCGGTCACGCTTCTCGCGTTCTACGCGTGTAGACTGCGAACAATCTCTCTTTTTCTTCAGATTTAGAAAGGCCATTTTCGTGTCTCGCGCGTTTCCCTCGAGGGACTAAGAAAAACGAGAGACTGCTCGTAGTCTACCCGCGTGCGACCGCGACCGCGTCCGCGTGCGCTTCCCGTATCCAAAAAGATTGTGTGAACTGGTCCCCAGTCCCCTTTTTGCGCGTATGAAATTCCCTTTCCCTTTCCTTTCGAACTCCTGCCATTCAGGCTACGTATGGCGAGGGTCCGCTGTAGTTCTTTTGTTGAAACTACTTGCATTCCAAAAAGACAATTACAAGAACACATAACGAGAATTCCACCCCGGAGGGGGGTTCCTGAGATTGGCTTGATTATACGTCTTGCGGTGGTTCCTTGCATTTCTGAAGAAGAAGCATTTTCAATTTACATTGTCTGGATCAGCCTGTGATCAGTTTGAACGTCTGCAGAGAAAGCTTACAAGAAACAGGAGCTTATTGCAAGAAATAAATTTATCCCGTTTATCGTTTACAGAAGACAAAGGGGCGTAAGGTGCTTTGGCTCTGTGTGGCTCTAACAACTGCACTGCAAGACGGTGTCAGCCGAGTAAGGACGGCTCTGCATCTCGTCGACGCCCGCGGAATTTAACTTCTGTAATACGAACCTTTGAATTACCCAAGGTTTGTTTTTGTCTTTTATATATAAATATAACGCAGGGTGTAAAGAAAATCCTTTTTACAGCTTGCCATTCGGGCAAGCTGAACCTAGCATTTACTAGCCCAGACATCATTTCAACTAGCCCCAAAAGCTTTTTCACGAGCAGAATTGATTTCACAGTTCTTCTTTTATTCGAATTGCTCAAAAAACATCACTTGCCCGTCGAGCAAGTTAAAAACAGAAACTCACTAGCCCGATAACAAAATCCACTAGTCCTGGGCTATCGGACATTACTTTCTTTGCGCGCTGTAACGTAAAGGTTCACTTTTATGTGTAAATTTTACGAATATTCAGTCGATTTAAATGTTCTTCGAGAATTTACGAATATTTAGTCCCGGAAGTAGAGTTCCTACATTTGTTTCATCGCGTCACGGCTATTCACCGGTATGAATTTGGCTTCCATTCCCCTTTTGCATATTCGAACATGGATTGTGATCTCTCTTAAGCTCACCACTGAGTTGGTTATTTGCTCTGGCAAATGTGTATAGTATGGAATAGTAAAATCTATTTAAAAGATCGATTATTGTCAAGCAAAATATAACTATATGTGATGAAGTTGCTGGTTTACTGTTTGCCCGCTGTCATTTGAATTAACTGTTACGAAAGCAACTATTCGTTGGTCTTACTTCACAAAAGTTGAGACTGGCTTTGTGTTTTAGTGGCCTAATATGATATATTTCACTCAATTTACTGTTCGCATTTTACACATAGAGGATATTACACGGTGGCGCGAAGATATGAATTTTATTTTCGAGTGGCAAAACAATATTTTATGAACGAGCGCAGCGAGTGAGTAAAATATTGTTTTTGCAACGAGAAAATAAAATTCATATCTTCAAGCCGCCGTGTGATGTTCTTTTTATTATATAGCCAAAAAGACATCGATAAAATAATAGATTTTTATTCACCAAAATGTAATTGTGACGGCTCAGATTTACAGTACAGCAATATAAGACATTGGTTACCATAATCTTTAGAAATAACATTGAGCTGAATAGGGCTCTACAATGACAAAATATAAGCAAAACTTTGAAAAATGTGTAAGTAAAATTCAAAAGACGCAAGACGCCTACAAATTTCGAAGGAAAATTACCGAAATTACGTTATCGATAAACTCACGTGTCGACACGTGTGAGATTATGGAAAATAAACCACTCGGGTCCCGGATGTAGTTTTTATGAATTTTACGAGTAGTATATTTTCCACTGAAACACTCGTGTCTATATAATAAAATAGAATATGGCGTTCCGTTACGGACAAAATTATAAACCCATACACATATACGACGAAATTCAACATATAGACATCGAAGCGTATAAATATACATTGAAATTACAAATATATGTATCCAATAGCCTGTGTACAGACGTCCCCCCTCCTTCAGAAAAAATCGGGAGAAGAGACGTCTGTGAATCGCCGTCGTCAATCGTGTTCCGGTATACATTTGCATAAATTATTTTTTGGTTGTTGTTTCATCTGACAGTTGAAAAGGTGTTGACAGACCAACACGACTGGGGACTCTTTTATAGCACGTACGCAGTTATTCTCTCCGATGTTCTCAACATTTATTGCTAAGCTAGGCTCTAACTAGAATATCTAGCTAAAATGTAATTTAAAACGAGTATTTCATGCTTTTGAAGTTTTTTTAAATTTTTTTTTTTAGCTCCTAAAGTTTGTCTGTTACTGTACTTTTTTTCCTGTGGTTTTTGGTTTGACAGAATTTTGATCTCGGAAGCACTGTTCAGTACATTTCCACAGATTTCCAGTCAAGCGTTTTATGCAGCAGTTCATCCATTCGTTGATTTTGAGTAGTTTTCACATAAAGGATCGTTCTCTTCTCTTCAGCAAGAAACTACAATAGCCTTACTTTTGCCTAATTCTATGAGTCATGACCGGCACATGTAGGCCAAAAAATAGCCCTGGCGTCTGTACACAGGCTAGCCGATCCAGATATTAGATCTCTGATTAAACGTTGATTTCTGTACGTCCACCCGCAACCGGTGCAGCAAACATCGGTGGTATTAATTTCACATGCGTATTCCAGGGAGCCGAAATCCAAGTAAACAAATATAAATGCGGTAAGCTGTCCACAGAGGCTGAGTTTTTTCCCCGGGGAATCTATTCTGAGATTCATTCACCAATCGCAACATCGGAAATTATTTGCGTCATGGCATTAACATTACAACCAATCAGAGGCTGTCCCCAACATTCCAGGGAAACGGGAACACGATTATCGTCGGCCATTCAAAGACGTCTCTTCTCCCGATTTTTTCTGAGGGAGGGGGGACGTCTGTACACACAACCTCGTCCCCAGGGCTTTTCCCTCAAAACCCCATTTTTTGAGGGAAAAGCCCTGGGGACGAGGTTGCTGTACACTGGCTAATATCCAACCGCATTCATATAATTCGAAATTACACAAATGTACATCGTACCGCATCCGCGTACGTATACATCGAAATTACACATTTATATATCGAACCAAATACATACAGCCATTTTGAGAAAGGTTGTCGGAAAAAGTGGACACGACAATCTCGAAAGGTATTGTGGGTGGTTTTGAGTTCTTTGTCCTTCAAAGAAATTTGAAAGAATGGCACGAGAGGCCATGGACATATGTTTGCGAATGCTAAAGGAAAGTAACAATAGAAGATTCAACAGCTACAGTGCCAGGAACAGCGTATTGATCATATCCCATATTACCTTTCGGGATTGTCACGTGCACATTTTTTCCGACAGCCTTTCTCGAAATAGCTGTATACATCGAAATTACACGTCTATGAATCGAACCAAATACATATAGCTCGAAATTACACATTATAAATGGTACCGTACAAATGAATCGAAATGCATTCTTACACATCGAATAATCTGTTTTTACTTCGAACTGTTTACTTGTGTACGTTGAGCTTGCTTATATGAAGAACCGTGGATCGAAACTTTGGGGAACCAGTCAGCGGTAATTGTCAGCGGTTACTAAATGGGCTTGAGGTAGGAGCCTGAGGACTAGGACTAGGTGAGCACGTCCTTACACGCCCGGCGACCTACCGGCGACCACATTATGCCCTAGAAGTTCTTTGACGTTTCATATCCAGAGTACTCTCATAGTACACAAGTAAGCAGTTCGAAGTACAAACGGATTATTTCGATGTGTACGAATGCATTTCGATTAATTTGTACGGTATCATTTATATAAGTGTAATTTTGATGTATATGTCTTTGGTTCGATGTATAAATGTGTAACTTCGATGTAACCACACGTGCGCGTCAGCAGTCCGGGCCACAGGGAGAGAAGCGATGCCCGGAAGAACGTCTGCTGTTCGAAGGCTATTCGTGACACGGTCGAGTACGCATCTCGTAACAGAGATGAATAAAACCCTGGGATCAAAATTCTGAAAAACATTTCAGTAGAGAGCGATCTGTACAATTTTCAAGGTCTCATAGTGACCTTAGATGTTTGCTATTGTCTTCATAAGGCAATTTCAATAAGTTTATCGCGATTCGGAGATGATCGAAGGCGCGATTTTTATGGCGTCAGATCGGGGACAAAATCAATAATCAGATTTCGTGGCCTTGGAAACACTTCTTCGCTTCGAAAATTGTTCTTCGAAACATTGTCTGCTGTCTTCGTGGCGTCGGTTCCATGTCTTCAAGTCATCGCATCACTCGTTTCATCGTACCGTTTTCTTCGGGGCACCGCTGGCTTTTCTTCGTGGCGTCGCTATGGGCTTCTGTCGTCGTTGCGTCATTTTTATGTCTTCGAGTCGCCGTACCATGTTACCCTGTTACCTTGTTACCCTGTTGTCCTGTTACCCTGTTACCCTGTTACCCCGTTGCCTTGGTACCTTGTTACCCAGTTACCCCGTTACCTTGTTACCCTATTATCCTGTTACCCCGTTACCTTGTTACCCTGTTACCCTGTCACAATGTTACCCTGTTACCTTGTTACCCTATTACCCTGTTACCCCGTTACCTTGTTACCCTGTAACCCTGTCACAATGTTACCCTGTTACCCTGTTACCCTGTTACCTTGTTACCCTGCTACCTTTTTACCCTGTTACCCCGTTACCTTGTTACCCTATTACCCTGTTACCCCGTTACCTTGTTACCCTGTTACCCTGTCACAATGTTACCCTGTTACCTTGTTACCCTGTTACCTTGTTACCCTGCTACCTTTTTACCCTGTTACCCCGTTACCTTGTTACCCTGTTACCCTGTCACAATGTTACCCTGTTACCTTGTTACCCTGCTACCTTTTTACCCTGTTACCCCGTTACCTTGTTACCCTATTACCTTGTTACCCTCTTACCTTGTTACCCTGTTACCCTGTTATCCTGTTACTTTGTTACCCAGTTACCCTTTTACCCTGTTACCTTGTTACCCTGTTATATTGTTTCTCTGTTACCTTATTATTGTGTTACTTTGTTACCTTGTTACTCTGTTTTCGTGTTTCCCTGGGATAGTGCAAATATACTCTAGCTAAATGATGTTGCAATTTTAAAGAATTATTTTCATTTACAATGTATACGTTTATTTTTACAATCAGGTCGAGTTTGGCTTTGACATAAAGATAATTCATTGAACTATATTTCATTCCTAGCCGTAAAGGTGTTTAAAATTTGATATTTTAGAAACTGCAGTTATACTAATATGAAAGCACCGTTTTCACTCTTGGCTCTGTTTACAAGGAGGGAGGGTGACCCTGGTGCCGTGGAGCGGTAGTTGGGGTCAAAAATAACTCGATGCCTATTTTCTATGTCTTTTTGTCTACTTGTTCTGTCGCTTTGCCGATTGGTCATGTCATCTTGTCTCCTTGCTGTGTCGTCGAGATGCGGTAAAGTCGAGAGTTGGCAGTTAAGTCTGACGTCAGGCCTTCGTCAGGCCTTGTACAACTGACCTCTCGAAGACACAAAAAAATTTTGAACACTAAAGTGGTAGATGGAAGAAACCGGCTTGTAGTGATCTAGTATTCAATTCATAACCGAACTGAGTACACTAGTTATACTCAATTTCCTCGTGTTGTGCGATTTTCAACGATCGTCTCGATAACAGATAAGGTGTGATTAAAAAACGAATGCCATTAAACTTCAGCCTTGTGTGGTATTGACTGAAAGCACCCAAACGTTACACCTGTTGTAGGAACCTGCCACTTTGTTAAGTCATTTTACAAGGACGCCTTGAGACTCAGTCTTTTATGCAAAATATCTGATCGTAAAAATATTGCCTAGAAATTTCGCTTAGATTTAAAAATTGTGACGGAAAGAGAGATATCGGAAAATATTCCGTTTTCGTAAACCTCTGAATGTCATTTACGATTTTTTGGAAAATCATGATAAAAGTATGAAAGCCAAAAGGAACTATAACAAGCTTAAGCTGCCATAGCATTGAGACAGAGAGCCTTCGTCATGGTCCAAGCGCTGTTCTCAAAAAAGGAAACTTTTGTTTGATTTCCGTCAACAAAAACCCATAAGAGGAGAAATTTACCGACGAAAGCTCATTGAGCTTGATTGCTAATAATTACTCTGAACGAAGACCGATATTTGTAATGCAAACCATTCAACCACGACCTTACTCCTAAAAAACGCATCTCAACGGGAAAAAAAATTGTGATTTGTCATGCAATGAATAAACTAAAATTTAAAAGAATGACAACAGAGTAACAAGGGAAAAAGGGAACAGGGTAACAGGGTAACAAGGGGACAGAGCAATAAGGTAAAACGGGCAACAAGGTAACAAGGTAACAGAGTAACAGGGGACGGAGTAACAAAGGCACAGAGCAACAAGGTAACTAGGTAACAGAGTAACAAGAGAACCGAGTAACAAAGTAACAGGGTAACAGGGTAACAAGGTAACAGAGTAACAAGGTTACAAGATAACAGAGTAACAAGGTAACAGGGTAACAGGATGGCAGAACAACAAGGTACCAAGGAAAAAAGGGCAGGTATAACTTATGCAAGTAAATTCGGTACAATATATGTCCCCACGCATCAAGTACCAGCCCAAGTATGTAGCGCAGTCGACGAAAGGAAGACCCGACGACACGAAGACATAAGAATGACGCAACGACGACATAAGCACATAGCGACGACACGATGGAAAGCCAGCGGTGCCCCGAAGAAAACAGTACGATGAAACGAGGGATGAGACGACTCGAAGACATGGAACCGACGCCAAGAAGACAAAAGACAATGACTCGAAGAACAATTTTCGAAGCGAAGAATTGTTTCCAAGGGCACGAAATCTGAGTATCGATTTTGTCCCCGATCTGACGCCATAGATTTTGGCCGATTTTAGGCCGCGTTTTTTGCGCTTTCCTGCTTCTCAGAAGATTTCATGTACTCTTTGGCGCTGAGTTTATGTGTATATTTTTTCACAGAGTGAAAGAGACCTGTAGTTCATAGCTGGGTTTGCTTAAATGAAGAAAATTCGTCCATTAGCAGTGTTTGATGGACTTTATTGTCGGGCCGGGGAGCGCGAAAAAAAAGAGTAATGTGAGAAATCTTGCATCGTCTCTCATAACAACATTATTTTCATCGATAAGTTTATATTATTTTGCAAACAGTGCACTGTTTGTAATGCTTATGCGCAAATAAATCTTCTATCAGGCAAAGGGAAAACAGACCGAAAAAGCCGAACAGCTGCAGCACAATGGGAATTTCACCAAAGCTACGGCCGCAGAAATATACCACGATCTTCTCTGTACGTTCATTGAAGTACTGTAAGCACAGTGTAGCGATTTTGTTATTGATTTAACCCTCACAGTTTTAAAATCATGTGTGATGTTGTCTAGATCTTCGATAATGGTTTTGTGTTTTGGTAGAGATTTATAACAATTTATTCCCTCACGTTAGTTTACCTGAAGATTTGCATACACCTGGCACACACTGAATGCATAAAAACTAGCTTTCAGTTTCCGTATTGGGTTATGAAAAATGTTTTGTTTCCAAAGGTTATTACAATATTCAAACTTACTTACCTTTTCTGGTTTAGCATGGAACAAACTTCTTCCCGGATTTGGCATCTCTCGCTTCACGTCGGCTTCCCCTTCGGCATGTTTTCTCAGCTCGTTTCCCGGGAGTTATGCTACCTGGCTGAGACGATCGCTTTATAAGACACTTTCAACGTCTCATAACGGGAAAGCTAACAGGGGTAGACCGGGGTAGACCCCGACATTTACAAGAAGAAAGCTTGAAGTAACAAGATGACCGAAATAATCCGATAAAACAGATAACAGTAACCAGCAATGAATCCAAGAAGAACGACGAAAATAACACTCAAATCATCATGGCAGCCTGCATATGACCGAGCAATTCAAACTTATCACAAACGCTCAAGAAAGCAAAATATTTAAAACTAACGTAACTACTATCAAGACAAAGTGTCCCAACAACTTTCCACGGAGGTATAGTGTCGAAATTACCTACACAAGCTTGGAATAAAGCGAAAATTTCATCATGTACACCTCTGAAAACGGCTCTTTCCAAGCGCGAAAATCACTCCACAAATAACGCATTCATATTGGTCGAATCTGGCGACGCACACCGCCTGCCACGAAATGAAGCACTGAACGAACTAGTTGTATTCTCTGTGTTTTGCCACCAGATTTAATCCGGATCATGGGTTTGTTGTATGTGTGCCCCTTGCTTTAATTTGTCTTTTGAAAATAGTGATCTAAACTGTTCTACTGCATAAAGAATTTGAAATCCCGACTTGACGTAGCAAATTTTTCGAGATATTGAAGTTCGTGTTTTTGTCCGAAGTTGCGCACAAGTCATTTTGCGTAAAATTTAGTGGTCTTATAAGCAAACTTAAAATCCTCGAAAAATCATATTGAAGTCCGCGAATATTCAACGTACAGACTTTTATTTAGACTCTTTTTGAAGCTAAAAAAATTTATGGTGCGCCAATGAAGCCTTCCGAATTATTTTGCTTCAAAGACACAAAAAATTCCGCTGCGTTATTATTTTCCTTAGCGGCATGCGATAAAACATTCCAGCTGGCAAATGGGACAGAAATCGAGTAGGATGGAGATGATCCACCCGACGATTGGTTGACGAAGGGATGAGATCGGGACTCACAAACACGCGCACGGCCCCTGCATTCTCTGATCTGTATCTCGTGTTCGCTAGAAAACAATGCATTTCTCTGTCCTGCATTACGTCATGGTTGCTTTATATTACTCTATGTTACATCGATTCAAGGTTTTTTTCTGTCCCTGGAATAATCACGTACGGCTCAATTAGGCTGCCGCCTCGCAGCCTCGCGTCTTCGCGAGGCTGGTCGTTGGCAATAACTACGTGTTCGATTGGGTTTTAACAAGTACATAATTGAGTGCATAAATCAATCTCGTAAAAGAATGAAATAAAGCAAATTATTTTCTTGCACATAATTGAAGCCAACACGAATACATCTCAGGCTGAGCAGGTTTTGAATAGACCTCGTGCAGTTTTTAGTAGATGATGATATTGGCTATTTCACCTTTCCCATAATACACCTTGTTTCCCGCCCACAATTTTGCACAACCATTGTTTCCAATTTCTTCTTGGTATTTACAGTCGTCCCATGAGAAATGAAAGACATTGGTTATGCAAAATTTTGGAGGGCATTATGGGCATTATGTGTAATGTGAAAATAGTGCGATTATCGAAACGTATGCTGACCAGTACAAAAAGTAGTAATAATCTTAATCTTAAAATTTTATCACAAAGGAACTATCACTGATGGCTTGTGTAACACCAACAACTCCATCTACCAAGGAGACCACTAATTATGCGCGGCTTTGTCGACTCTTGGTGGAGCTTGGTACCAGGGCCCTTAAGGACACTTTTGATTCCATACACCGACCAGCAACCCTGCATGCTGTTTTGGCGGGAAACAAAACTGTGCTGCGGTCACTGAGGGACAGAAAGATTATTAATCCAACACAATGGGGAAAGCTATTTCCTACTAACTCTTTTTCAGTTTCGTCGTCATCATTCGACATTACTCTTCTGATGGTCTTGTTAAGAAACATCTGTGGTCTGGTTGCACCTGCCACTGGTTGGGATGCTTTGCCTACCGCAACAGACTCGAGCCGTGAAGCCAATATTGTTCGAATAAAATTCTTTAGAAACACGTTGTACGCGCATGCTCGACACGCTTCGGTTGATGACACAACATTCAATAGCCAATGGCGGGATATTCGGAAATCTCTGGTGTGTCTGGGAGGACTTCAGTACAGAACTGCTATAGACCATCTTGAGACCGAATGTATGGATCCTGAGTCTAAACAACATTGCATTGAGCTGTTGGAACAGTGGAAGAAAGACGAGGACAACGTGAAAGATCAGTTAGAGGAAGTCATGAAAAAGCTGGATAAAATCACTACTGAAAGTAAGTTAACTTGTTATTAAAACATCTCACTCTGTGCGAAATTCTGAAGGCTAGTTGGTTGATTGGAGACAAGAGAGAATAATGGAACAGAGAGGGAAACGCCCAGTCTAGCCCTTGGGATTTGTGAATTTCACCAAAGTTATTTTTAGACCAATTAAACGATTAAAATTAATCGGAAATTGGCTCCCGGAGAGGTCCGCAAGCCTTTATTCAGTGTTATAAAGAGAAAATAATGGGACATTATGCTCTCTTGGTGTGTCGCCATTACAATATGCTGCATTCAATTGGTTTGAGGCAGTGGCGCGTGGACTAGATGAAGTTTCAAACAATCGATCAAAATACGCAGACGTCCCAGTAATTATACTTCCTCTTAATTACATCCTCTAAAAACAACTTTAGTGAAATTGACATATCCCGGCCAACACCCCAAGATTCTCTGTCAGTCGCATTATTTTTTTTGTTGGAGTGTGTTAATGGTATGAAACGTACGGCCTTCATGAGGTTATGATTCCTTTCACCCTTGGTCTCCCTGACCGTTCATATAATTTTTGATCATGAGGTACGTAGGGATACATGATTGAAAAAGGAAATATCTGGATATTTTTCTTTTAGTTTAGATTAACCTTAAAAACGGTACATGCTTGAATCTCCCCAAAAGACCATTTGTACCGTTTATATATCATACAATCCAAAAATGACTCAATTAAGTTACAGTCCTTAATTCAACAATAACTATTTGTGAATTTGTGGATGATTGTTCGGATGTTTTTAGTTGGGGGGCGGGGGAGAGGTTTAAAATTTTGAGAGAATGGGAAAATATTGGATTTGGAGGATGAAAAATTAAAATATGAAATGAATAATAAGTAGACAATTACCAGATAGCCCACCAACACAACAAGGTGCCTCTGATCTCATTAGCGGACGAACTGGTTTATGTGTATACCTTTTCTTACCTAATTTACTTCCTTCCCAAATCAACATCATTTCCCCATAAAACCAAGCGTGATGCTCCCTTAAGTCCCACTATCCACTTACAAATTCTCCAAACTGATCTCCATACATTTCTTTTAAGAATTAGTTGAGAGAATTTGATAAAAGATCATGGCATTTTCTCTTTGGTGATCATTTCATTAATTCTCATAACTCTATTTCTTAACAATGTATGAATATTTTTAGGAGAAAATTGTTGTTGGTCACTATTGGCACTTAAAGGGTTAACACGATCTATTAACGAGCTGTACCTCTTAACAGACTTAACAGTGTTTTCTAAATACTGAAAGAAGGTGACTACTGTCTGTATGCGGAACGTTCTTTGCACTTTCCCTTCTGGGTATAAGCCAGATTTAGAAAGGTTACGATGAGAAAGTAAGCGATAATTGACTGACATATAGGCGCATTGATCTTTTAGTGAAAAGCTTGAAGTCTCCAGATAAGATCCGGCGTGGATCTAACACGTATCAAGATCACGAGAATGAGCCAGTAGAGTACTTTTCTGAAGATTGCAAAGTTTGTGAGAAATGTGGACAGTTCAGTTCTGAGAGACAAAATGAAATGGCTAAAGTTGTTGATAAACTTAAAGCGAAAGCGGTCTATGTTGAGGCAAAGGTAAATGAACAAACTGATCTGATGCAGAAAAGCCAGGAAAAAATCTGTTTTGCTGAAAAGGACATGGTTGAGATTGTGGAAGAGAAGATTCGCCTTCTAAACGCACATAAAAGAGACATGAAAATGAAATTTTCTGAGATTCGTGAAGCACAACAACGAGAGCACGAGACTAGGATAAGAAACTTTAAAATGGTCGCAATCCAGACAAGGAAATATATTGAAAAAGGCGAGGATTTCTTAAAAAGAATGAATGGTCCTGGAATTCTGGAAACAGAGTGTGCTGATGACTTAATTCGCTTTGAGGAAGGTTTGAATGACGAAGAAATGGAAATCTATAAACCTAGGCGTGTTACTTATCGTGCAGACAAAGACTCAGTTACTCAGGGTACCGTTGAATTGGAACCTCATTGTACCGCGGCTCTTGTCCAAAGAACAGGAGCTTTTCGAATAGCAGGAGGAAGAAGTTCACATTACAGTAACTGTTCAGTCACCGAGCGGAGTGGGGAACAAAAATGAAGCAAATTATTTTAAAGATAGAGACAAGACAGACAACACACCCCAAACACTGCTTGCGCAACACATGACGTTGTGGTTAACCGCTGCGAGAAGCCGCTGACTGCTTGGCCTCGTGGTTTGCAAATGAGTCCACATCAGAACAAAGGTCTCCGATCATTCAAATCACGTGGGAAAGGACAAGGAGTGTTCCACAATCCGTGTAGCATTGCAATGAATCAAAAGACTGGGTATATTGTGGTAGCTGGGGCCTCAGTCATCGTGTTCAGCTGTTTGATTCTAAATGGAAATTTCTGAGGACGATAGTAGACAAGGAGTCTGGTAAAGAGATAATGGATGAACCAATCTCAGTGGCATTCACATCATCTGGTAACATCTTAGTAGTTCAACTTTCATCACCGTGGAAAAAAACAGTTGTCCGTATATACAGAACGTGGTCATTATATAACTGATATCAGCAAGCACGTGCTACGTCCACACAGTGTATCTGTTAGAAAAGACGGTAATTTGTTAGTGTGTGACGGGTGTGATGTGAAGGTTCTTTCTCCTGATGGCACAAAACTCATACAGACCATTAAAGCTTTGTACTGTTATGAGAGCCTTTGGTTTGCGGTTTATCGCCAAGGCATTTTTTTTTGTTTCTTATGACTCATTACATTATGTGAAAACTTTCAGTGATGAGGGGCAGTTCCTTTATGAGATTGGATGCAAAGGATCTGGCGACAGGCAGCTGAGAAGGCCTCAAGGCCTTGCAATAGACAAATTAAACAATCCAGTTGTATGTGATAGCGACAATAAGAGGCTTCAAGTTTTTTCTCTGGAAGGAAAATTCCCGAACTCTGTTACTGAAGAAGTTTCTGGACCTGACTCTGTTACTGTTGTTAAGAATGGCCACCTGCTCTTTTGTGATTTATAAGGGCCAGCGTAATTTATCTCCGGAACGTTCCCTTATGGTACCCAGTGTGGAACTTCAATCGGTCGATCCATTTCGACTGGGTTCGTTCTGAAACTAAACCGAACCGACCAGAAAATTTGGCCAATCGCGCTAATCAAACGTTCGGTTACTCAAGGGCACCCAACGAGAATATAGTTCAAAACCACTTAAACATAGATTGTTAACATATTTTAAGTTTTAAACGGTAGATAAAGGCATATTTTTGTCCCCTAAAAATTTTTCATCTGTTCGGATTTCCTAGCTGAAAGTCCAGTGATCCGAAAATTATAGGGATCAAAACTCGCCTTTTCGAAAATTTCAGCCAGAAAAAAGGCTCCCGAAAATTCTGGGTGACCTTTTTAGGGTAAAAATCCGTTAAAAATAGGCAATTATACCATTTTTTAAATGTTCGAAAATCCTAGGAGAGGCAGGCAAGCAAGAAATTTTACAACAAATGTTTCGAAAATTCTAGATCTCAATCGTCTTCCGAACAGATATTTTTCCGAAAATTGTCGTTGGGTGCCCCTGGTTACTCTAAATTATTTATTGAAAACTGGTTTAAACGGTTTTTAAATTGGAGTCACTTGGCCCAATGAGTTCTCGTGTGTGCGCTTGAAATACCACAACACGACAGCCCAGTAGAGAAGCAAGAAAAGAGTAAAAATTCTTAGTGTTCTTGTTAAAGAGACTGTAAGTAATGCTTACTAACAGAGGCTGGCTATGTCTATGTTCACAGTCTATAAAACTTCAATCTAGTGTATACCTGAAGTGCGTCTTTGGCAGTTTGCTAACGCCTAGTCCCAAAACGAAGTGGACAGGTTAATTTGAACCGTGAGGATGGAAATAAATTCCCTCTCAAGTATGTTATAAAACTACCATACTTAAATAGCGACATTTTTATGCGTAATTCCCAACCCAATCGAAATGAATGATTCTGATCATTTCGGTAATAGAACTCACCATTCAAGTGTGCTTAGTAGCGAACTTTAGCAAAGACGTTTTTGAGCGACGTACCTCAACTGGAAGTGAGAACTTTTCCCATTTAACATGCGCAAACGCTACCACAATTGTGAGTGTCCTTTCTCTTATAAAGAAGATTTGCCGAAAATTTGGGTAAAACTACTGCCCAAGGATGCAAAAAGCTCACTTCCGAGGCTTCTTTGTTAAGTTCCCTAATATCGTCATTCGACCCTTACCGTGTATAACTCCTTTAATGTTGTTGTTAAAGTGAAGGAATTTTAGCTCTAACAAGAGAATACTTTAGAGATTTTTTCTTCCGATAAGCAACAATAATGCAGGCGTTAGGATATATATGCGCAAGTCAATGCCTGTAATAAGGTGCCAGTGTTTCATTAGAATCTTTTTGAGATTCGGAGTAGCAGGATTAAAAGTCGTAACAAAACGCAAAATCTCTTTTGATGCTTTAGGCCTAGGATTGTTTAGACGAGGTTCCGAGGGTAGAAGTGTTCCATAAGGCGAGTTAAAAATTCTTCGTTCATTAACTAGAATGATTTCTTAACCGATTTCGTTCGAAGTAAGCGTGAGGATTCTCTGTTCACAAAGCCCTACTTAGCGCTGAGAGGGTTTCATGAGGATAAATGCGTGTATTGGAATGTTTCTTGTAGACTTGAAATGTGTTTGAACAACGAGTATTTTGCTTTGAATGAATCTTGGTCCTTTAAAAACTTTAGTGTCAAGGAAAACAATCTTCTTTGATGACGGTTCGAGACTAAATTTTATTGTTGCGTGGAAAGAGTTCGCTGCGAAATCAATAAAATTGTTGATTTCGGTTTGAGGAAAAGTCCATGCTGAGAACATGTCATAAATAAATCTCTTCCAGCGAAATGGTTTGCAAGGGCTCGCATTTATTAGTTGTTTCTCAACGTGAGCGACGAAAATGACTGAGAAAGCAACCGCCATTTTGCTGCCCATTGCAACACCGTGTGTCTGTAGGTAGTGTTTGTCGGTGAATTTGAATTAGTTTTCTGTTAGAATCAGTTGCATTCTTAAGTCTCCAAATATGAAGTAGGGATAGGTAAATTTGGCTCAGATAATGCTCTTCATAATGGTGATAAACGATTTCGATTCACTCTTCCTGGGGTAATTGATGGGGTAATTACATGAGACCGGGACGAACTCAGACCGGTATGAGTTCGTATCGATCCCCATACATTTCTTTTCATCCGTTTACATGGAACCGGCCTATAAATGAACTCAGACCGGTCTGACTTCGGCCCCGTTCATACTGAGGTCGCTTAAAATGAGATTGATCGGTTCTGAGATCGCATAAGGACCTGTTCACACTGACGCCTTCTAATAAGACAAATTATTCCTAACTAGAGAGGACTAAGAGTTTGTTTACCCTCTGGCTTCGGGTGAGATAGGTTGTGTGACACCAATCGGCTTTCTTTTTCGGGCGTTTCCTGACTTTTCACAGGTCGGAATAATTTTTTTTAATAAGAATTGGTTCATGCTTAGCGAGCGTATATCGAGTTATGGATGAACAGCCATGAACGCGGGAAGTTTGGAGAGCACCAAAGAAGCGTAAGAGTTACGCCTTGAGCAGCTCTAGCTTCTTGAGTGCTCTCCAAATTTCCCAAGTGCACCACATAACCAAGAAAAACGCTTGCTTTTTGATCGTTAATTTACCACCGTTTTCCTTGATACGCGACTTTCCAAATCAAAACACCCGCTGAAACGTTTCCAAAATTTCCGTCAATCATACTCGTCATACCATATATGGAAGTGTTGGACTGGGCCTGAAAATTTAAAATATGGCGGCCGGTCGAAGTTACATGTAAACAGGGTGGTCAGTTATTCGTTAAATTTGCGTTGGCGAGTAGTGTATTTACTCGTTCAGGGATTTACTGTCGAACGTGTTGCTAGACTACTTCACGTAGGGAAGACGTTTGTAAAAAAGATTCGAAATCTTTACCAGAACACAAAAACAGTTCATTATCAATCACGGCCGGGTAGAGTGAGAAAGTTGGAAGGTAAGTAAGCTTACGATTTGAACTGAGGTTTTTGTAATCACTTCTCTAAATGAGCCTAATTGTATCAAACGAATACATAACCATTGTTTTTCTCACCTGGACTTAGCACAGGACGTGTTATTCATAAGAAGGGTAATCCAGCAATATCCAGAGATTTACGAGGATGAAATACAGGAATGGATACAGTTCGCACTGGGAAAGACAATTCACGTGTCCACGATCGCTAAGCTACTGAAGAAAATGGGCTTTACACGAAGAAAGGTACATATTGCATGTCTTATATTTGAAAAAGAAGAAAAACAGTTTATCACAGCACGGCAGACTATGAAGCATGTACACTTCCATATATGGTATGACGTGTATGATTGACGGAAATTTTGGAAACGTTTCAGCGGGTGTTTCGATTTGAAAAGTCGCGTATCAAGGAAAACGGTGGTAATTCTCGTATCTCGACTCGTCACGCGCTGCACAGAAAAGCAAACGCTTCTATTTGCCGGTTACAAACACGCCACAATAGTCTAGTTTGATAGAATTTTTGTTTTTGTAAAACTGACAATGAAAATTTGCTTATTTATTCGTCAACGATCAGTGGAAGCTATAAAGCAGAAACAAAGGTAAAAGTTCGTCGGACATGGAGTATGGTTTGGATTTGTTGTTCGGCAGGCGAAATCCAGAAAACCGTTTTTTTTTTTAGCGAAGACAACTGTCATCCTTCGTTATGTTCATTTACGAACAGTTGCAGAAGTCTTACATGTACTGCCTGGTCAATTAAGGCTTCTTGAGGGGACCTGGCAGCAGTTGTTTTTGTGATTTATAAATTTATGTCTTCTTGTGTAATTTGTCTTGTTATTGCAAGAAAACGTTTCCTGTCTTAGCCGGATTGTTCGGTTTAATATACCAAAAGCGCATGAGTTTTCGCTACTACCTTATAACAAGAGAGGATAAAGGGGACAGAGAAAGCATCCCCCATACACACCCTATTCCATAGGTAATTCGCCTCGAGTTATTTTTAAGACCACAGATTCCGAGGGGGATTAGACAACAGCCAATCACATAGCGCGAATGTGTTCCTCGTGGATGACCCACGCTCCAAGCCACGCGTCCTTCACGAATTGACGCTAAAAAAAGGCGGAAGACGCGGAGAGCGATATTGCTATTCGTTTTGTCGACGAAAACGACTAAAGAGAGATTTCTGCTAAAGCTGTATCAGCGAAACTGAAATTAAAAAAAGAATAGCCCTTCCTCTCTTGTATAGAGCTAATAGCACAGCAGGAAAATCCCTAACACAGTGAATATTCTCTCAGGATCATTTATAATTTACAGTTTGAAGAGAGCAATTTCTAGTTTGATATTTATTCTTTTATTAGTCTTTTATTATTCAACAAAATAACACCTGGCGTCCTACTTGCTTTATTGTACAAACGACCGGTTTTAATAGACCGGCGAAATTTCTTATTTTATTAAAGCACTGAGGTTTCGACAACTTCGAGTTAAACTGATTTCACGAATTGTCAAAGAGTCCAGCGATTCCCTTTTCCCAGGTAGGCGCCGACTCATTTCACTTTAATATTCAGAAATGCACTCGATCTCTTTACGCTTTCATTGCCTTTCGCCCGACATGTTTTGCACGGCGTTTAGTCATGCGAAACCTCCACGAAACATCCACGCTGCGCGCGAGGTAGCTTTATCCCGATTCTAAAAATAACTCGAGACGAATTAGCTATGGAATAGGGTGTGTATGAGGGATGCCTTCTCTGTCCCGTTTATCCTCTCTTGCTTATAATTAACTTGTTTTCAAAACAAACGTTAAAAGCGGAGGACACCTTATACATATTGGATTTTTCCCAACACAGACAAATTTGTGGTCTTTTTCCAGCTGAATGTAGAAGTCTTTACAGCAGACTTCTCAGACTTTTCAACGACTCAGGCTCTATTATTTGCGAAGCATCTTCACCTCTTTTGCCGTTGGTTTGAGTGGCTAGAAGCTCA